CAATTTGAAAGAAAAAAAATCAAACGACTCGACTGGCATTCAAATGTAAACGCCAGAAATCGCTGAATTGTGGGGACGAAACGCACATGAGGAGAAGGCGTTATCAGCGCTACGTACGACGTCTGAAGGTATTTGTCCCCTGTTTTGGTGTCGGCGACATCAAAACTTGGCAATACCTCCTTTCATCATGCCTTAGACACCCCCATTGCGTGTGGCGTCCTCCCTCTCTTGGGGTGCAGTACTATGATGCCGCTGGGGTCACTCAAACCCCTAGAACTGAGCCTCTACTTGAGTCAATCCTCTCACCCGTAAAAAACATCGGCAAGGTAGACATTGTCATCACTGTAATTCCCACCCCCCACCGCCATTTTCCTCTGACGTTCAATGGGATAGGTTCGATTTTTTGTCGACCTGCGAGAAAAAAAACAATCGGTGATTCACCTATTGTTGGTGAGTGACGCGTGTGCAACTCGGAACGAATAAATGAGTAAATAAACGTGGGTGTTGGTGAGACAGAGCAGTGACAATGACAGACGACTGTGAGGGAATAATCGGGTGTTATTCCAGTGCTGGTTGATAAAGCGACCAGTCTCCGGAAAATGGAGCGAGGCAATGTCAACACTTGGTCTGCCAGAGCTGGTGAATAAATCGACGATATTTTTAGCATTTTGTTGCTAATTGAGGTTCCACATTGTGGGTGACGAGAGGGTCAGGGATTGTTTACCGTTGGGAACATGTCGGGTGGTGAGAGGAAGAAACGTGGAGGTGACAAGGGACATGGCTGGGAGGAAGCTGGTGCTGAATTTTATCAGGAAAGATATCCAGCTGCTATCGAGGCAGATTTGCAGCAGGTGTTGCAGAGAGATCCCTCCCACATCGCTACTCTACTGCCGAGTAAAAAATCACGTGTTGGTGAGGGATTATTTCCATTTGTTTTCACTGTCATTTAAAGAATACTCTGTCATTGTCAAAACACTTGAGACTACATGTTTCGTAGAATTCTCAGAATCGTAACATATTAATTTGTTTTTTTTTTCGCGTAGAAAAACCATGTCCGTCATTTATTTTCAATATTTTCAATTTTATTTATTATTTATTTTGTTGTTTGAAAGTTAAGAGGATTTATAGAGCAATTTTAAAGAGTTTTGCTGATTACATTTCCTGTTCTATCCCTCAGCGACAGCAAAACGTATCAGAAATGAGCCGAGGACAACTCTCAGGAGACGTACAAGCACTCGTTCACGGGGTACAGCTCGTACAAGCACAGTACGACGAATGTCAACGAACGTTCCTGATGCACAGAATATGTCGATGCTCCCGGATTTGTCCGAGAACTTGTCCAACGAGGAACGCACGTGGGAGGAAATTATGCAGATCAAAGCGATGCCTGTCTGCATGACACAGAAAATTCAACTCAAAAAACAGCTGCAGGTGCGAATTTATCTGAACAATTCAATTTTTTTAATTTTCCGCCCATTATTTATATTTCATTCAATTTAAAAAGATAAGCCCGCGATGAGAAGTCAATCAATGATTAATAGCAATATTTCATATCTGCATTGGCCTCGTAGATAAGAAACTCTCCAAACACAAAAGAAAAATAAGTGATTTTCACAGTAGACTTCACAAACATTTCAATTCTCAATGGACGACACGTTTTTTTACCAATTGTTTTTATCTTTCAATCAATAATGTTCTAGATTTTATCCTAAATATCCATAAAAGTTGAACACTTCCTCGTACATGATCCGATAGCAGCAATGCTCTCATTCTTCACAGAATCGTTCCGATAACATGAAGATTATAAAATGTCCACATACTGATTGTAATCAACAGGGAAGTGACCTGGCAATTTAGTTTAACGCGACATTATCTCTTTTTTATTCTCTAGGATTATCATATCACCCCACATTGATAAATTTCATCAGCTTAAAGATCTGATAAATATCCACCAAAGTGACTCAAATTCTGCAAAACACCAAAAACTGATGAAATTAAAATTATTATACTAATTTCACTAAAGAAAAATAATCCCTTTACGATTCGATATTCGATTATATTCGATTTTTTATTCACTTTTGTTCTCTGAATTCACGCATATTAAAATTAATTAAGGCCTCTGACACTACTATAAAATCCCCAAATTCATCTCTCCTCTGCAGAACGCAACGAAACTTCGGCTGCAGGGTTTTGAGCAGTTGAAGTGGCAGCGCAGGAAAGCCTGGCAGCAATTTCAGATTCGTCTGAAGGAAGCCTACTCCAAGATGGAGCTGTGGAGCACCTCCCTGAAAAAAATCGGTGGAAACTTCGGTATGGGAATCGTGGCGTACTTCCTCTTCATAAAATGGCTGATGTTCCTGAACCTCATCCTCTTCTCAATAATATTCTCGTTCATATCCCTGCCAACACTCGTACTAACACCCACTCCCGAGAACTGCACAGGAAATGCCAGTAGCATTGCCTGCTGCTCCGAGTCATACCTGAACATTACCCACGAAACCAGCAACATAATCGATATAATCCAGGGTGGAGGTCCCCTGGAGCGAACCCTCCTGTTCTACGGTGTCTACACTAACGAGATTTACGGTGTCACCACAGACGAGACCCACTACAATCTCCCCCTGGCCTACATCTCTACGACAATCGTCTTCTTCTTGGTGAGTTTAATTGCAATAATTCGATCAGCAGCCAAAGGCTTCAGAGAACGGGTAACAGAGGGTGAAGGCCAGTTCTACCAGTACTGCAACCTGATTTTCGGTGGGTGGGACTTCTGCATCCAGAACGAAAAATCAGCAGACATAAAGCACAAGGCTCTTTACAACGAGATAAAAGCCTTTCTGGAGGCTGAACGACTGGAGGAGGAGAGGCAGAACCGAACGAGAGAGGAAAACATCAAACTCTTCTTCGTAAGGCTCATCGTCAATATCCTGGTGCTGGCAGTCCTGTCAGCCTGTGGTCTATTCATTTACTCCATAATCGACGTATCCTTCGACAAAGTCAGCCATCCCGTTGTGGAACCCGAGGAAATTGATTACATCACTCTTGACAAGATCACACAATTGCTGTATGAGTTTCTCCCGTACATTTGCATTGTCGGCCTCAACGTCATTGTTCCCTTTCTCTTTCGATATCTCGTCGCCCTGGAGCACTACTCACCTCTCTTCGTGGTGAGATTGACGTTGTTCCGGATTGTTTTCTTACGATTAGCTTCCCTGGCAGTACTGCTGACGAGCTTCTACAAGATCATTGCTATCGGCGTGGAGGAGGACAAGTGCACAAACACAGAAGGGCGACGTCCAGTCTGTTGGGAGACCTTCGTGGGTCAGCAATTTCTCAAGCTCTACGTCACTGATTTATTCACTCAATTCTTTGTAACGTTCTTCATTAATTTTCCGCGATCTCTGATCGCCCGACACACGGAAAATAAATTCCTCAGGTTCATTGGAGCGCAAGAGTTCGATTTGCCTCATCATGTGTTGGATATTGTGTATTCGCAGACAATCTGCTGGATTGGGGCATTCTTCGCTCCTTTACTGCCACTTGTAGCAGCTACTGGCTGTTTTCTACTGTTTTATATCAAGAAATTTGCCTGTTTGGTTAATAGCACACCCTCTAGTCACGTTTACAGGGCCAGCAGATCCAATTCTCTGTTTATGTTTGTGCTTCTGGTGTCTTTCATACTGGCGAGTGTCCCTGTGGGCTACTCTATCGCTGAGATCGAGCCATCCAAGTCCTGTGGACCATTCAGGGGGCTTCCCACTGTTTGGAGTCTTGTTATTGAGACCTTCGAGCAGTTCCCTGGATGGATTCAGTCTGTTCTCTTCTTCCTGGGTACTGCTGGCTTTGGCATTCCTGCTTTTATCGTACTTGCACTGTTCCTGTATTATTATTATGCTGTTTCTATCGCTAATAAGCATATGGTGGTCGTTCTCAAGAATCAACTGGTCCTCGAGGGACATGATAAACAGTTCTTGCTGAATAGACTCAGTGCTTTTATCAAGCAGCAACAGGAACAGTCCAAGTATCAGCAGGATCAAGCTATTGATTTGAGCAATTTTAATTAGGATTTTTTTCTAGTTAATTTGGGGTTGTGACATTTTTTTTTTCGTTGGTTTAATTCAGTTGTCGAGTGGTAAAGGGAGATCTGTTCAGTTTACAATTTATTAATCTTCGGTTCGTGATGAAAAATATCGATTTGTGGAGGAAATGTTTGAAGACTCTATTGTAGGTCATTCAATTTTTGACAGGGAGTCTTTTTGATGTTTTCTTTTGAAATCAATAAATTTTTCACTCGAATGGAATCGGATTTCCGAGACTCTACCACTTTTCACTGAATTTTAAGTCTTCGAGTGTTCAGATATTTATAAGAAAAAAAATCTGGGTTGTCTAGTAGTTTTCATTTTTCATCTATTGAACTGGAGAAAAATGTGTTGCAGGGTACAGATCGTGAAAATCCAGAAAAATCGAATAGAAAAATTAATTCGGAGGTAAATTATGTTGTTAGGAACAATGGAAAATAAATTTTCAAAGTGATAAAACCAAGGACCTATTTTGCACACTAGGATTAAAATATTCGTGTAATTTAATCGATGAAGTTTGTAAATAATTTGGTAATTTAATTCGTATACGTCAGCTGCTGAAGGCTGATTACTACCAATAAAAGGCTTTAAGTATCTAGTGATATCCTCCGAATAAACTACAGAACTATAGAATCCTTGATCTCAGAGTTATCAGACTAATATGAAATACTGTGAAACTTATGTGCAATACGCGACGATATTTATTTGTCCATTTGACGGAGATTATTTATTATTTCCAAATGCCAATTTAAAAATTTTAAGCATATGTTTATGTTTCTTTTATTATTATTTATTAAGGAAATTCAAGACTTGAACGGATTCTAAAGACTTTTGTACAGGTTTTTATAGCATTTATAACTTGAAATCGAATAATGTCGAGAGACAGCAAATATCAATATCGATTTTTGCCCCGATAATTTATAAACTCAGCGTCGTAATTTAATGATAAGACCGTCATATATCAGTCATATAATGTAGATAATAATGGGGTATAATTTTATTTGAATTTTTTAAATCTCAAAAACTCCAGGGGAAAAAAAATCAGAATAAAACAAATGGATTTTACTTCCATCTTCAGCACGAAAAATAAAATGAAACCGAAACCGTTTAGATGGTTTACCCTAACGTTAGTTCTGGAGCAATTCAGAGAATTAATAGTGAGTGTAAACAGTAAACAGTGTACCACTGCTGTCCCAGGATCCAGATGAAACTAATTCAATGAATATTCAAATCTTGCCAATAAAGCACAAAGATGTATCAGTATTTCTTAAATATATTTAGTGTAGTTCATAGGTGCTATGGACGTTTAATAAAAATACGAAAATTTATTGTTTCAGCTATTAATTAATATCGGAATTCACGCCTTAATCTCTTCCCTCATTCCTCACCAGTGAGTTACTACTGTTTTTATAAAAGTATTCTGACTTTATTATCAAGAAATTTACTATTATAACTGTTTTAAATACTTCGTCTTCTTCGTGGAAAAATTGTGGCATTCAATTACAAAAATATTGTTTTAGAGTTCATGGAATATTTTAGAAAAAATATTGGTTTACAATTTAATCGATCATCAACTCTTCTCAGGTGCGTGAACCTGAAAAAATGAGAAAAATTCCTAATTTTGTAGCGAATTGTTAGTTGTAATTTGACACTTACTGCCTCAGCAATATCGATCCAGTCCAGGGCGCTAACGATCGCGTCATTTTTCGAGGGCAATTTGTCGAAATTCCAGTAAGTAAATTTGGAAAAACCTCCAGTCGACACAAATTTCCGATCGTCTGCGGGATTAGCTGGCTTTTTCTGCTCGTAGAAGATGAGCCCTTTGTACCCCTCTGGCACGGTTAAGATTCTACCCTGGAGAGGGTGTCCTCTAAACGAAGCATCGAAATCTGGAAAGAATAAAATTATCAAAGACACTTTAATTACTAAAAAAACTGAAATTCAACAATTTTCGTAATATTCACGATTTAAATCAGCCAAACTTGAGTTTACATAATTCCATTCCATAAAATTAATTAATCATTCACTCCAATCCGCTCTTAAAAAATTAAATCGTACAGGAGACGATTATTCATTTATTTAATTGTAATTAAACGTTCGTAATATCGAAATAAAAATTGATTAAATTGAATTGTAATATTGATATTTGGAAATTTGCACGAAAAATTGCGAAGAATCGAATTGTAAAGGTCCTTTCGATTTAAATGTCTCATTCTTTTAAGACGATAAATTTTATTTGTTCTAACCTAAAACAAAACTCACGTTTCTCATCACTTTTTCTAATATACGGTGTGAAGAATGCGGAAACATTGGCAGGTGTATCTCCATAGATTTTACAAGGAATTGAATGAAGTACAGTTTCCTGCTCCACCTCCGTGTGCTCTTTTTTTATGTCCAGATGAATCGACATAATCTTTAACAATAACAAACCACTCAGCAAGTCGAAAAAACTCTAACCTTCCTCAACGTCCCTGTACCCTCCGAAATTCAAACATCGGGAGTCTCCGGGGAACGAATTTTGGAATTCTATTGGTCAATTTCTCAAAGTTCTTTGCGCATGAATTTTCAAATATCAATTATCTTTTTACCTCAAAGTATGTACTCGTCTCGAAACTCAGTGCACGTTAAATTTTGGTAATTGAAGAATCAGTAACAAAGTAATCACAGGATGTACATCGAATTTTTTCCCTTAGATAATTATTGATTAATCTAAAAAATTATTTAACTTTAGCCAATAGCAAAATGTTATAATTGATGTTTTCGAAATTGAAGCTTTAATTACTAAAGGGATTAATGGATTAATTGATTTTGTAAAAAAAAATCTGCCCCGGTATTAAACATTTTTTTTTTAATTTACCGACGAAAAAAAATTCGAGTGCCAACATCAGAATTTTTTTCTTCTCATCCCGGTTTTTTACGACAATATTAAAACGTTACACTTCGAACTATTAACGTTTTTTAATTAATAAACTATTGACTTCCTTGTATATTCTGATAATTCTTCATTTGCGATAATTTTTCCTGAATTTTCAATTGAAAATTCAAGCTTTCAGATGACTACGGCAAAAATCCGAAGAAATCTTCCCGAAAAAATTTCCGAAAAATTGGTGCGCATTTCACGAGATCAGTAAAAACAGACGGAAAAATCACCCCCGAAAAAAAAACTGCAATTCAAAAGGAACATCCGAAGTAATTCCCGGTGCTTCTGCGCTTGTCCTTCAAACAGGGGCGGAGTCTCCACCCCATGGTTAATATCTCCAATAGGAGTCAAGCCAGAATCTTTTTGGATGCGCTCCAAAAATCCCCGGTTTTGCAACCGAGACGACGAGAACGTCGAAAAAGCGTCGGTCGCACGTCGTCATCGTATTCAAAATCATCCGAAAAAGTCCAGTGAGGTGTAAGTACTCGAGCCGAGGTAAACAAATTTAAAAAAAATCTGGGGAGAAAAGGGGAATTTTAGTCGGGCGGGTTGTGGCTGTGGACCGCAGTGCAGCATCCATTTCAGTTGTAACCGGGTGAGCTTATCCGGTCGTATGGGTGTGCGCATCGATCGAATATGCGTTTTCGTCATGAGATATTTTTTCCACTAGCTGTGAGTCCAATGTTCAGTACATACGTGGATATCAGTTGCGATATATCAACAAGCAACTTCCTCAATCTCAATGAAAACGAGATGGAAATCAGGGTGTTTTGCTAAAACAAGTGTAATCCATACGTTCCATCTCCTCCACTCTCTAATTTTAAACTCATTTGTGAAGTTCAATCAGTGAGATTAACTATTACAATATTTCACATCTAATTTTGATAGTGCGCGATTTCAGAACAGGTGAGTGGGTCAATATAGCGAAGGGGTGGATTTTTATCGACGGAAATTTCCCTGTCTACCGTGGAACTTCAGGAGAATTCTCCTGTGTCCAGTGGAATTTCAGGAGAATTCCCTTGACAATCCCCTCGACAATCCCCTGGATGAGAGGTTTCAGGAGATGAGTACATTTTAATTTAGCGAATTCAGTGATATCGTATCGTCGAGGGGACAGGGAAAGTCGAGAATTTTCCTCATCCCGTTTTCGAGAGAAATCTATGAATCTATGGAAAATAACGAAATCATCGTCGAGTCCTTTTTTGTAGCGGACATTTCACTCTATAAAAAAGGTCTTATGAAAAATTTCACCATCTTCATTATATTAGGCAATATTTATCAGGTAAAGAACAATTGCCATTCCGATGTGATTTATAAAATTTTTTTGTGCACTCATCTTTTACGCCTTTCTTACTCTCACCTAATTCTTTTTTTATCCCCAATAAAATAGTAATTTGTCAACATTTTATCATTTTTATATTATATATTATTTATAATAATAGTATTTTGACCGGTTGATTTTCCAATAAATTTCTCTTGATTTCCTTTCCGTGCAGCTAGGCAATTTGTCCGTAATCTGTCGTTGCTGGATGGTCTGAATGGAAAACTTATTTTCCGGAGTTAATATTCTTCATTGTGGAGTATATTTTTCATCTTCTGGTGCTTTGTGCTCGGTAGTGCGAGAAATTAACAGGTGCTTTTGTTTTTTTATCCTGAGGGAAAGGTCGGAGGTGAGGTAAATATTTATTCGGGTAGCTTGCAGGTATTTAGATCAGTTGGGTTAATTAAATTGCAGTATATTCTTGGTGTTGTTGGGATGGTCCAGAGAGATGTTTGCTCCAGCAGAGCACGCGTGGTTCGCATGTTCTCGTAATCAATGCTAGAGGAATTGGCACGAGTAATAAATGACATGTCCCCTGCCGAGAGCTTTCCCTTTGTCATGCTCCTCCTCCATCGAAAAATCTCATTAAAAAAATAAAGAGTCATGATTAAAAAAATCCGGATGTAACGAAAATTGTTACCTTTCTTCTTCTTCTTTCATCTCATAGTTTAGCTGTCACGAAATTTTTTTTGTGCATAAAAGAATTCTAAAAAAGTGACATATATAATATTCTACAGTTTCCCCACTTATCTATTTAATTTATTATTATTTATGCAATTATTTATGGATTTAGTACCAAATTTAAAAACGAGAATGAGTTGTTTTCACCTAGAGTCAGATATCGATGGATATCTCGCAAACCGAGAGAGATGGAAGATTTTTCATAAACATATTTTCTTTAGAGCGATTTGTGAACTAGAAAAAAGATGTTTAGAAAAATTTTGATATTCCTCCTCATTTAGAAGATAATTCGGACTAATCCCAAATGGAGATTATCAGTTGTTGACTACTTATACCTTTCAAATGGGCCGTTTGCTGGGCCCATTTTCTTCACAACACTGAGTTTCAATTCTTTTTCTCGACTATAAACACCTTGATAATAGGACGTGATTGTCTGAACAATTTTATTGTATTTAGAATTTCAAATTGAAAAAAAAAACTCTCAGAAAGTTTGAAGATCTTTATAATACTAGATTGTAAGTAATAATTATGGTCCTTCATAGTTTGTAACTCGCAATTATAATCTTGAACTCTAATTATTCAATTCGTGCTATTTTTCCACATTATTTCAAATAACTTCGAACCAAAACTAATCTCGGATAGATAATAATGATTAATTTTGCCCCGACGGCGGGTTAAATCGCTCCAGGGGTTCTCCTTTAATTTCCCATTGATTTAGTGAATTCCGAGGAGAATTAATCGCACACACTTTAAGAATAACTAGTGCAGTAGGAAAAAAAGTCCTGAACCAATTTTTTTCATATCCACGAAGAAATAGAAAAGGGAAAATGGCAGTTCCTTAGGTCCTGCGGAAATAACGTCTGATTCTGCTGTCGAGGGGCTGATAATTGTGGCTGCTGGGAGATGAACGGAAATTACGGGATATCGGGGAAATAGTTAATGGATTTCCGTCGTTTAGATTCCACCGGTATCGGTTTTATGGAGTTATTTTTGATGCGGGTTTATTGAATTTTTTAAAGGACGAGAGAACGCTCGAGATGGAGCACTCGAAGATGGCGGAATTGGGGTAGGGCTGAGGGCTTGAAGTTCCTCTCACTCTTTTTGAGGGTTTCTCTTTAAAATTCATGTTTTCGTTTTCTTAAGAAATCAGTCTGACGCATCAGTTGAAACTCTTGAAAATTTTTACCGGACAATTCCGCCTGCAATCACTATTTCTAGTTATCAGTAATGAAATATGAATTTTTACTTTAACTGTCAAAATAATTGATTGTTTATTATCTAAAATAAATAAACCATAATAAAATGTAAATAAACTAAACAACTAAATAAAGAAAATAACCGAAAAATGAATTATTAAATTCGTAGTGAAGTCGATTGTAATTTGTAATTTATTTTAATGAAATATTTTTAGCGGAATTTTCGCGGCGGAAATTTTCATTTGAATCAAGTGAAGATGGGATTTCATTGAGGAAAACAGACTCATGATTCGAGAGTTGCTAAAACTAAGGGGTTTCATCTGGGAATAAGAAATCTTTCATCTCCGTATCCTCTTGCGCATTGAATAAATAATCTCACCTAATTGACCTACTCTCGATTCGGAGTAACGAATGCTGAAATAATAATCTCGATCCTCACATAAAATGCGAAAAGACTGATTGACATCGCCAGCACTCGACACCGAGGATTACACCGGATATGACGATTATTGCCACTTCTCCAGTAACAATTCATACCCTGACACCAGTGAATCTCCATCCAACTCAGAACGGAAACGTAATAACAAAACCCGACAGATGAAAACGAGCGGTTTAATATTTAGGTAGTCTATTAGAGAATTACACTTTGAAATTCAATTGAAAAATCTTGGAATTTTAAACATTCCCAAATTTACCGGAAATTTATCATTATTGTACTCCAAAAAATAAATTTCTTTGAACATTCAATGAAATTCTGTAATTGAGTGTTAACACGAGGGAAATTTCCTCGGAAATTAAAGGAATAGCGAAATTTTGGTAATTACCTTTTTACTAGATCTCAATCAGCTCTACAAAAAAGGTAATAACGAAACTTTTGCTATCTCTTTAAATTCCGGAGATATTTCCAAATAACGAGGTAAAGTAAATTGCCAGTAAAATACGTCAGCAGAATTGTCGTTTCCGGGTGCGCACGACGATTTTCTCGTAAATTACGAACAATAGCGGAATTTCCGTAAAAAGCTTTCTTCTAGCTCTCAATAAGCTCTACAAAAAAGGTAGTAACAAAAATTGTGTCATCTCCTTTAGTTGCTGAGGTATTTTCGAAAAACTAAATAAATTAACTTGCCAGCAAAATTCGCGAGTGGAATTCTCGTTTCCCGGTGCATATGACATTTTTTTTTTTAATCCTGAAAACGTGAAAGTGGAATCCGCTCTTAGGGCGGAAATACAGCCACACCCTCTCCTAATTGGAATTTCTGAGTCAAGTGTGAGAAGTATGAGTCAGGAAAATGCGAAAACGAGAAGATGTTCCATTTCGTTAGCACTCATCTCCATTCTCTGGTATTCAGGTTTATTACTGAGGATAAAAATTTATAGAGTACGTGAATTACATCAGGTGAATATCAAGTCGGTGCGTATACCGGTAAAACTCACGAGGTAATTAAAAAGTGAGGGGAAACATGCAGCATTGGTCAGACTGGCAGATTAAATTCTCGGGGTTCTGTTGGACGATGATTTTTCATGGTCCTCTGGGGATTGAGTTTATATCGATTTCGGGGATATATGGCGGTCTGATTCTGTGAATGCTCGATAACCTGATTATAATCAGCCGAAACTCCAGTCATATTTCATTGCCGCCATTTATCAGTTTTACGTTTCATTAATCGATGGATTTCGATCTACTCCAATCCAATTTCTCGTCTCGATTTTCTTCTCAATTGAGTTTAAAAATCATTTCGTAATGGAACTTTATTCGACCCATCAGAATTAGTGCAGAGATTCTGCTCTTACTCAATATTTCAGTATTATTTATTATTATTAATTATCTGCAGTATTCGACGAACAGAAAATTTGATGAAAACTTTTTTTTTCTCTTTCGGTTTTCCTCATAGGATTTTTTTAATTAAATAAATGTATTGTATAAATTGATTGGATGTAATAATTTTTTTGCGGTTTGGTATAGCTTTTTAGATGTATGTTCAGAGGAAAAATCTCAAGAGAAAATGGAAAATTGATTGAATTTTTCCAGACAATTACCGTTGGCATAAAAATATAGTTCCCTCCCCTAACAAAAATATTGCCCTAAATTTTCAAACATTTCTATTGAATAAAGAAAAATTTCCAACTGACTATTTTCCATTGTGAAGTTGAATTCGATTCAGAAAGTTCGTTGTTAAAAATCCGCGTTGAGTAATGGATTGAAATAAAAAGTTTTAATGAGACCCATCCGTTACGTTCCGAGAAATGTGTAATTATTATAGAACTCCTAACAATGCGTTCGTCCAATGTCTGAAAATCATCGGAAATCCGTGAAGAATGAATAGAAAAATGAAAGTCCATAACAAAAGTGTAATTGAAAAGAAGAACTTTAGGGAAAAATAATCCCATATTCCCCCATCCCCTGGATTTTCATTTAAATTTCCACCTCCAAGTAATTTCTTCACACGAGTAAATTCCAATTCTCCCATCAACACCACATCTCAACAACAATAACAATATTAATTTTGCATGATTTATTGATCATGCTAACATCCCATTAACATTTTTAATTAATTTATTAGATCATCGACCAACAGATGGGTCAATTGATTACAATAAATAATTGAAACGTAGGAAATTAAAAATAAAAATCAATATATAAATAAATAAATGCATAAAAATGTTTACCTTTTTAATGCCATCTAGAAAGGTTCCACCGAAAATATGTGATTAAAATCCCAAAGTAAAAATGAATTAATTTTTCACTTTGCATTGATGACCGTTTCTATCTGAATGTGTTGTTGTTTATTATTTAAATATTCATGTTCAGAAGTAGCGGAGGACTGGATAAATCCCCCATTCATCGTGAAACTACAGTAGTGGATTCACAAGTATTTAAATAAACATTGAACAGTGAATGAGAACTCAGTGATCCCGACATGTCTCACTGCACTCGATCAATCCCTCGGAATTCAATAGACACATTGAAGTAATAAGAGGAATTGAAAACACCGGAGTAATGCTCTCCGAGGAATTTTCGATAATTGTGTTCTCCAGTACATCACCGGCGATTAGATGCCGGAGAAAAAATAATGTGTCGCCCTGTGGAGATGTATTTATTCTGAAACTGCTGATAACATTTTGCTGTGTCATTGGCACCAGCTGTGAGCCCCTCAGGGGTATCAAGGACTTACAAAGTGCTCTCCATGAGGATCGCTCACCACCACCTTTCCTTGGACACTGCGATTTCGAGAGACCCTGCAGATCCTGGAGGCACAAGGAACACTTTCAGAAGATTACACCGCAGGCTAGGAGAGATGGACTACCCAAGACAGATGCCAGTAATGATCCAAAAGGTCTTCACTATTTTTATTTCAATATTTTTGGTTGACACGGAAAAAATCATCTACTGGGGTCTACACTATTTTAAAAAATATAATTTGAATTAATTAAGTTTTTAAATGAACACATCACTTCAATAATTCTATTCAATTCAGCTCCACTTTTTAAGTGAAACATATTAATGTTGAATAATTAGAATAATAATTATTGAAAATGAAAAAGTGAAAATTTATTAGAATTTTGACTTAAAAATACTTGTCGTTTTTTTACATGAAGTAAAATCATTAATTAGTTTTCTGATTAATCAGCAGTTGTTTTATGTGACATTTTTCCGGCTTTTCTGAAAATAGAAGAACTTTTCCGAATCGTCAATGAAATTCTGATTTTTCGGATGATCCTACGACAAAAATGAGGGAAAATCATGAAAATTCTGGTGTTGATTTTCCTGAAATCTGGAGTGATTAGAAATTTCAATATCGAATTGATCATTGGATTAAAATCCACGACGCAAGGATTTCAGTTGCACGCGCACCTGAAAACTGAATTGATTCCTAACTATTAATTACTTTAAAAAAAATTGATAAGGACAAAGGATAATTTTTTTATCTATCGATGTTCTAGGGCATTTCTTGTGGTTGAAAGGGCCTAGTGAGGGACAGTTATGGTCGGTGGCAATTCCTCCCACCGGGGCCCAGTGTTTCCTGGAGTTCGCCTCTCGTCAGGTGCAAATGCATGACGGAGTCATCAGACTCATCATCGAGACTAATAATGACACCACCTCCGTCGCTGCCGAGCGTTTCGGAAATAACGATGCCAAGTACGCACTTCATTTATTAATAATTCTAAAAGTAAACATTCATAACTTTATCATTATAAAATTCCGCCTGACGTCGTAAAAAATATGATGAGTCGATTTAAAATTCTCATTAAGTAATAATGATTCTCTTTCTCTGTCGCATCTTTTAAAAAAATTGACAAGGAGTTAATAGAAATTATAACAGAAATTTAACTGAATTTTCTGGGAGATTGGCGCGGTTTTTATGTTCAATCTTCTCTTTACTATTAATTAATTATTGCGAGCCTGTAGGTAATGATTAGTCATTAAAAAATCAATCTTTTTCGATTTTTATTATAGAAAAATTCGAATAAGATTGACTCAAGGCTTATAGAAATTCGAATCGAAATGGGATTTTGTAACAGATTGTCTAGATTTTTGTGTGGAATTTTCCAACTGGTGTTGAGAAATTATTGTAAATTTCTGTTTGTCTAGATGGAATATAACGAGACTGAAACTCGGAGATATCAGTCAGCCGTACAGAGTCGGTTTGGAGATCGGGGTACCAGCGAATGGTAGCATTGCCATTGACAATATTCGGTTGGATGATTGCTTTCCAGAGTCAAAACCATTGAATACACGTAACAACTGCACGCCTGATATGTTTCGGTGCAATAATGGCTCGTGTCTCAACAAAACCCGAATCTGCGACTTGACTCCAGATTGTGCCCAAGGCGAGGATGAAGTATTAGAGTGCGGTAAGTCAAGCTGAAGCTTCTCCAGGTCGGTCTCATTGTCACTGAGTATTCCCCACACCCAGAGAGCCAAGAATTCCAATCGCTAGCTATAAACGTCAATAAATTTTCCAACAGAAAAAATAAATAACGAAGAAGTAAAACGTCAGACAATTTCCTTGACAATATATCATTTTATATACGAGGGAATATCTCCGATCTTGAAAGAGATAGCGATATTTTGTTGGAATGTTTGTTGTAGCTTTTTTTCTAATGTACGTAAAAGATTTTTTTGAAAATTTCGATATGTCTCATCAATTCGGAGATATTTCACGAAAACTAGACAAGGGAACCAATCGATTTTTATTTACTTTTTATTTACTCGAATTCGTTCAATTTGAATATTTATTTTATTCCACATGTGATTTTTGAAAGAATATAAATGCTTTCAATAATTGGTTTGATTTTAATTAATTATTCAATTTCATTTGGAGCTATTGCTTTTTATGAGAATTCAGATAAAGTACCGGAAACTGCGAGATGTAATTTCGAGCACGGCTGGTGCGGCTGGACAAATGCACCGGACAGTCAACTCCAGTGGACGCTCCATCGGGGCTCTACACCCTCTGAAAGAACAGGTCCTAGTTATGACCACACTTATCGCAATGAAACAGGTGAAATTCCACTCAATTTCTCATTCAAAAAACTCTGAAAAGTCAATTTTTAACAATTCGACAATATTTTTCCTGCATTACCATGCAATTGGAAATTCCAGGGATTGCCTTAATTGATTAATTCATTTTAATATTCACCTTCCAAAATTAAATAATAAATTTGAACTGCCCTCGAAATAGAAATTACAATGGAATTCCCGATTTAAAAAATGAATTACTCCCATTTTTTAATTGAAAAATGGCGTAATAATTTTTTCTCAATAATCAATCTATTCAAAATTACACAGAATTCAATATCCACTTCCGTAATTAAATAGAATATGTAAACGGTCCTTGACACATAAATTTTCTTGAATGCTCAAGATGAGAGGTATCATCCCCTTAAATTGAATCACATAAAATCGCTACCCCGTGATCATTGACAACTGGAAATCAAATAAATATTAACAAGTGCAATAAATAACCCCGTAACACAGAATTAATTTGAATTCTCTGGAGAATATCTCAGCCGATTAAAACTATCCCAATTAAACTTTATCCCCCAGCCTGTGAGGCCATTGAGAATTACCATAAAAGCCCTCGAATAACTCCCCCCGAATTTCGAAAAGGGCGAGTCATTAAAAAGTTGAGGTCCCACCGCCTCCAGAATGCACAGCTATCTCCAGAGGATCTCCCCACGTTCTCAGAAATTATTCTATTCACGGGATAAAATCATCCCTCTGACTAGATCCCAGATCTCCTGGCCTGACTAGATCCCAGAATTATTCCAACGTGTCTTGAAAATTTTTCTATACCCTCCAGGAACTTATGCATTCGTCAACTCGTCGAGAGGCAATGGACTTGGAGATCGAGCTACGTTGAATAGTCCTGTCTTCAATCCTACTCCACCATACAGCAGTGATCCCGATAGTCCGTATGAGCACTCCTGTCAGATGCGATTTTTTTTTCACCAGTACGGAACATTCAGTGGTTCACTCGGATTATATCTCATACAGATGAAACCACATCAGAATCAGTCCCAGAGACTCTGGTGGAGTTACGGGGATCGCAGTGATATTTGGTACAATCAAGTTGTTGCATTACCCAATATAAGATACAGGTACGTTTTTTTGAGAAAAAATTTACTCTTTTTAGTGTGAAATTATTAATTTTTATATTATCGCGATATATTCCACGCGATTTTTGCGGGAATTCACTCTCTCAAACAACTCAATGAAAATTTTATTAAATGATTTCACTTGGTTTTTGTGCCAATTCCATTAAAAATTCATTGCGTGTATTTAAATAGATATTTAGTTACACGAAAATATCGAAAATGTTGATTTTTCGATTGTTGTTTATGGCTTTTATTTAATTTCATTCATATAAACAAGAAAAAATGGTGTGACAAAAACACGCGCGGAAATTAAATACACGATTTCATATGGAAAATAATATAAAATATATATATTCTATGAAATTATGATAATTTTTACAGGATTACAATATGGATTCAATAGAAATTTCTTAGAAAATGTGCCGGATTTTTAATTAATTTTTTAATGCCCGAATATCTGCGATAATATCGGTTCACATGAAATTCCACTTTCCGCGGACCTATATCTCCCCAGGAATTTAATTACGAGTGTCGACTCTTCGTTCGTGCACCCACAGATGTTTTTTTTAATAAAAGGCAAAAAGGTTGAGTTACTCTGCATCGTAACTTGGTTTGGTAATTACATCTGCTTTCATTGAGGGCTCCATGAATATTCAGAAAAATTTCACGTGCAGAAATTTCAAATACTCAGGATTAAACTATCCGCTTTTACAGGATACGTAATTTGTACACGAGTAAAAGATACTCAACGCGAAGTAACAAGCGGAGTTAATGAGTTAATGTCTTCATTAAGTTGATGTACACCCACGGAATTATTGATCGAAATTCAATCATTTGAACCGGAAATTCAACAAAATTAAATTCAGAATTTACCCGATTTTCAATCACTCCCCATGTGGACTTGACATTTGCCATTTCATTAAATATTCGCCTAATTAAGAGTACATCAATGGCTTTATAAAAGACAGGCGTAAGTGCCTTCTTCTCCTAGAGATGAAAACCCAGATTTTTCTTCTTAAATTTCATTATGCGAAAGAAATGAAAACAATACAAAAAATCTTATAAAGTTTACGGGTAAAAATTCCAATGCAAAATGAGAAGCTATTAATTGTTGATGCAGGTAATAATTATTGGCAAAACAATGCAAATTGAATATTTAAATAGTACCGTAATAAAAATGGAAGAGAATTGTTATGGAGTTGTAACGCGAGTTCTTGGGCAATTCGACTGGTCAAATATTGTAAAATGGAATATTCTGTCACACCAGTCTCAAATTAACAATAACAATCCCCAATTTTCAATCGCCAGATATTTTTTACAATTCGAAGCGAGCAAGAGTTTCGCAGCGAAGGCCGATATCGCCATTGACGATTTTTCATTGAGTCCCGAGTGCTTCGGAATCGGTAAGTGAAACTTTCCAAAATCATAATTGAACCGACAATAAACAAATAAATCAATATTCATTATTGTCACTGTGTAATTTACTCAGGTGTGCCACGGGATGTAGTGGGCGATTTCAATTACTACAGTCCAGTTATAGAATCCGAGCATCAGATTAAACAACATTTCGACTTTGCCAATGAAACAGGTGAATTAGCATTTCTAACGCACAAAGGATTCTCCGTTCTATTTTCAGATGCCATTTCCTCACTTGTGCAATTCAACTTAATATATTTTCAGTGATCAGAGTAACGACTTGCGGAGCTGTTGGAAGGTATGGCCCAACGTTGAATCAATGCACAGAGTACAATGCAGCAGAATTAGAATCTCAAGTGGTCCATACAGCCTCTTCATCAAATACCAGTCTCGAGGAAATTTCTAATTTTCATACAATAGGTTTGTCACACAGTTTTCATTCATTTTCTTCTATACACAAAATCTAAGGATCTAAAAGATGAAAGGATGGCCCTTTCAGCCAAAATTTTCTCTCAGTTTCTTGACAAATTGTTGAGCGGATTGAGCTAGAAAAATATATCGTTTTTGCATTTTATTATTATCTCATAAGTTTAGAAGAAATGCATGGAAATTATTGCGGTCATGACATTTTGGGAGTCGTTAAATAATGATTGCAGATTTTAGTTCTGAATTCAATTTTTCTTGAAGGGAATAATTAATTGTTCTTTTTTTGGAAATACCTGGGATTTTTTTATTTTTAATAGAGACACTTTACGTTTTCTTGAAGAAATTTTAGTGGCTTTGTCGGATTCTCTCCTATCGAAAAAATAGAATTATGAGCTGAATGCGACGACGTCGACAATTCGTGTCGGTGTAATCTATGGAGACAGTGTTTGTGCATTACATCTTCACTATTTCGGGTCGCTGGGCGGAGATTGTGAATGAAAAGGCACGTGCGACTCTAGTTTCTGGCATATTTCCGGATTTATATCGAGAACTCTTATTCCAACTGATATTGAGCTGCTCTTTGATAGTCGACGTTGTTTTTAGAACTGAAATCATCTCTGTTTCGAAATTATTCTTGCAATTTACAAAGAAAGGCACTTGGAATTTGCAACAAATTTCGTGAAATATTTTTTTTTCTGTATTTCGAGACAATTCCAGACACAATTCGATAATTCCACATTTATTTTGGAAAATATCGAATTAACATACCGTCGAAGGAATTTTTTAATGACTCATGAAATAGCCAGTATAATTTTTATTAGAAATCATTCAAAAGAATTTTCGGTAATCTCTACCTTCCCCAATTTTTTTTTCTAAAATCGAAGCGAGTGTAGATTTTTTGGCTATAACTTAAATAATTTTCTTTGAGTTTTCTGGGAAATTGATGACTGGATTGACCCGAGAAAAATATATCGTTTATGAATTTTATTATGATAAACTTTGAATTCAATTAAAAAGCCCGCCAAAAATTCCGTCATCCACTGAACGTCTCGGGGATTCCCCTAGGTCTGCAAAAATGGACAGTGCCGCGTGGCGGCTACTACACACTAATTGCATCGGGTGCAAGAGGTGGCAGGGGCTCTGGTGGAATGGGCAGCACCCTGGGGGCCCTAGCCCGTGGTGTAGTAGAACTGGAAAAGGGCCAGACCCTGTACTTCCTGGTGGGTCAACCGGGAGCGGACGCGTGCACAAAAAGTCTGGGTAAACAGAATCCTTGTGTCTCCAGCGGTGATGACAATGAGCCCCCGTCCGTGGGGATCAGTTCATTCGTCCGTGAGGTAAAAAAAATGAAATTGACCCACGGAGGGGGTGGCGGCGGTGGTGGGACGTTTGTCTTCACGATAAGACCTTCAGGTGATCTGCAGCCGCTGTTGGTAGCAGGAGGAGGTGGTGGATTGGGTTTTGGAAAATTTACAGACGATGGAATTCAGCACGGGCATCCGCCGACGTCAGAGAGAACGCAAATTCAGGGTTTCGCTCCGACGGAGAAGGCAGGTGGAGCTGGTGGGGGCTGGAACACGTCATCATCGACGGACATGGGATCCTTAGCGATGGGTAAATCCCTGATGAAGGGCGGCATAGGCGGTAAAGGCTGTCACGAGCGCAATAATTCCCTGGGGTTCGGCGATGGGGGATTTGGGGGTGGCGGCGGTGGCTGTCGAACAGGTGGCGGAGGTGGTGGCTACCTGGGGGGCACAACAGGGGTGAAAAGTTCAGCCAATGGTGAGGGAGGCTACAGTTATGGCTCCCCTGAGCTTCTGCATCCCTACTTCAAGGGGGGCTTCAACCCCGGCCCCGGGGAGATATTCATAATCCCCGGAATCAGCGGGTGCGGCTGCGATTTTCGATGTGTCGCTGTTGATCGGCATCTCAGTGAGACCCGATGCCTCTGTCCCCCCGGGTGGCAACTTGGAAATGACTCCAGATCATGCCTCGCTGACGAGGTCGACGGGGCACAGCAGACTTTTGTCATTGCTCTCGTGGCCGCTTGCGTCGTACTGTTCTTGACCTCTTCGGGCCTATGCTTCCTACTTTACAATCGTTATCAGAATAAAAAAGCCCACCAGGAACGCAGACAGAACATGTTCGGAAATGGTACGGAACTTGCTGCACTGCAGACCCTCACCACCGAGAACATGATGACGGAGTTCAATCCTAATTACGAGTTCGCTGGTAATTTGTACAGTATTAAGGATCTACCGCAGATCCCCAGGGAGAGTATAACGTGTGTGAAACCTCTGGGACAGGGGGCATTCGGGGAGGTCTTCCAGGGGGTGTACAAGTTCAGGAGGAATGAGGAGGCGCCAATTGCCGTCAAGACTCTGCCGACGGTGACGACGTCCCAGGCAGCTGCTGATTTCATGATGGAAGCGCTCATCATGAGCAAGTTTGATCACCCAAATATTGTCAAGTTCATTGGAATTTCATTTGATAAAAACCCGAGGTACATTGTACTGGAGCTACTGGCGGGGGGTGATCTCAAGAATTTCTTGAGGGAGGAGCGACCTAGACCGGACAGAGCGACTAATTTAACCATGAGGGATCTCGTTGTTTGCGCTCATGATGTCGCAGGGGGCTGCAAGTACATGGAAGACGCAAGATTTATTCACAGGGACATCGCAGCTAGGAATTGCCTGCTCACCTGCAAGGGACCTGGCAGAGTCGTCAAAATTGCGGATTTCGGAATGGCCAGGGATATCTATAGGAGTGATTATTACAGGAAGGGCGGCAAGGCCATGCTTCCTATCAAATGGATGCCCCCCGAGAGCTTCCTGGATGGCATTTTCAGCACCAAGACTGATGTTTGGTGAGTCTTTTATTTTAAAAACTATATCAATTCAATAAATATTGATATCGATATTTCCTTTCGACGAATAAACTCTTTCTGCCCTTAAAAAATTTATTCAAAACGTACAGATGATCTTCTCGTATTTCATATTCAATTAAAATAGAATCCAATATTTTACTCAACACTTCCCCAGTGCAATTGAGACTAACGGTAATTTCTCTCAATTATTTACCAAATAAAGTCAATAGATTTCCTTCGCGTTATCCCCTGATGATCGTCTCAATGAAGACGTTAACGAAGTTAATTAAATTCCAGGGCGTTTGGGGTGCTGCTGTGGGAAATTATGTCATTCGGCTATATGCCGTACACGGGTTGTGCAAATAGGGAAGTAATGTCGATGGTAACGACGGGGGGAAGACTGGAGAAACCCGCAGGGTGTCCCGATCCACTTTACGGTATCATGGCGAGGTGCTGGCACCCCAGGCCCGAGGATAGACCGAGCTTTGCGACGATTGTGGAACGATTGGGCTATTGCCTGCAGGATCCAGACGTTATCAATCATCCCATGCCTAATTACGATATTCTCCCGGATTGTGATAGGGAAATTACCATCATGAGGCCAGATCCTGAGGCGGAGTGCATTAACGTGAATACTGAGGTAAGTTCAAATCGTTTGCTCTAATTATCTTTCCAGTGTCATTCTTTAAAAATAATATCTACCTACTTTGCATGTAATTGGAGCTAATTACTTTAATGTAATCCATGATTTTTTAAAGCTTATTTAACGAGCTTTTAAATATGTACACAAAAAAATGAGAGGAATATCCCAAAAATTGAATGAGAAATATAAATAATTCCGTTCCATATTTTCTAGCTCAGTTAACAAAATTATAAAATATTTATGCACTTGAAAAAATTAGAATTGCTGGAGATTCCTTTTAAGCTGCAATCCTCGCTTTATTAATAATTAATTAAGATGTTAATAATTGAGGGATTTTTTCTCTGGAGGAGGAAATATCGTCTGACATTAGCTGGAGTAATACCTACTAACAGAAATAGTGGCTTGCTGGTTGAAAATTGAGTGTCTGAACTTGAAAAAAAAGAGAGATACACCAGGCCCTATTTGAATGTTCGCTAGGTATTGTAGGGTATCAACAATGGCCATGGGAGTTGTGGCATATTCTCAGGTTGTTCATAAATTTGTGCATAGCTGGACGGATGTGGGTACATGCAGCCACGATCCAACTTTCGACCCGCTGCTTATCGGATTGGAGTTGTTCCTGGCATTGTCTATGCGTCGTTGCGACATTGTGATGACTTCGAGGGAGAAACTATTCAGGAAACAACACTGGTGCATCCAAAGGAACTCGAGGCACAATCTGAGAATACCAGGGGGAGAGCTATCTCTGATAATGAGTCGCCTAAAAACTTCATCCATTTGAATACTCAGGTAATCAACTTTCATTTTTCCATTCCAATTCTTGATTTTTCTTTAATATTTGTATCGTTTTCTTGTTATTATAAAAGAAAAATACATGTGTTCAGTATTAATCCATTAAAAATTAACAGGAAAATGCTAAAAATCAATACGATAGCGAGAGGAAAATGGAAATGAATGAAGACACGAATGTTTCTCGATGCAACAACATCCCCCACATGAACAGTCTTAACAAGAACAACAATCACAACGTCAACGGTGAAAGCACCACGACAACTGATACGAATTCCGACTCGGTGGGTGTCGTATCCTCGACAACGCCACCTGATACCGTTGTATCTTCTCCCAATACGAGAACCTCATCACCGAGTCATATCGTCACGACTCCTAATAACGTTAATGGACTAATAAAAAAGAGTGCACTCAAAGCAGCGCTGAGTCTTGATCCGAGTACTCTCTATCGGGGAACTATTCCGTACGAGAAAATTGCATTTTCATCGCCACCACCCCGTTCCGGCAATGAAACCGTGGAAATGAGGAAGGTAATTCTGTTGATAGATTTTATGAGGTCTGAGGGTGATGAAAATGAGATAAATCGTGAGGTCAACGAATCAGAGACTAGTCCACTGGTCTAATTCTCAGAGAATGATTTATTTTCTTTAAATATCAAGATTAAAAGACGTCAGTAATTCAGATTTGCACAGTAATATAATGCTGTAATTTGTTTCAAATTAAAAATTCACAATTGAATGCCAAAATTGAAAAAGAAATGATTTTCATGTCTTGAAATGATCGACAGGACTCCCTCAGCCATGAATTACCACGAGAGGAAGAATGCTCCTGCTGAGACTCATTCCCTGGGGACTGACGCGACTGTTCCCTCTTCTACAGGCCCAAGAGAACCCCAAAGAGATCCAGCTCAATGCCATCAATAAGACTCAAGTCTTACGATGAAAAGTGCAGCGTCACACGGTACTCATCCGAAGAAACGCTCGTCTGATATTCAATGACTAGTTTCTACATTATTTTTTACACCAAGAGGCTGCGACCCAGGCCCACAGATAAGTATTTGCTAATAGCCAGAGAGACTATTTTTATTTCCAACTGTGAAGCTTTCAATACGAAACAAACTGTCGGATTAATAATCACGACGAAAGTAGACTAAATAGAGTCTAAATAATTACTCAGTGCATCAATTATTTATTCATTAATAATTCCGTGAAGCGTTGGAGACCAGGGGATTAATTCATTACTCTGTCAGTCTTATTCTCATTATTAATCGTTAATTACCCCTAGGCATCTGAATTACTAATTATTCCATTTAATTGGTGAATTATATAGTAATCCAAGACTCATCATTATGGAAATTAATTGAGGAAATTATTGTCTTTTCGAGAAAATTTGCTCGAATTTCGATTGGAATTCTCGTTTTCCAAAGAAAAATCAGATTCATAAATTAATTGTGGGATCTGTTCGCAGCATTCTAATAGAACTCCAATTGAATTTCAATTGAATTTCTTATAGAAGACGCAAAGTTTTTCTGTTAAATTTTGTTCACGATTGAATTAATTCATTAATTGGAAAGTCACGGGGAAATAAATTCCCTCTATTCTCCACCACTTCATTATAAATTTCATTAACGTTTGATAACTCAGTCGACCATTGGCATTTATCGAACTGATAATGCATTCAGTGTTAGAATGCCTCCCCATAATTTAGAGATTATAAATAAAACGTGTAAAACAGTATTTATACGAAAATGCATAATATAACAGATAGACGTAAATCCTCGTGTCTGGTGAATATGCGTGTAGTCCAAGTAAGAACAATACAATTAAAAAAAAATAATGTACTCGAGTCGATGGAACACATAGCGTAGAATCTTCGGCGTAAATCATTGTTATAAGAAATTTTAATTTTATAAAATTGTTGTTTGTCGAGTGCGTCATATTATTCATTTACCAGCATTTTTAAAGTGGAATATCGGGGTATAAATAATAAATTATAACGGTCGTTGATTCGACCCGAAGCTTTAAGAGGTAAATACGCACATCTGTTTCTCGGAAATGGATGGAGTACAGTGATTATTTAACGAGGTATGTCCCTCTGCTGGTTTATTATCGCACGGGTGTGAGAATTTATTTAAGCATGTTCTGTACCTTCTCACCGAAATTAACGGCTTTTTTTAGTTTTCTCAAAAATTCTTAATTGAATTGACGCGAAAAAATATATGGTTTTTGCAAATTTTAAAATGTCATGATCGTGCAATAATGAGAAAATACAAAGACAATACGTTTTTTTCGGGTCAATCTGATCAACAATTTATTAGAAAACTAAAAAATCGATAATTTTTGCGATCAAAATCTAGCGAATTCAAAAGATCATTCTATTCGATTTATCTTGGAATTTCTATTAGTTTTTCATTGAATTTGTTGTAAAATTGAATTGTAAAACTCAGACAGTCATTTTATGGAGAAATTTGAATTTTTCTGTCACATAGTTAATACAATTCGATTTTTTAATCGAATGTTTCATTAAAAATGGTAAAAAATTTTTAAAAAGTTCTATAAAAATTCCAGAGAGTTGTATATCGAATTCGCTAGGTTTTTCCATTCAATTTTTTGGTTATTATTAACTTTAGGGTGATGAAAGAATTTGTAAAGAGTCATATCGCTGGGCGAGTGAATTAGGGATTATTAGAGTCACGCGTGAAAATTGATAAAAAATTTGCACTTTCTCTAATGAATTCTCATTAATTTCTCTTGGAATATCAATAGATTTTCCTTTTTCAATAATATTTAGTTGTTAATTTTCCAGTTCTGGAAATCATCTATTAAGTGATCGTTAGAGGATTTTGTTGTGATTGAATTCCCGATGAAAAAGTCTTTTAATATTCGATAAAATTTTTTAGAGAACGCGCAATATTTACCGATTCAATCTTTCCATACAAAGAGGGACAGATTTCAATCAATCGAAAGGGATTTATTGTGCTAGAGGCTCGTTGTATTGTCGTAGCTGTACTATAACATCAATAAATGAATTTTTTATTGTAATCCATCAAGATTGTTACTTTCCCGTGAATTTTGTGTAAATTCCCTGGACTGAATTTCCGACTGAAAATTAGTAATTTTGGAAAGAAAATGTAAGCCGACGAAATCCATCTGCAAATTATTATTAATTTTCCACTCATTAAATTGTAATCGAAATGCGTAGGAGTAATTAGCAATTAAATAGTTGTAAACAATGGCCTACGATTGGCAGATACGACTGTACGACGGATGACTCAAGCACAACCACGAAATTATTGAGATAAGTAATTTTATAATTAATGAACAAAATACGTAATATTATATAGGCCAAGTGTTCCATTATTCGCAGCTTGAACGTATAACATGCCCATGTAAATGGCTTCGTTCATTTTTATTTCACCCAACAGCTGAGGCCCAGGGGTCTGTAACACCGATTTTGTTAATTATTTTCAAATGCAATCGATTTTCAAATCAATTTCATAATTTCCGCAATTTTTACACGTTTTCCATCATTTCAAAATCGATTTTTTCGTGAGACTTGATTTCATTTAATTAAATAAAAAAACGTATTGATTTATTCAATTCAATACGGATCGTTTTTTTTCTATAAGATTGATTGTTATTTATTAATTTGGAAATTACTGGCCCCTTGGGTGAGAGAGTAAATAGCGTGAAAAATATCTGAAGATAAAATAGTAACGAAACGAAGAATGTAAATTTCTCCATGCGATTATTTGCTCAACAATTCAGATGCACAAATAATTTTTCAATCTGTATAAATTGACGATGTTAAATACAGGTAGGACTCATACGTGAAGATTTATTAATAATTTTGTATAGAATTATAAAATCAATACCATGTACAAAGTAATTCTGTGATGTTCCATATTCTCTGAATCGTCTCAGATGTATCAGGAATGCAAAATTGTCATTGGAGCAATGTGGAACTTGTAATCGAGGAACGAATAGTGTGGGAGTGAGTCACTAATGTATTTAGGAGACGATATTATATTTATTTGTCAGGAGAACTAGTCGATTATTTCCTTGCATCTCCATGAATTGCAGAAATGCTCAACGAGAATTTGTTACTGTCAACACCGACTTCACCATTGACTGCAGCATTGACAGGTTTGGAGTTTGGTTTTAAAATGAACTTTAGCTGTGCCCCATGACCCTCTCAAAGACAATTATCTCCTGAAAAATTACTATATACTTAGCTATCGGTACATTCATAATCATCAGAATATAACTCGCAACATTTTTCGCATTGTTTTTTTTTTATTAAGTACAAAGAAAGTATAGTCAAAATATTGATAAGAGATGTGGGTCAGAGTACAGCTAATGCAATCTCAGAATAAACATCAACTGCATCATTGGAATTGTAATAAATAATTGGCTCTGGTGTAGGTGAATTTGAAGGGAGTAAAATCCTCTCGCCGCAGAATTATACTCAGTTTTTATCGGATTCCCCAGGTACCACCATTAGAGCAACGGCACCGATGGCTGATACATCTAGAAGGTCCCACGAAACACCGGAGGAATGATGCACATTCTGAATCCGTGATGCATGAATAGACTAAACAGAACAAATCAATTTATTCATTAATTTTTATTCAATTATTCGTCATTAGAATTTGTTTTATCTATAGAAAATCTCTGAGATTCCAAAAATTTCATGTTATATAAATAATTCAACGAAATTATTATATTTAATTATTAAATTATTACACATTGAATTTTTGTTTGCACTCGATTGGGAATAATTTCTAAAATTGCAAAGTGGGGTAATTAAACTCCAATTGTTAGCTTTTTAGGGTACTTCTCGAAAATTTTATGGGATAATTACAGGTGAAAATAGAGAATTATTATTGAATTTTGTTGCTACTTACGTGCTGACGTTGATGTCAAGCAGAGCGACAAAGCGATTATCAAAACCACAGCCGTGATAATTTTCATTGTGGAATTAGTCGGGCTCGACGTTTACTGTTGAGATGAAGAAATTGGAATGATCTCAGGGTATCACGTCTTACGATTTTATATCGCCACTCCATGAGATTGAACTTTTTGAAAAAAGTGGGAAGTTCAGGGGAATTACTATCTGACGTTGGTTGTTTGCTGATTATTTTCCACACGAGTGGTTTTCCGCTCCTCATCGATATGAATAATTTTTAGGGACAGAAGAGAAATCTCAGAAGGAAGGGGAATAACTGGAGGACTTTTGACTGAGAAAAATTCGATAGGAAAATTTCCCCAGGGAATTTCATTTCATGATTTTCCTGGAAAGGCTGTGGGATTTACAGGCAAAGGAAATCCATAAGAAATTGTGGGAATGATTTTATTATTCTCCTGGAATCATGGGGCTTTTTTAAAATGATAGAAAAAAAATTTAAAGATAAAGTTTAAGATCTGAAAATTATTCGCTCGGAAAAAATTCCTCTGAAGGAATGAAAAATATTTGAAGATATTCGTCGCAAAAAATACGAGACCAAATGTCATCGTAGTCCGATAAATTTTCCTGAACGACTAATATTTTTACTCGTTCTTTATTTGGGGATAATTTTAGATAAAATCTGTTTTTTTAGTAATTTATAACCGGATCAAGAATATGCCCATATAATATCTAAGGAGCTGACCTTATCAACCACACGTGTGGAAATAATGGAATTATACTTGTTGTAAATATGTAAGGACAGGTTTTAAAGGTTCGCAGCTGTGAAATTATGTTTTCCGAGGAATTATGTTCAAATTTAATAATTAATTCATTAATATCAAAGGAGTTGGCAGTTACACATGTGCTAATATTGGCTCAATTGTTGTTGGAATTCAATACGTAATAAATCAACTCTTTTATGACCTCTTCCATGGTCAAATTTCTGGTAATTGGTTTTCTGGTAATTTTATAATTACATAATAATTCATGCAGAAACTCAACAGTCAGAAACTCACAAAGAAATTCAACAGAATTCTAGCGAAAAGTAGATGATAATCAGAATTTTAAATTAATTTTCCTTCAGGTAATTAATTACTCGACTTTTCTGTTGATTCTCATTTTGATCCATATTTTTAAAAGAGTGATTGGAATATAGGAGAATTTTTAAGATAATTTTTTTCGTGGATAGAAATGAAGAAAATGCTTCTCTCATTCGTAAATATCGCAGTATCCGTGATTTCCTCTTTATGACGCAACGTAATTAGATTCATGACTACACATTCGGTATCGTGAGCTGATCCTTCTCTGCTTGTCAATACGCAAGTGCAATCGAGAAACAACTACAACTACAACTGCATTGAAGTCAATTGAAGTCTATCCTACGTCGCCTGGACAAAGTTTTCAGGATTGAGCCCCTCCAAGCCTCCGGATGTCAACGAAAACTAATAAATAAATTCCGGATAAGTGTCTCCGTCCTGTCTCGTAATAATACTCATCAATAAATTCGAATCGTCGGAATGCCAAGTAAGAAGAAAAAATATAACGCTCGTTTCCCAGCGGTGAGTCCATTTGTTGTGCATTCTCAATTAAAAATTGACACATTTTCACCTTCACTTTTACTTAAATCACAAAAAATATCAACGAAAAATGTGGAAAATGTCCTCTGTCCCAGGGAAAATTGTTATTTCCCTGGCATTGATTGCACCAGATGTTTGAGGTTCCAAAATATTGAAGCATAACCTCACTTTTATTCTAGGGACGCATTAAGAAAATCATGCAGACAGATGAGGAAGTGGGAAAAGTTGCCCAGGCTGTGCCCATCATAATCTATATCCTTTTTAAATCCACTTCAATTATATTTTCGAGACAAACTGACCCTATCGTAAAGAGGTGGGGTGAACTAGTCACTCTACACGATATTCCGAATACATCAGGATCATTCATGAATTGAGTGCAATCTGGAATAATTGTAAAGAAAAAATAGTGTATTGATTTAGAAAAAAATGGAATGCCATTTCATGAAAAATCGAATGGGAATTTAGGCCTGGGAAAAGTGTAGAGTCCGTTTCGCCTTGCCTTTACCCAATTTCTATGGTTTTGTCATCCTTAACTGCTTGATAAATCCACCTCGGACCTTGGAGCTCTTCGTTCACTCTTTGCTGACGAAAACAATGCAGATAACAAATGCCAAGAACGCTAAAACACTCAGTCCATCCCACATGTAAGTTTATTCGTTAGTAATTCAATGATTAATCGATGTTTCCGTTGACTCGTGATTCGCTCTTTCACACAGAATTAAATAATTATTATATATTTTTACCTTGGTAAATTCTAAGAATTTCAATCATCAAATTTATCGATTGAATTGTGTAGGAAAAATGGGGTGCGTTTTGAATTTTTAATGAATGACTGGTGATCCTCTGATTTAGGAAGCAATGTATCTTATCTGAAAGTCGATTTGATTTCCTGAAAGACCTAGTGAAGTGTCTGCCAGATGTTTCTGGAGCTGATGACGAGGTGCCCACACCTCCCCTCACTCCAGCGCCTATAGGAATTAATCCAATGATTGTGCCTGCCTCGGCTCCTCGTCCCCAGTCGGATGCGAGGTAATTAACACCTGATAATTATACTGAAAAGATGAAACTCCCTTCAGGGATTAATTGTCACCAGGTTTCCGAAGGATCTAAGTAAAAAGCCTCACCTAAATCAAGTGAGCAATCAAGACTGCATAGAATCTGTGAGTAACAACGTGGTAAATTTGAAGTGCATGGAGCCAGATCAGTCGACACGTATTCCAAATTTTCAAATATCCATGCCATCGTCGTTTCAAGCTTGCCAGCCTAATTTCTACACTGAATTGAATCAAAATAACGCCAATCCAGTTACCATCACGCAGCCAACATCAAACTTTGGTCACACTGCCAACATTGATGAAGACTACGACACATAATTTATTGATTGACCAAGTAATTATAAGTGTCTACCTGCGATTCTCTTTTCCATTCTATCGACTAAAGTTTGAATGGCCTCGATAAATAGAAGTTCTCCACTTCATTATTTTTTTTACTCTTTTTCCCTCAGTTTATTCATCAGAAAAATGGTAAAACGAGAAAAGTTGAATTATATTTTTGTTAGTAATTGATTCATCGACAGAACTATTGATTTTGGAAGATAATGGCAGAGGACTTTTTTCGGAATTAAATTAGTTATAAAAATGTTCTTTAGGGTTTCCAATTTACATCGATGGTTTTCGAGATTAATCAATAATTAATGACAATTATATTCGCTTTATCTTACTTTAGTCCTTGGCTTGTGGGATAATCCACAGAAAAAATTCAATAGCGAAGTGGTAAACGAAGAAAAGTTTCAGTTAACTATTTTCACTGCTTCGATACTGAATTGATATAAATAAAAATTTTTTAAGTAGAAAATAACCAAGGCTTAACATCTTTTTTTATCAATCATTTTTTTATTCATTACAAAAATTCTTCATATTAATAGATAATTTATTATGTTTACTATTAAATGCGCCAAAGGGCTACACTTAATTCTCTCATATTAAATATATGAAGGAAGAATAAAAATTACTGTACAGAGTATTGGAATAAAACATTGGTGTTTTTTGCATAATTTTTCTTCGTCGTTATCATAAATAAGTGTTTTACACTGAGTTAATTACAATTCTCGTTATCGTTGGATTAATTAATGTACAATTTCTCGATTATTTCTCAGAATTAGTCGGCATTCTATAAAAAATTGCGAATCTTATTTCCTAAATTAGGAATATCGAATTACGGTATAAAAATAATTACCTAAGTTGGTAAATAATGTTCTAAATTTACAAAATTCCTGAAGTAATCGGACGAAGCGTCGGCTCCACCAACTCGGAACACATCGCTGATAAATATAATAAGTCAATTAATGGAGTTTACTTCAACTATTAATGATAGAAAAAAAAATCGAAGGCTAATACTGTTACAAAGAGCTCGAAAATTAGAAATCAGTAGTGATGGGAAGTCCAACGTTCTCATTTTAAGCCCAACAATGTCTCCAAGACTCCCTAAACTTCAAGATGAAACGTCACTTAATCCTGATTAATTACTCCCATACAACAAAACAGTTTTTGATGAATATCTAAGAATCTAAGGAAGATTCATCAAGGAAGACAAACAACGAAATTATTATGATTGCCTCATTGGTAGATCTAATTCCAGTCCACGAAAAGAAATCGTAAAATTGCGTCATCATCCTTGAATTCAAAATACACAACGACAAAAATCGATATTTTCCGCGGAAATCGATAGAGTCAAAGATAAATCCACGATTGAAAATAAAATCAATTATTTCTCAGGATTAAATACCGTCCACCTTGCAAATTAAAAAAAAAAACCCTCCCAAATTGTCTACTTGCCGACCGAAAACCCCTTAATTATCAACATTCCCCTCGTAGAAGGCTTCGCACTTCTCAAGTAATCTTAAAACAGGATTAATATTATACGGAAAAAGTGCTTTAGATACCAGTCTATCTATTGCTAATCTGAGTCTAATGAGAACAGTCATGGTGTCATCGAGCTCCCGGCCGCAACACATGACGAACTCGTTCCAATTCCTTCTGACATACTTGAGGAACCTCAGCAGATAAAGCAGGAAACAAGTTTCATTGCTAACGAGAAGATCAAGGAGTACATCAGGATCATGTGAGACAGCTCTAACAAACTGTACAAATGTGAGACTGGGGCTGAGAGTGTGAGCCAATTCATTCTGAGGTGGTCCCCTATAGAAAAGACCTACAGCAACATCGAGACAGCAAACCATTCCCTCGATAAGAAAATCATCCTGATCATGAAACATCTGGACAACCCACTGAGACAGTGGCATCTCAGGATGAAAAGGCATGAGAGTCTTGACACAATTATCCAACTGCCTGAGAACAGTTCTGATGCTCCTCTCAATGACCCTCATGTCAGCATCAAGATCCTCAGCTTCGGATCCAAGAGATGAGTCACTGGAGTCAGTCCTTGTCTCCTTAACAGTAACAGCAACACTTTTAAGTACAAGTAGCACGAGCTTCTGTAGAAGTGGACGATCCCCATCGCCAGTGCCACCCCCAAATCTTCCAGCACCATGTCGATATGGCAATCCATCGAGAAGACTATTGTCCTTGACAGCCCTGACGATAACGTGTGCCAGCCTGCAGGGCTCATCAGGCAGAACGTCCTGAAGTGCTAATGTACTCCCATAACACAAAACTTCATTAAAAAGCCCCAGTATATGCCTCCACACGATTCCAGGAACATTACCATTGAGCAGAAACACGAGATTATCAACGTGTGAGTAAAATAACTTAGTGTCTATCACCGATAGATTTGCCTTCACCGATATTATCGATTCCCAGAGATCGAGGAATGTTATGACTGCTGACTCGTGCTGGGGTGTGTAGGAGCCAAGGATAGCATCAAATTTAGCAACTAAAACTGTCCACCTCGACTCCAGGGCTTTTACACACATTGCTTTGACTGGAGTGCTATCGAGACTCTCTGGATCAGAAACAACTACTGTGTTGCAGTTTGGTGGAGGCACTGAGGCCCCTTCTTCCTCCAGGGGATGGATTCCACAGTCCTTGTGCTCGACAACTCGTTTTACCACATCAAGGGTGAAGAGCATCTGGCTTGGGGAGTGGGTATTCACCAGGGACTGCGCCAGTCTGTCCAGCCATGCCTCTTCTGTATTCTCTTTTGTTATTATGAAGAAGGAAGCAAGGGCTCTGCTAGCTGTGTACGAGACGAATTTATTTGTTGTGCACGAGAGATCGATAAGCTGATCGATTATTCCGTGCTCGTTTCGAGTTAGGGCCTCGCAAACGTCTGCCACTCGACTGCACATCAATCCTCGGTAATTCTGCTTCAACGCCAGGTCGAATAGTAGTTGTAGGCCACTTATGAACTCAAGGGTTCTGTCTGGGTTCCATTCGGAGAGGGAGGAAGGCCCTGTCGATGTGCAATTGCGACGATCCTCGTGGCCACGTGAGGATGACGTTCTCGTTTGGCTCATCCAGATGTTCGTGGAGAAGGGCTTCCGGAGGGAACTCTCTGGCACTCCACACAGGCACTGATTCAGCAACGACTTTTGGAAACGCTCCATGTCGGTTATGAATTCGTCGTCTACATCGTAGTCCTCACCGTTCACCATCCGTTGCTTTTTCTTCGCTGGCTCGTCCATTTTTTTTGGAGGTAGAGCGGGTCTAGGCGGTCAACCGTGGCAGGGGAACATCTTGCTTTCAATTTTTGGAGGGAAATCTGAAAATTAAAGGCTTAAGATCAGGAATGTTTACAGGTCTCCATAGAAATTATTTAATAATGAATTGTGAAGTGGTTTTGCTATAAAGCATTTCAGCGGCGGAGAGGTAAAGTGAAATAAACCGAAATTAACAGTTTTGGTAATTATGGATTTATAATGGAAATATACATTTTTTCATAGCAGCAGAAAATTCTGTACTCAAACGTTAGTAAAATTTTGTTTGAAAGTTTTACTCCGTAAATATCAATTGTAATTTAACATTAAAAAAAAATTGTATTTCAAAAATATTCATTTTCTCATTTGAAAGTAAAATCCCGCCAAAAAATTGTAAAAAAAAATCCAAAACGCGCCGTTTGAAAAATGTTATCAATTCATTCCATATTCGAGAGGTTCAAATTTTTTAACAAATAAAAAATGTATTTTTGAAACAAATAATTATTTCTGGAGCTTCCGCTTCACTTGAATAACTTTCCTCGGATTTCCCCTCAAAAATTGCGGGATAATTCTCTCAAAAAAAATATGAAATTTCGAATTTACCTTCACAATCACGAGGATCCAATAAATCCACGAAAAACCATCGATACCACTCTCATTCCACAGTGCCCCACAATTCCCATCATCACATTTTATTAACTTCAAACTCTCCCATACATCATAAGTTCACCAACTTGGACTACAACTTATGTCCGCCTGCGTCCGTGTACCCAACCGATGCAGATCTGTGTGTGTATCACATACGATAGTATGAGTCTTCTATTTTTTCAAAAAAATTCATCCCCCAAATTTTCAACGACCCCAAAAACCTCGAGCCCTCGAACACCAGCCCCCGAACGATCCAATTCCACCAAAAATGTCAATATTCCATCACCACAAACTTGTCACACTGCAATCATCTCACTCCAGAGGATGAGAATCCCTCCGTGGATTCCTGAGCAATCGTCCACGAAAAATAACTTCTGGATCGGGATAATCGAATAAATAGAGCACCCAGCGGATCCCGATGTGTTCACATAATTTTCCAAACTCAAAACTTCGTCTCAGATTCGATGGAATTTTATTTATATGACAAAAATGCAGTGTATGCCCGTGAAACAGGCGTACTGAACACCACAGGAACGACCAAGCACTGCTATGGGATTTAGCAGTGTTGCCACATCTCCCCCCGCAATTTATTGTAGTGCACGAGAACATGACAAATTTTTCCCCTTTTTCACAGCTTAAAATACTCCCCAGGCTGTGATTTTTCACAACAATCAGTGCGTCCCCACCTACCTAATCCACGAATTAAATTCTATTAATTAATATTCATTAATTCTGACGATATTCAAGGCATTATACAGAATGCGTAACACAGTAGCGGCTCCAAGCACATTCCACCTATCACTAAAGCTAATCCAGCGAATTACATTTTCAACTGTCACGGGGATTATTTTTTCCCGACTTTTTATTAATGGCATTATTTATTACGACCCTTTTACCGTTTAGTTTCGATGATTTTTTAATATCATCGGTTTATTCCGGGGTATTATATTAATGTGGCAATAGCGCATTGCTCTCAGCGCAGTCTACCTACATTTCCGGTGCATTACGATTTACTTGTTACGCAGTCGGTTGTGTACATTGACATTTTTAAATTGTTTTTCCGCTTTTCGGGAGCCCAGGAAAATTTTTCGGCTTTGCCACCGAAATTTTTTGCGGGTGAAGCTTGACACATTTTTGGGGCAGTCGTCATTACGCTGTTCGTTAATTACGGAAGGATGAATCCGGCATAACCTTCATTTGGCGCTAATCATAATAGAAATCAATTTGTTCAATTGTTGTTTAAATTAGGATTCCTGGTGCAGCACGAGTTTATCAACGAAATGAAGTGAGTTTTATTAATTTTCGATTCACTAGTGGAGAATTGTTCAATCGTAATGACAATAATATAATAATTTAATAATATTTCTGCAACTAATTGATGATTTGTTTATAAAGGGCCTCGGGTAATAGGGACATGGTCTTATTTAAATTTGTGAAGCAGTGGAGAATCATTTAATTATTATCGGATTCAATGCTCATTAATGATTTCGAAGAACAAATCATTTTTTAATTGTTTAATTAAGAATGGAACGATTTTTGATGAGTGAACATATTAGTCCAGACTCCTCTGCATTTTTACTTATATTATTATTACTATTATCAATTGATGAAGTTCGAGAGAATTTAAAGATATATACCTTGTACGAAAAATAATGGAAAAATTAATTCTTTAATTATTTCTTCCTGAAAAGCCTTACACAAAATTCTACCAAGATATCTTTTATTCAGGATCACTGTCGATGGATTGATCGTGTACTTCCCATATGATTACATTTATCCAGAGCAATATGCCTATATGTTAGAGCTAAAGAAAGGTCTGGATGCCAGGGGCCACTGTCTCCTGGAAATGCCCTCAGGGACAGGCAAAACTGTGACTCTGCTCTCCCTGATTGTAGCCTACATGTTGGCGAATCCCCTGTCAGTGACAAAATTGATATACTGCTCTCGTACAGTCCCTGAGATTGAAAAGGTCATCGAAGAACTGAAGACACTGATGGATTATTACGAGAAGGAGACGAAGAGCCGACCCAAGATGGTCGGTGTGGTGCTGTCCTCGCGTAAAAATATGTGCATCCATCCAGAGGTGAGCAGAGAACGAGAAGGAAAAATAGTGGATGGTCGCTGTCACTCTTTAACTGCCTCGTACGTTAGAGCCCGTCATAATTACGACGACACCACACCAATTTGCAACTACTTCGAGGGCTTTGACATGGAGGGACGAGAGCGTATGATGCCTCCAGGTAGGATCTGCCAGAAAATACGTCTCAAGAGCTACATGAAAATACATCAACTTGTTTGATTTTCTTTTTTATAAAATAATTCCATTCCGATTTTTCCATCAATTGATTTAAATTCAAATAATTCAATTAAATTTTCTTAATGATTAAATATACATCGGCAGAAAAATTGTTCACTTGGAAAAATAAATTTTTAAATCAAACTATTATTGGAAATCTCTGCCTCCTAGGTATTTACTCGATCGATGATCTGAGGGACTACGGCCGAGACCGCAACTGGTGTCCATATTTTCTCACTCGTTTCACAATTCTCCACGCCCAGATAATCGTCTACAGTTACCATTATCTCCTGGACCCGAAGATAGCTGATGTTGTCTCGAAAGAGCTCACGAAGAGTTCAGTAGTTGTCTTTGACGAGGCGCACAACATCGACAACGTCTGCATCGACTCCATGAGTGTGAAAATCAATCGTCGAACAATGGATAAGTGTGCAGCTAACATTCAACTCCTGGAGAAGACAGTGGCAGAGATGAGGAACGAGGACGCCAACAAATTGAAAGAGGAGTACCAGCGACTGGTGGAGGGCTTGAGGGATGCGCACGTTGCGAGAGAGACAGACGTGATCCTGGCGAATCCAATTCTGCCCGATGAGGTCCTGGAGGAGGTAATCCCAGGGAATATAAGGAATGCAGAGCATTTCGTGAGTTTTCTCAAACGTTTTGTAGAATACCTCAAAACAAGACTGAGAGTCCAACACGTGGTGCAGGAGTCCCCCTCAATCTTCCTCCACGATATCCAAACGAAGGTCTGCATCGAGAGAAAACCATTGAGATTTTGTGCTGAACGACTGGCCTCGTTGCTGAGGACCATGGAGATCACAGACTTGACTGACTTTTCTCCTCTTATTCTCGTCACTCATCTGGCGACTTTAGTGTCGACTTACACCAGTGGATTTACCATAATCGTCGAGCCTTTTGATGACAAAACGCCTACCGTGCTGAACCCTATCCTCCATTTCAGCTGTATGGACTCGTCAATCGCCATGAAACCAATTTTCGATAGGTTTCAATCTGTAATTATCACCTCAGGAACATTATCCCCCCTGGACATGTACCCGAAGATCTTGAATTTTCATCCTGTCATCATGTCGTCCTTCACTATGACTCTGGCTAGACCATGTCTCCTCCCCATGATTGTTGCCAAAGGTAACGACCAGGTGGCAATCTCCTCGAAATACGAGACAAGAGACGACGTAGCTGTCATCAGAAACTATGGACAGCTGCTGGTAGAGTTCTCATCGACGGTCCCTGATGGAATCGTCTGCTTCTTCACTTCGTACCTGTACATGGAGTCTGTGATTGCTGCATGGTATGATCAAGGGGTTGTAGATCAATTGCAGAGGCACAAGCTCCTGTTCATAGAGACCCAGGACTCTGCTGAGACCAGTCTGGCTCTGATAAATTATATCAAGGCCTGTGAGAATGGCAGGGGTGCTGTTCTACTGTCTGTCGCCAGAGGAAAAGTTTCGGAGGGTGTTGACTTCGATCATCACCTGGGGAGAGCTGTGCTTATGTTTGGAATTCCATACGTCTACACCCAGTCCAGGATTCTTAAGGCTAGGCTTGAGTACCTCAGGGATCAGTTTCAAATACGAGAGAATGATTTTCTCACTTTCGATGCTATGAGACACGCAGCTCAGTGCGTTGGACGTGCCATCAGGGGAAAAACTGATTATGGAATAATGGTTTTTGCTGATAAGAGGTTCTCCAGGATTGACAAACGTAGCAAATTGCCAAAGTGGATTCAGGAACATCTCACTGATAATCTATGTAATCTATCCACTGAAGAAGCTATTCAGATTGCTAAGAGGTGGCTCAGACAAATGGCACAGCCATTTAGTCGAGAGGATCAACTGGGTTTATCACTTCTCACCAAAGAACAACTTGAGAAAGAGGAGTGCAGGAAAATCCAAGAGAAAGCTCAACAGAATTAATCACCTGGAATCACCGGAATTTTTTTGTGATACAAAAACGTATTTAATACAAAATATTGATTCATAGTTTTATACAGTTGTTTTATCATTAAATAAAAAAATAATACTAGCAAAAATGAGTACGTCGACAGTTTCTCTAGTGGAAATAATCATTTATTTAATTTTTTAGAGGGTGGAGCTATTCCTATCAGCACGTGTCACCACCGCACCAGTACTCGGTCTCCATTCTGGATCGAGTAGTATTTTAGCTGTTGGAGAGGCTTGTCCAGAGGTATTTCTTCTTTAGATAACTGCGGGGTTTATAATTTGTTTAGTTCTACAGTCTACGGCTAAAAGTGAGTTTTTAGATTTACTTACTTTTGACTGTACAAACGACAGAATCGGAATTTTTCCACCGATCTTGAATAGTCGTTGAGCGATTCCTGTCAATTTTTGAACTTCCATCTCGTTCAGGACTTTTCTCTTCACACTTTTCCCTTGAGATGCTTCATTCATACTAACGAATTCCACTGTGATAACGTCGGATTTCATCTCATCTGCTTTGGAATTGATGATCTCGGGGCCGCCATATTCTGAGAACATAATTTTCATGTATTCTGTATTGTTTATTTGACGATCATTGAACGGGGTGGATAATAGATATATTGAATTATTTTACGTTCGACTAATCTTGGAAATCGTGGATGCGCTCTCAGGAATTCTCTCCTGGCGGTATCACAATTTTCGGACAACTGCAACCACTCCTTGGCGAAGAGCTTCATGTAATCGTGTTCAGCATCTCGTCTCTCCGTCACTGGAATTTCCGTGGAATTCAACACTTTCAGTCCTGAGATTCTTGCGATTATCAATTGCCGAGCAGTTTCAGGCGACTCGGCCTTCAAAACTGGATTATCCCGAAACTTCAGGTCCGACAGATTTTGGAGTTTTTCCAGTTCGGTGATGGAGCTCCACTGGTGTATCAAATTGCTGGACAAAAGGAGTTGCCTCAGTGCTGGGAAGGCCTTTGTTTTGTCCTCCTCAGAATCACAGGGAAAGTTTATCCTTTCGATTTCGTTGGAGTTGACGTTCAGGCTCTCTAAGGAATCCAAACAACCCAACTTCAGGATCTCATCCCAATTGCATATCGAATTTCCCTCGAGGGTGAGCGTTCGAAGTCTGAGAAGGTATGGATTATTTATCGGGGTCTCTAGAATGCTCGCCTTGTTGAATGGCACTGAAAGTGTCCTCAGGACTGGGAACACTAGGGTGCAGGCTTCAACGTCCCTCCAGGTGTAATTCATGTGGGCTATTGCTAATTGAGTTACATTAGAAAATGCTCCGTTGAGATGATTCAACCCTTCGTCCGTAGGAATAACATTTTCACTGCAATTGAGAAGAAGACTGTTCAAATTTCGGTAGCGAGAAGTTCGAAATTTGATCGAAATTTTTGTGGAATTCTTTTCACGGCTATATTTTACTCTATAAAAACGAATTCCGCTCGAAATTCCAAACAAACCAAAATCAATTAGGGAATATTATTCATGCTAGCATATCTTCGATTCAATTCTTATCCTTTAAAAAAAAATCATTTTCCATAAAGTTCTTCAATAAAAAAAATACGGAGAAATATTAATAATGAAAAATAGAGTGATGATTTACCTGAGATCGAGACGATCCAACCTCGTGAGTTGTGAGCAAATATCCCCTACAGTAACCCACGAGTTTATCAAATTTTTCGATAAATCCAGCTCCTGAATATTGGGGAACAGTTCTCCGAGATTTCCTGGACCTCCAGAGGTCGAGACACACTCTTCTCGAACCGATACTATACTCAGCTGATTGAAATTACTCTGCTTTCTATTTACCTTGGAGAATCCCACCATCTCCAAAAATGGGGCGTTGATTTCCTTTCGTAATTTCGATATATTCTCTCTATCGACACCTGCCAACGCATCGTCTACGTATCCATAACGATTTTTTATTGCTTCCACACAAGATATTCCGGATTTGACTTTTCCAGGGCGAACGAATGATCCAGAAGTTGGATGAAGTGTTTTGAAGTATTCCTTGTTGTGATGAGTTCCATTATGCTTCCCTCGAGCTGGATTATCCCAATCAATACCCAACCAAATTCCCACCGTATCGTCTACAGCACCAACGTAACAAATTGTGCCATAATGACCATCACAAGCAATACGCTGACCAATCCTATAATTCTCTTCATCAGTATTCCTCGAATCCTCGACCATTTTAAACACATTCAACTTCATGAAATGCTCTGAGCCACATAAAAACCTGAAACACAAATATGATTAAAACGTTGTCATTAGAATTCTATGGGAAATTCCCATAGAAATTTTTATGGTAATCTTCTTTCTAGAACTAATCAAGAGCTAGAATGAAGGTGATTATAAAAATTTCCATCTATCCAAAATTTGGGGATTTTTTTCGAAAAACCCACCGAAAAACTGAGTCAGCTGACCTGCTTTCATTACTTCGCAATTGAAATTATCGAGTAATTTAATACGAATGATTGTTAGTAAAAATGAATAGGTATTAATGAAAATTTGTAATAAAAGAGGCTTTTCCTGATCAATTGAAACTGAATTTAATTTCAAGGTAATTAGTAATTAATGCACTTTTACATGTTGCAATGACTCTTTAACTTACCCCAACCCTTGAAATTTCAGAGACTGTCAGTCGTCCTCAGTAATTCTAGGACCTAGGTTAGGGCCCCCGGTCAGTTCTCCCCATCACAATCAAATAAAAAAATCAGCAATCTGCAAGTGAAGAGGATAAACTAAAGTAAAAGTCAAAGAGGATAGAGCTGGATAGCAGAGATCAAAGAGGATTTATTAAAGTAGAGGCTCAGTTCTGGGGGTTTGAGTGACTCCAGCGGCATCATGGTACTCCAGCCCAAAAGAGGGAGGGCACCACACGCAATGGGGGTGTTTCCTGGCAGCCGACTCGGTAACTACCTGTCAGCGGGACCAGTCGACAGGGTGAATGTTATTTTCTGCATTACGAAATTGGTATTCACTGAAATTTAAAAATTTTATGAAGTCAAGGGGGCAAAAAGTGACTCTTTAGTCAATCCTCTTTGGTACTTACAAAGATTATCATGCCCGAAACTCGGAGTTAATGTGGAGCTAGGAATTTAGTATCGACCCCAAACCAGAGAGAGCGGTAATCTACTCTATATCTCGATTGCTAAAATTATAAACTCAACTCAATAATTCAGTTTAGTCTTATGATTGTAAATTAGAAAATAGTGATAACATTCTAAAAAAAAATCACATTTGGATGAAATGACAATTGAATATTTTTTCGATAAACTGTTTTCTCGATTACCGATAGGTTGATGCTCTCCAGATAATTATCAGCAGCCTCGTATTCAAGAGCTTGTTAGCAGCAGTTTGTCCTTGAGATTCATCCCCTTTATCTCAGCGATCACGATACCGGTGTCAGTAACTCGTTAGCAGAATTGAGAAGCAAAATAAATCGAGTAAGTTAAAATAAAAAAAAAGTTTCCTGGTAAATATTCAGGTAAGCTACCTGAGGCGTTATTTATTTACATGTTTTACCATCTGTAAGTAAATTACTGGGTTTTTTACATTGTCATGTAAAAAAATTGCCTCAAGTACCATATGCCCTGCCCTGTTCATCAGTATTTACTGCCGCGAAGATAACAGTGCTGTTTGGCTCCAATTTTCAAGTTCTCCATATTTTCAAGTTCTCCGCACATGCGCGCTTCCAAGGATGTGTATCCCTATGCGAAAGGTAAGTCGTTAATTAAATATTGATTGTTCTAATTTTTTTAGATCGAAAATTGAGGTATTCTCGATCGCCTGGATCAATCTCTTTTCCAACACTCTGAAAATTAAATAAACTCCGATAAAAATGGCGTGAATCTTTTCCGATCGAGTGTTAGCGTAACTTTAAGTGCGGCGAGAGCAGATTGCAAACAGATGCCGAAATTCGGATAAAAGATATAGTATGCTCTAGATCGATGTAGAACTCCCGGTTACTCTAAAGTTACTTACTAAACTTACTTCGAATTTTGGAATGTGATCCGAAATTCACAAATTCATTTCCTTACAATTTCAAGCTAATCAGAGATTTGGTAGGGGATCACAGATCAATTTTACGTATCACCCGATTTTGAACCCACTTTTGGCGATCACCAGGGGGTAATGCTCCCCGGAAGATCGATAATATTATTATATACCCACGATTATATTTTGCTAATTATTTTTAATATTTAGCATCGACCATCCGTTAGCAACGACAACAAATGGTTTTATTTCACCAACCCTAGTAAAAATACTCCTCGGTATTTTACCCAGTCCATCGGACCCTAAATCGATGATTTCCCCGATTTTTTTTTGGAACCCGCAATCTGGGCCTTTCCTTCAATATTCCTACATCTCCACCTAGACCTCCTCCTTGACCTGATAAGGCCAGGCCATGTACTTTCTATCCACTAGTCATCTACTTTGGGCCTTTGTTCGGTAAACATCGTGTTCTTCCACTTTCTTTCCACCCCTTCTGATTGTCGATTACCACCCCAACTCCAGACTTTGCAAAATCTAACAAATCAGATCAAATCGAACGCTTCTGATTTTACCGGAATCTAACAGTTCAGTAAATGTTTCGCTCTGTCACTGAAAGATAACGAAAAAGTTTCGTAACTTTTCTGGAAACTGTAAAATCTATCTGAATCATGTCAAATATTTTCTAACACAATATACTTGTTAATAAAGTACTTTTAATTAACGTTTATTGCATTTCGATTATTTTAGAATATTAAATTACTTCTAGAGATTAGTCTTCATTCTCTACATGGAGAAATAAATGTATCATCGATATTCATCGAAAATCGAATATACATGGATCGAGTATAAGATATACTTTAAAAAAGTACAATAATATACTTGATTCAAGTATTGTCTACTCGCGAATGCACGCGTTCGCGTATAATGCGCCGGGAGGTACAAAAAAAAAACAATTTCATTCGATTTGACGAAGACATCATCACCGGGAGATTCAGATAAGATCGGATACGATCCAGAAGACAGAAGATCCAACTGCTTAACCTCGTCGAATTGACTTGGCATTTCAGTATCGGGCTGTCTGCCTTTCAGTTCATAACACGTCAACCATGGCGTTTATTCTAGCTACGATTACTGCCCCAATGGTGATTTTACTATTCTACTTTACCATTTACGTGGAATCATTTGTCCTAGTGCAATCAGTGGCCCAGGAAAATGACCGCCCTATTATTGGTAAGAATATTTTCCATAGATATTAATTATTTATGCAGAAGGCTAAATAATTTCACTGTAAAAATAGCTCTTTAATTTTCAAGTGAATGTTTTTAATTACAAAACTATTCGGTTCCACCGAAGAGTAAAACTAGATGAAATAGAATTGATCGATTCGAGTTGAATATTTTGATGTATTATATTAAATATTTTCATCGTATCGATTATATTTTTATTCTTTTGATTGAATAATGTACTGAATATTTTTGGTCTTTTTGTCTATTGATACGTTTGTTAATTAATACTTGTGAGATATGAGACAAGTTGTTAAATGATCGTGACACCCAACACTTTGAAAATGACATGCCAGAGTCACTGTTAGTCTCTCAATTAGTCGATAATTTCAGGAATTTTATCACAAGAGCTCAGTCATCGTCTAAACGGCATCTATGGCGATCAACAATTCGACAGTTATCTGGCGGCTTCCTACGTGAAATACGTGGAAAGTTCTGGGGCACGTGTCGTTCCGATATGGTAATATCACCATTGCTTTCAATGAAATGAGAAAAACCGTTTGAATAATTCAGGAAATCCAAAACATCCGCAGATTGCGAGCGAAACGTGTAACGAAGCGATTTTCTTGCATGCCCTAGACTGAAAAAAAAAATAAATAGAGTGCGGCTACTAAAAATTTATCGATACACCAGAATTTTATCATTCATATTCATTTTTCAATGCATTCCCTCGTATTCTAGTGAAAAAACTCGAAAATCTTTGAACTTTTAACGAGGAACTACTCACCCCAGAGTCATTTCGAAGTTGTTGAAATTGAATGCGTTGAATTCATCCGGAATTAATTACACGAATTGAAGTGAATGGAAATTCCACATTTTTTTGAAAATATGGTTTGCACGTGGTGTAATTTAATGGGAAAGTGGTAAACTAGGATAAGTGATTTTTTTTTCTCCACCAGTTTATAGCGAATATCTCGGAATTGAAGAGACATTGTCAGTTTTTTATGCAGGCATTTTTTATGAAAAAGGATGAGAGCTACAAGAAAGGTATCGATGAAAAAATCGTTATCGTTCTCCAATTTCGAGATATTGAGTGAAACTAGTCGAGAAAAAAATGCACTTGTAGTTTATTACTTCGATACAAAAATATTCCACATATTTTATCCACCGATTTTTAAATATAATTTAGAAATAATCTTGTTTCATATTTTGAAGTTTATACATTTAGAAAATTCGACCCGGTTCGTATTATTCTGTCCACTCTTGATTCTTGAATTTCATTTCTTGTGAATTCAGTGACTCCGTTGTATCTGAAATCATTACTTTCTGGTCTATAAAATTATTTGAAGTCATTGAATTAATTTTGTCTCTCAACCAGAGAGTAATTCTCGCCTTTTAATAAAAAAATATGTTTCCCTCTTTGAGAATGGAATTGATATCTTCGCAGGATTGGGCAGCCAGAGGAATATTACAAGAGCTTACTAACTCGCATTAATGGGTGAGGGCTGCATTTACTGAAAAACCTATCTCCCCTGCTCTAGAATTAATCCCCAAAACGTAATAATTTTCTAATTTATCAGAGTTATATTCCCCGGCGGGAGTTCGTGGTTCGATAGATCCGGGGGGTATGCAGAGGCAGGTGAAAAAATTTACAGGTAAATTCATGAACACGCGCCATTTCTGAGAAATTCTATTTTTGAAAAGAGAAAGCGCTGAAATGCCTCGACGGATGCAACTCTAATTAACGGATAATTGATGATTTTTAATTCGGTTAGAATTGCCCTCGAGATGAATGATCACGGGGATTATTTTCCAATTTGGGGAACATGTCTGGGTTTTGAATTGATGACCTACCTTGCGGCTAACGGCGTAGAACATCGAGTCAATTGTTCAAGCAGCAATCAAATATTGCCGTTGATTTTCAAACCCGGTGAGCCTGATAATCAAATTTTCCACCGAATCATGCGTAATTCACTCCAATTGATGAAACCAATTACACGTGTAGTATTTTTTGCGCAGATTTCATGCAGAGTCGGATGTTCAAAAGTGCTCAGCGGGATATCATCGATATTCTGAAGCAGGAAAATGTTACAGCGAATTTCCATCACTTCTGCGTAACCGAGGCGGTATGAAAATTAACATTCACTAATGGAAAAGTATCTTGATCCTTCAGGCAATCAAGCAATCATTGCTGAAATCTCATGTTTCATTTTTTTTTAAATAAACTTCTCGTAACTTTTAACTACGCCAAGTAATTTTTTTTTCGATGCCAGATTTTACCCGATATCTCAGAACTGAAGCGATATATCGATTTTTTTGTAAAAATATTTTTCATAGACAAAAACGATATCTACAAAAAAGGTATCTATGGAAATGTCGTGATCTTCCTTCAATTCTGAGATATTCGATAAAAACTGACTTCGAAAAAATGCACTTTTCCGAGTTCGGGACTTCGTAATAAAATTGGCATGAAAAAAATATAGTGTCACTTCCTTTAGGGATTGGCGCGGGTCAATCTGACGGATTCATTCAAAGTCATTTCTATTAACCGAGACAAGGATGGATTGGAATTCGTCTCGTCGCTGGAGCATGTCAGTTATCCATTTTATGCAGTGCAATTCCACCCAGAGAAGAATAATTACGAGTGGATTCCGAGGCTGAATATTCCCCATGGGAGAAATTCGATCCGGATCAGTCAATATTTCGCTGATTTTTTTGTGAGTGAAGGTAAGAACGTGAAGATAGAGCAAATATTGAGGAAAAATTGACACAAGAATTACGTTATCTGTCCTAATTTTAGAGATTAGCCTTAACTCTTTAATATTCTCCATTTTTCTTCGTTTCAGCCCGAAAAAATCAACACCGTTTTCGATCGTTCGAGGAAGAATCTAAAAATTTAATTTATAATTATTCCCCTACGTACACTGGGTATCAGCCCAAGTCAAGCTTCGAACAGGTTTACTTATTCAAACAAAAACCTAACAGCATCGACGAAACTTATTCTAGTAATCAAATACTTCTGTGATAATCGTTTCTATAAATCGCGATAAATTCGACTCTTCGATTAGATAATTACCTATCGAGTTGCTGTCGCCATTATTATTGATTAGTCCCTGTATTAGATGATGTGATAAAAATAAACAATTGGACACCATTCATAATATATTTTTCTTTGCTTTCGACCCGCAGCACTGTAGTTAATCAAATTTAAATATCTCACTTTTCATATTAAAACAACTTAATATGATTCGAGAAATCTAAAAATAAAATTTATAAATTCGATGTGCATGTGGATCTGGGAATAAAATAATTTTTTTTTATATGTAAGTATTAATTTAAGAATTAATTTGTTAATGTTTTTCAATGTTTTCTGAAGACGAGGATTTTTACGATAACCAAATAAAAAATGTTACGAAATAATAGCAATAACCGTTGTATCAATATATAAGAAAGATTTCTCAAAATTAATTCCTGAAATATTTTAATTCTGGCTCTGGTGCGGGATATTCTACATCAATTGACTCTGATATTGATCACATTGATCAATCACATCAATTGATTCTGATTAGCGCTTGAAATGATAGTTTCGATCCTATACTGTTGAAATCCGGACATAATTACCACGGCTATATATTTTAAAATATTTTTCATACGTCAATTCTGAAACTGCTGGTTCAAATTGAAATAGCTAATTCATCCAGAAAAATAATAAAATATTTAAAACAAATATTTAATTACAACTAAAAATAATATTGTGTATGTAATGAAAAAGCGTAAGTCCCCGCTTGTCTTCATTTTTTATTATTCTGCCTACACTTAAAGATTCAACTGACGTTCACTTATCCAACTTTAAAAACTCTTCATCATCAATTATTTGTGGCGAGTTCTCCTGGACTTGAGGAAGCCCGTGAAATATTAAAAAATAAATTAGGGGAGCACGGGAAATACGAGGACGATGGCACGTGGAGAATAATCATAAATTCTGTTAGCTTTGGCGTGACAAAAAAAAAAATTTGCCAGAGTTATTAGCAGAGGGGACGCCAGCTTTTTCCTTTTCAGACAGCTGTTTTCTTATGTGTCAAGGCGCGCGTGGAGTTTCCTCTTCACAATTCGCGTTTCCCCATTACTCCCGACGTGATTCCCATGGGTACACTTTTCTTTTTGGTGTCGCTGGCACGTGGTCTCTACAGGACCCTCACCCCTCTCTTCCTGAAAGAGAAAATCCTCAAATTTTTTTTACTTTCCTTTGAGCTCGGGATTTAGGCGAGGAGGATGAAATGACGAGTATTTAGTTACCATCGATTGTTACTCCCTTCGGAGACACGTGGCACCTGGGGAAAAACATGAGATGAATTTCGCCAAAACAATACCAATTACAAAGAAATCAACCAGAAGGGCATTGCTCATTTATTGTATATACTGTAATTATCCCCGCTAATTAATTAGAAAAACTTTTGCGAATGCTATCTCGTTTATCTCAATCCCAGGATTTTCAGAATTGTCAAGAGAAATTTTTTCTTTTCCTCAGTCGAACTTGTTTTTCTTTGGAATATTCAAATAAATTCGAAAGCCAACATTGGGCCAAGCTTAGGCCAACCTTGCGCCAAGATTGAGCCAACACTGGGCCGATCGCAACGCGACGAATATTTAAACAACAAATTACGTGATATTCCTCAGCTTCACAATTATCTTAATTTCATTCTTCCTCAATTTTCAAACACCGAATTACGTAATATTCATATTTATTTTTTGTGAAATTATTCATAATTTAAATTGCGCTCTAAAAATTGAAAGCCTACAATAATTCCGTGCGGAAGCAAAATATCTTCATTTTGATTCAATGGCATTCAGTTATCGATGATATTGTTTCTTTATAAATTAAACTGAATTAAATTTCAGAACCCCGACAAATTCTCTTTCTCCAGGAAGCAAAGGAGCTTCCAAGGTTGAAGCTCCATAGTTTGGAGTCACATGTTTTGCGAATGGGAAAATCTCGTGACCCAGTGGGTGGAAGCCATAATTAAGATGAAAGCCATCGAGTCAGTGATTGTGACTCTTTCGAGGGTACAAGCTTCAACTTGGCATTGTCCTAGAATTCTATGCCATGGACTAATGACGTACGCCATCGCCGGAGGTCTTACATAAGATTCCACAGCGTAATTCACCAATCGAGTGGAAAGAGCATGACTTCCGACCGATTGTATCCAATCCGAAGACGTCAACGGACGATACAGATATTTCATAGTCATTCGAGTAATAATGCGTAATATAATAATGAGTAATGAGTAATGAAGGTCTAATTGAATTCGCAATCACTCAGGATCAAACACCTGCCCTCAAAAAATTCTGTTATCAGCGAAAAAGAAATTTGTGAGGGCGAAAATTCACTGGAATTATCAGAGATAGAAAAAATTCTTCTCCGGTCTGGGGAGTGAATTAATGAAAATTATTATTGAAAGGTAAACACATTTCTCAGTGTGCAAGAATACCGTAAAAAATTAAAATACCTCCTAGTCAATCTCTGTTGACTCATTTCCACTCGAGCGTATTTTCGGCAAAGGGCGGGATATTTTTAAATCGCGACAGGCGGGTCACGTCCACTAGGTCAATAATAAGATGGATGAAGAAATGAAATGAAATCTCCTGAGAATCGCTTGAACTCCAAATTTTCCAATTACTTCGCAGATTATTAATTCGCGGTCTTGCAAAAAAAAAATTTTTCAACGGGAATCGACAGTCCATCAACTGCAATTTGTTGAAAATCGATTGATGATGCTTTCTCGGTAGATAAAAATAGCGTAATAATTCCTTTGTCGTATGAATCGAGTGGATAGCACCGAGAGGAATTATTAAATGGTGAAAATATGTCAATGCCTCCATTGGAATGGGTAATCCGCGAGGTTGACTGTCTTTTTGGCGCAACGTGCAAATCCCCACCCTCTTATTCCACCGGAATTCGTCCCTGAGCCAAAAACAGTTTGGGGTGGAAACACACCCCTTTAACTGCAGGGATGTCCCAGTTTGAGGTCAAAGTTCTAGATACCGTAGTGTGGCCCCTGTGGAGTATGCGTCCAATGTACTTCTCCTCTCGGCCCCTGGTATCCAACGGCAACGTGACGTAATCATCGCGTCATAGTTGCGCTCTCACTTGGGTTCAATGACCCCAAAGCGTGAGCGCGAGGGTGAATGGGCCGCGACATGCAGTTGCACTTGGATTCCGCTTCTTCTCTCCTTCTTCTGGACGAAAATTCATAAATGTATACATAGACACTGATCTTACCGGTGTTTTCCGCTCTTTTTACTAGGCCCTGAAAAATTACCCGCCAGTCACCCCGAAATTATAGCTGTTTCCCTAATTTTTAACTGAGTTGCAATCAGCGCCAGTGGATAATACTGTCGTAGTCAGACGAAACTCCAGTGGAAAAATTCTGGATCGTCCGTGTGTCCTCGGGATTGTTTATGGTGCTGAGGAATTTATTTTATTTTTTTATTTAAATTAAGTTTAAATTAATTTTATTTTAATAAATCCGGATTTTTCTGCACGGGAAGAGGAGTGGATGAGGTTTGAGGACTCAGGAGCTGGTGGATAAACCTAAGATAGGTTTCCAATGGTCATCCTTATTTTAAAAATCGTTAGTCTGAGCTACTTGACATTTCCAGCTCTCGAAGCTTGCGTTCTTCAGGTTAATGAATACGCATGTTACATCATCTTGAAATTTATGGAATGAGCTTTTATAGGATTTTTTTTCATTCCCGTATCTTAGAATCCACTAAAGCTGTGAAAATTTGTGGTTCTGTCCGACAAATTTCGAGTGGAATTTGAAATTCCGAGGAATGACTGATATGCCTCAATTATAAGTGACATCAATAATAACAATGGAAAGTTAGTCATCCAATAATGAATAATTATAAACTTAAAATCGAATGATTATAATGCAAAAAAACAATTTGGAATTGAATAATTGTCGGTGGAAAAATTGATGTTTCAATGAAGGTGTTATCCACAGAGAGAAATATGTATCAAAAAATTACGGACCTTTAAGTTTGCTTACCGATTCCGGAATTTTCTCAAAAAATTGACAAAAGTTAAGGCTACCGTAATTTCCCCCAGGTAATTAATCTAAAAATTACGGAGCGCGGCATAAAAAATTACCTGACAGTTCCGTAAAATGTCCTGACATTTCTCTCCAGAATAGCGGAAAGGACAGGTAATTTTGACTGAAAATTTCTCTCCGTGTGTGAAGATTCACAAATCCCAAGTCCATGATGCAAACATGAAAAATTGAACACTTAAAATTAAATGGATATGCTGCAAAACTACAATTACATTTGGAAGAAAAAAAAATGGTGTGTGAGGGGAGGTGAAAGGGAGGGGAGTACGAGAGGGGGTTGTGAAAAGAGACATTATAGCTTCCAATTGGCAGTACATAACAGTGAAGAGGAGAGAACTGGGACAGGTGGGGTTGGCACGAGGAACATCAATGACGGTGATGACGTCATCACCATCAAAACTGGGCCAAAAGGGGACCGGTAAATGGTGGTACGAATGGGTAAGTAAGGAAGAGCAGAGGGCTGACCCGTATGCAGGTATAACACTATCCCCGGGATTTTCTGCGTTTGAGGTGAAGGTCCACCTTCGTCATTCAGGAGAATGAAAAAAAAATATATATGTCATGGGAAAGTTCGCCGGTTGACGAAGGGAAATGGCGATTTTCCATGTGTCGGGTTGGGAGCGTTGAACGCATCATTCCTCTTGTAATTATTTTATTTTTATTTACCCCTGCGTGGAGCATTCGCCTACTGATTTTTATTTCGACATTTAAGCAATATTTTTTCTTGATTGGCGATTTTTTTTTGGAGATTAAAATTTTTTTTTTCATTGTGCGTCATTGGGGTTGTGAGAAAGTTGGAATTAACTGGTTTCTATTTTTTATGGGAATATTTTTGACCGCGGTTGGATTAATCCCATACCGTAGACTCAGATGAATATATTTATAGGATTCAAATTAGGGAGGAGATGACTTTTATGGTCTCGTATGAATAGTATCACTTTTTCATATTTTCGATCGACGGATTTGGAATCTATCGCGGCTGGGACATAACTTTTATGGTCTCGTATGAATAGTATCACTTTTTCATATTTTCGATCGACGGATTTGGAATCCATCGCGGCTGGGACATGTGGGGGAATTCATCCACGTGTTGAGGTATTTAAATTAGATTTCAACAGATTTAAAGACAAACCATCTCTGACATCCTAAACTGACACAATTGAAACACCGGAGTGCCAAAAAAAATGAAATCGATCAGAAGATTTCTAATCGATTTGCCACTGCTTCAACTTAAAAAAATATAATGTTGAAAAAAATTCATTTAAAGACAAAATGATTAATCTCATCGCAATAAATATTAATGTTGATGTTGAAAACTCGAATGTTGAAAACGATCTTAAATACACATTTTAAATTATCGTTTTTTTTTTTGCACATCTATCGAAATATAAAAAAAAAATCAAAAGTTTTATATCAGGCGTCCTTCATTAGGGGTAGCAAATCGGAAAAAGAATTATTATTTGATCGAAGTCTTGTCATGGATTTGAGGGCAAATATAGAAAACCATAAATAAAACATATAACTATATAAATAAAATAAAAACTCAACACTGTGTCATGTATTTTCCTGTCACGTGGCGTTATTTAGTAAAAATATTAGTTAAATTAAGTTGTTAGTTAAATATTTAGTTTAAAGACAAAATGATTAATCCCATCGCAATAAATATTAATGTTGATGTTGAAAACTCGAATGTTGAAAACGATCTTAAATACACATTTTAAATTATCGTTTTTTTTTCTGCACATCTATCGAAATATAAAAAAAAAAAATCAAAAGTTTTACATCAGGCGTCCTTCATTAGGGGTAGCGAATCGCAAAAAGGATTACTTTTTGATCGAAGTCTTGTCATGGATTTGAGGGCAAATATAGAAAACCATAAATAAAATATATAACTATATAAATAAAATATAAACTCAACACTGTGTCATGTATTTTCCTGTCACGTGGCGTTATTTAGTAAAAAGAGGAGGTCCTCTCAATGAACTATGATATTTCATGGGGGTTGGAGGCTCGGGGTGGAAACTAGGCCACTCTCGGGGGGTTATAGTGAATGAAGCTCATGACGTCATTGAGTGCAAAAGCCGGTAAACGGGTCATGCCTTGGCCCCACCATAGCCATATACCACCGAGAAATCAGTCTCTGTGTCGACCGGTCACGTTTCCTATACTTTTGTCATTCAAGTACATCTGCTCCATCTGCTACTAAAAAAATTTACAATCTCAATTAATTGATCACTACAGCGGAGGTATACTCCATTTTTTCAAGGGTTTCAATTCAGAAAGTCTTCTCTCCCCAAAATCTTAGATCAGAACATTTTTGCTTCCGAATGGAAGCATTTTTTTTGTTTTTTACTGATGAATTGGATTTTCAATTATTATTTTCATTATTATTCTCTTCATTGCTTCCATTATTTAAATTATTTCAATTATTTCCAGCATTTCCCTTTTTTTATTACAGATTTTTAATCTAAATTTATTTTATATATATTTTAGTTATTATATATATTTATATTTTATTATATATATTATATATTATATATATTTATATATATTTTTAATTTATTATGTATTATTAAAGAGTTATTCACCCGGGGAAAAATATCCTGATCAAAATGTCCCAGTTGAATATTATATTATTATAATATTATTCATCGACAAGAAAGAGATAGATAGGCGGATTAAATATTTGTATTGGAATTGATTTAGTGGATTTAGATTTAGAATTTAAATTTAGGAATTGATTTAGTCGTCTGCGAGATGACAGTCATTAGTGAGCCATCAAACGTATAAGTTAATTAATTTATTCTTATCTTTATTTTCGTTGGATTTTGTGTGCGGAGGAATAGCTCCTCTAGACCCAAAAAAAGTTTGATCTTGTCCTCTTTAAGTCACTGACGTTTTTCTCATGGTCTAGACCCCGAAAGTATGTAAAGTCAATTATCAGTTGCCGAAAAAAATGGGATTTTAGTAAAAGTAATTTGTCCCCCCCAAAAATTCAGCATCAGGAGTGAAAAAACAATTTGTTTATGCCATTATTATTCAGTATATTATTACACCAGGAAGATTGCAGCTGTTTAATGTTAACGTTTAATGTTAATTACGAAAATGGGGATGGTTATAATATTTAACAGGTTTAGGGGCACACGTAGAAATAGAATTCTGTTGGATAGCCTTGTGTAACCACGGGGATGTGCTCTCCTTATCCTTATAATTCCGTCAATAGCTGATACAATAATAGAGTCGTAATACTCACTATTATTCTACAAGAATAATAGGGAGAATAGCAGGGAGTGAACCAATGAACGCGAGAAATATGTTAAAGCATTTGGCTTGGCGACAAACAGTGAATGTAAATTACACAATGGAAAAAGTGTGGAATTTTCCTGATTATGGGTTCAGTGAGGCTATCAAGGCCACCTATCCCAAGGGAATTTCAATCAAACTTGCACAGAGCTTTCCGTCCGGGTAAGGTTGGCAAAACTCGGCCAAGGATTCTCCTGGATGTACTCTCGTATCAATGGTAACACTACGTGTACAGCATAACTGAACGGATTTTTGTTTACGCGACAGAAATTTTCCGCATGATCTATTTTTAAAATTCCGCAATATCAGTGCATCAGGAGTTGAGGTACTGCCAAGAAGGACAGATATGGAATACAATGTCCTTATATTTGTCCTCCATTCCTCAATGAATCTATTGAAATATTGAGAATCCATGAATATTCTATTTCAAATCAACCGCGTCGTGGAGTAGTTCACGTCCACCGCGGATAATTGATACTGGAGGTTAAAAAATGGAAATTGGAAAATTTGGATATCTTGAAAGGTTTTTCCGAGGTAAATCCATTTGAGGAGATCTTTCTGATATCCTCTCATTTTTCAATTTTTTTTTTTTACAAATTTCTGCAAAACGGTTGATAAAATTAACCTGGACATTTTCCTACTTTCTCAGTAAACTTTTGGTAAAATTCCCGTGATTTTATTGAAAATTCGAGAAATAAACGCACGACTATGGAAATTTTTGAGTCATTAAGGAGTTATTGCCGATATCTTGTCATTTTTCCTGTTTGTAAATTTTTGGAAAACCCTGTGTCAGATTAACGACTAAAAATATACCGTTTAGGTTTTATAATTATTCAAGGACTCAGAAATTTTTGTAGTCGTGAATGAATTATTTTCAAATTTTTGGTGAGGCTTGCTGAGGACGCAGAAAAATTTGAGTAAAAAAGTTTCAATTTTTTCGTGTTAATCCCATTGATAATTGGAAGAAAAAATTAAAAAAAAAAGTGATTTTTAGGGAAAAGGGCTTGGAACCTTAATAGAGCAGAGTAGACCAATACCGTGACGTCATCCAACTGCAGGGTGTGATGCTCATGGACAGAGAGAGGTGGGTCTGACGGTGGCTCGTAATCGGGTCAGAGGTACTCCGAGGTCGATGTCCCTTTGCTCTCAGGGTTGGCTTTTGCCAACACCACCCCTACAATCACCCACTTCCTCCTCCAACCTTGCTGTTGGATCCTCAATGGGGTCGAGAGGTGGACAGCAATCATCCTCATTCCACAAAAATCAACCACAATAACCAGTCCACTGACAAATAACTGCACTGAGAAATAAAAATTATTTTTTCAATATATTTCACCACAAAAAAATATATTTGACTAAAGATTTTTTTTCTCAGTGTAAAAAATAAAGGGTCATCCCCAGAATAATTTCATTATTAATTTTTATTTATTCGTATTATTGTTCAAGAAATTCTGGAGTGGAATGTGTAGGTCTCACTCCAGTAATTAACAATCCAAAAACTTTTGGGGGGAAATAATTAGTATATGATTTTGAAATATGATTTTTTATAACCCACTCATAATATTATTTTATATTATTGAATTAATTAATATATCCTTTAAACTCAAATAAAATTATTGGAAAAAATGGCCATCTGGTACCGCTGAGGAATATTCGTGGCACAAATAAAATAAATATTTCCAATTTATTTTTATAATTTCATGACTCAAGTTCTTGCAATATGAAAAAATGGATTTAAACAATAATTGAGAGAGGGAGAAAAGGTGAATAAAAAAATTAATTAAATAAACTCTTCGGAGATATGTATATCATGAAAAACGTTTATTAGAACGTAGATTACGTCTACATAGAGTTGGTATACAAAACACTCACATTTCAGTGAAATGTTCATCTCATTCGCATTGTCATTGTCTCACGTATGATTTTTCATGATTTAATGGTCTTCAAATCTTATAATAATAACATCAGTCACACGGAGGGGGTAGGGAAGGGAAGAGGGAAGTGTATCTACAAGGCACTAGAGTGGATATCGCACCAGTCTTTCTGCTCTGAGAAAGATTAATAGCAATTAATTAAAATCAATTGGAATTCTTTACAAAACAATTACCTCATCGCTGGATAAATCATTATTTTCTCATCTTCAAATGCAATTTCAATGATCATTTCAATATTTGATCCTAGTATATCTTAATTATCGTAATTTAATCTTATTCATCTCCTTGTTTCGAGGAGTCTAATTTTTCCCCGACTCGATCGAATTTTAATGGATCTTTTTTCGTACATAGTGTCTCGGGCGAAAATGATATTTTAGCCTCTCAATGTGACAACTAAATTTCGTCGTAATTGACTTGATATGACACGTTACTTACTCATTAATAAAATTTTGAAAATTCTACCTTCCATTGGGATTAAAACTGTTATTCAATACAAATTATTGATCTTTTTTGTGAATATCGTTAATCATCGATTAAGTGCATTGTGAAATTTAAATGAAAAACGAGGAAGTTTTATCTTATCTACGATTCACTTTTCTCATTCTAACTTTTATCTTCTTCGTTCATATAAAAGTGAGCAATTTTTTAATTCTCATCGTGGTAATTACAGCCACAGTTGGGGCTATAGAAAATTTTAATTGAATACGATTTTTAAGCTCCTGCGTTACCTTAAGTACTTGCATCGAAAGAGTCGGGAATATTTTTATCAATCATCTCAATTCATATACTGTGTAAAAAGGGAAAATCTTATCCCTAGGAGATTACCTATCATTTTAAATTCGCAAATTTATCCATAATAACGTCGCGAGATTTCGGACAAGTCCCTAAGACTTCAATTAGATCTGATCCCGATACGTTAGACACGATATTTCGAGATTTTATCACTCGTCAATTAGAAACTACCCCTCGGTGTTCTCATCACATAATAATAATGAATCTCAGTCATTCGTTGGAATCACAAAATAAAATCTAAAATAACAGCATAAGTTAAATATTTAACATTATCAACGGAATTATCCAATCAATAGAATATGAAGGATCAACTGAATTATCGAGATAAATTAAAATGTAACGAGACGAAAAAAAAATTATTGGTTCTGGCCACATGACACGATTCATTGTAACCCATCACATTTATCTGCGATCAATATTTTTGCGGTAGAGTCTCATATCATGACATGGGCACGGTGAATTACATTGACTAGCATTTCGTGGCACTCTCTGCGTTGGCAGGCCGGACAATCCCCTCACGTATGTATAAGAGACGGGTTCCCTCAGAATCCTCTTGGGACTCTTCTTCGTCAGCTTCTTCTCCTTCCCATTATTCTCAAAGACTCCGATCTTGAGGCAGTGCAGTGCCCTCGTGAGGATGTCAGCTTTGGAGATCCTCTTGGATGAATCACTGTCTGTGCTCTGTCCGTCTGATGGACTCAGCGAGTGAGAGGGTGATTCCCTCGAGTGATTGCGATTATCACTGGGACTCCAGGACCTCGACGATTTGTTATTAGATCTACCACTCTGGCTGTTGATACTCGATCTCGACAAACGCTCCTGCGATCTCATTGCCGATGTCTCGTGGTGACGGAAGCGATGAAAACAGCGGCTTTTTGAGGTGCTCCTGTCGTGACTCCGGGTCTTCGATAGGCGTTCAGCACTTCCTGTGGAGCCTCCACTGCTGCATCCACTGTCTGTGCTGCACTCGTCTGTCTGGTAGAGAGATGAGTCCGTCAGTCTCATCGTGTCTTCCATCATCCTCTATTTATTCGAAAGTATTTTTAAAGTACTTCACCGATCGCTGCGATTATCAAATTGATTTTATCGACTTATCGCACTTATAATGGTCAATTTATTTATCTATTCTTTTAATTCTTTATTTTGATTATTTTATAATGAGTTGCACAAGTAGTGTTCACTGACACTTCAGTTACTTCAGGTTTGCGTGGTTGGAGTTTATTTCAATCACTGTTTCGAATTGATAAACTGCAGTTGTTACAGCCTCAGTTATCAGTTTCGCACTGAAGTCAAAGGGGGTTGTGTCACCGGTCTTATATCTACTTGCTGGGATGCACGCCTGCGCGGAATCTGTCCACGTGAAAAGTCCACGTCTCCTCACAATAGCTATCTATTGCAAATATATTCGTAAATATATTCTTGTCACTGTATATTATTATTTAATATATGTTTAATGTATGTATTTTATATATATTGTTATTTATTTTTCATATTGAGGAAAAACAATTCTTTTGTCAAATATATTTGGTTTCCACCAGTCCGATCTTTTTTTAAAAGAACAGATGTACCGCAAAATCACACTTTTTTCTCTCTGCATGGGAATACATTTTTTTATTTAATATTCTAATGGTTTCGTTTATTTCTTGATTGATTTCATGAATTAATTGATCGATATATATTTGATAAATTTATATAAATACTTTTTTATATATTTTTTTTGTTTTTATATAATGATAGAAATAACTGGTAATTAATGGGAGTAGTAATAATGATTTAGATCAATTTTTTGTACTTTTTTTTTATGTTAATTAGGAGTTAAAAAATGTTCTTCCGCTCCGGAAACTCTGGTTACTCCTCGCGGCATAATCCTCGTCCTGTAAAGTCCGTAGAACTCCCCTGAAGCTTTCTGTTTCAATGATAAAAAAATGTGGAAACTTTTCAACGGAAAAACCCAAGATTGAGGAAAAAAACGGTACACCAGATGTAATTGTGCAGTAAGGCATGAAATAAAAACTGGAAGTCTCCCAGCCACTCACGTAGGTAATTTATGAATAACTTGGGGTCATCGAATTTCGTGACTGCGTCACATATCCGATCAAGAATAAATATATCCGCACGGAAATATCAAACCTACTGAGTAATTGATATTGACCTGACGGTGGGCAGTGCCTAAATTAGCTCGAGTACTCGAGTTCGCCGACCTGAAAACTTCGCGAGACAGAAAATGCAAATTGAAGAATTTCCACTGACAATTCACTTTGAAAACGCATTTATTCGCCAATTTTTTTTTCTCCTTCTAGGATAATAAATTCATATCCTACACTTGTATGGAGTAAACCAATCATGAGAAATTCAAGGTAAAAGACGGGGAAATTCTCGACAAGAATTTCATGGCATTAAAATAATTAGTGACAAAAATGGACTCCTCCTGGGATGATTTTGGGTAGTTGAGGGGTGCAGAGGTCGCGATTATCCGATACATACCCTACCTGCGCCAAGAATTGTGATTGCCTGAGGTTAGTATCATAACAAAAAGAAAAACATGTTTATTTTTCTCAGTCTGGCTGTTATTCGAATGGGAATGACTCTTGAATGCCTGATCAACGAAAATTGTACACTGTGAAATACAATATTCGAGGTCATTTTCCATGAACGTAATACCACTAAGTAGTTCATCAAGCATTCTACTATGATTCTCTCAAATCATCGTTAGACGACCTAGGATAAGTGCTCTCGAAGAGAAGTTGAGATCAGAATGAATTACGAAAATATCAGCGGCCGTTCGCGGAAAAAATTCGAAATAAAATTAATCCGATCTACTGGGCATTGGCTATTAAAAAGAGTTCAACTTTGAAGAAGAATTCGGAAAGGCGAATTTCCCCATTCCTTTGTATCCATTCATGAAAAATTAATCTTTTTCAATTTTTCCTCAGTCTTCCCGCAGCCCAGAAACAAACATGCGCTAAAAACAATCAATAAATAACCAAAAAACAAATAAATAATCAGAAAATAAAAGTTAACAAGTGGTAAACAAGAGAGAATTGCGAGACATCTTCATTTATTTTATATCAATTACCCAGAGAATTGTTCAGACGCGTTAGACTATCGGGAATTAATTTCTGAATATTCAAGTCAAGACTTTTTTCTCGTTCTGGACAGGGACTTGAGATTTGAAGGCGAAAAATTGGCCGAATGGTTCAGAATCAAGCATCCAATCTTTTCTTTTCTCTTTTCGGGATAATTGACTTGACACACCTGTCAATATAGCCTCGGCGACAGTTAATGACTCTTTGTTGGCATTCGTCGATGGTAACGACCTGGGTCCTTCAGCCCCCGACGAATGTCTTTGAACTCATTTACTGAAAGGACTCAAATAATATAAAGCATCAAAAGGGAGATTACATTAGTCTGTCCAATTTATTACTAAAAAATACACCGTGATTCGTCATCACTCTTTAGTTTGATTTCCGAGGTGTCGGGAATTAATTTTTTTTCACCCCATCCAAATGAAATTGTTGGATTATTGAGTTTAGTTTATTCTTTAAGTGACTGTTACAGAAATGAATCGATATGGATGTTGACTGAAAGTCACTTGAGAGGCTACATAAACATTAACAATGATTTCTGCGGAAGAAAGAACAGAGGGTTCATTCATTAGGTGACGAATTTGTTTCTCATCTTTGTGACTAGTTTTTAGTCTCCTGGAGATTTCCGTAGAGTACAGACGTTTCTTCCTCGTGCCATTATTAAGAATAAAGAATTTAAGTTTAATCCACGGCTTTATAGTATTATTTATATCTCCCATATCCAATAGAAATAATCAAAGTCAAAAGTTCTTGGCACGTGGAGCTATCGGCACTCATTTCTCACGAGAGCAATTTAAATCTGTAATACTTACGTTTTGTCACGCTCGGAGAAAAGTAATTGGAATTGAAAAGGAATCAATTATTTCAAATGAAAATCAGTTCTGGTTTTTAACACGCGCGACAAAAACTCCACGTGGAATTAATGACAATCAACATCCGGGTGATATTTTGTTATACTCTACAGATAATGAACTATGCAATGACCCCAACCCCTGAGTAATGCAATTAATACCACAAATAGGGATAACAGAAAATGAAAAATCGATTTACATAACAATTGGATGAGAACCGGTGGACAGGATTACATGCCATTTACGTAAATGAAATGAAATATCTAAATGTAATTATGCAATATGGGATAGAAGGTTTGAGTGGCGCAGATGACATGTCCAGTTCGCATTGATCAGCTCCTGATGTGTGAAAATCCTTTGAAAATCTCTCTGAGAGTTTAAATTGCACGAGTGTCACAACACTGGAATATTCAATAACAGCGAATTCTTACTTCAATTGCGCTAGAGAGTTTTGTTCACAGGAATTCAGTCGAGCTTTTCTGAATGATAAACAAAGTTTTGTTGATGCATTGTTCACTTGAAGAGCATTGCAAAGTTGAAGTGCGTAGGAGCTGGATGTTCCGTCATATAATCACAAGAGTTACTATAAGTTTGGAAAAGTTTTATATATTATTTTTCTTTTACCATATCCTATTCTAAAAAGTCCTATTCTAAAAAGGATAAACATCGAGACTATCGATATCTCGAAACTCTGTCACGCTTATTTCTCATTGGTTCAGTCGTTTGAGGCGGCTAATTTGAATTTGAAACTCACTTAAATTAACAATTTTTAATCACGATTTTTATAATTACAGCGCGCTGTAGTGCGCGTTCGTTCTCGTACCGTAAAATACGAGTGCAAAGTGCGCAATATCTAGTACTGAGAAATGCAGCGAGTACAGAGGAAACTTTGCACCCCTTCGATATTTCAATTAAATGTGGATATCATCACGTTGTACAGAGGCTGTAATTATTGCATGACGATTTTAGATCCTGAGAAGAAATAGTTGAGGATTAACAAACATCCCCATGTGTTATGAGTATTTCTAGTAATGGCACATGTTCACAACTGTTGTGCATGGGAATCTGTGGGATTGCGAGGGTCAATCTAAATATTAAACGCAATCATGTATGATTTCACATTCCCGATGGTCAAGTACATAAATATATGGGACATACTACAAGAACTCGAGTTTTATTGAGATTTGATGATTTTTTAATTCGCTCTAAAATTGATATTAATTTAATATTTATTAAATATTATTAAAATAAATATTATTAAATATTATTAAATATTATTAAATATTATTTTTATATTTATAAAGTATTGGATTATGCAAATGTAAACTGAAAATTCAGGAGATAAAAAATTATGTAAATAAAATTTATCTTTTTTTTCTTGGGATAGCTTTCCAGGGGAATGTTAACAGTCACGTTAACGCCATAACTTTTTCTGTGCAAGGTCAGAGTCTGAGGTAAAGGTGAAAGGTAATATAGTACTTGAAATAACGGATGATTTTCGCATTGCAATCACCATTTCAATTTTGAACGAAAGATCCTTAGCGTCGTAAATTATAGGGTTGCAATTTAATGTCATCAAGGAAGTTAATGGGTCCGGTGATACACGCCCAGCGAGTGCATTTGACTGTAATCGAATTTTTTACGATTTCCGTTGCTGTGAAGGTCCCCGAACCATTATCCTTGTAATCAATGACCGGAGGAAAAGAGTGGACTTTGATATGATTCCTCATCGGATCCAAATCATTCCTGAATGAGTGAAAGGAATCCAATTGTTATTCCCTTTAAATTTCGGGCAACTTTCAACATCGATCGGTTATGCCAGCCGCAGAATTTCAATTGCACGCAACTTTTATCCACCGACACAAAAATTAATAATAATACACACTCCTACAAACAATTAATCTCATATAAATAATTAATCATCTCTCAGACAAGTCATTGAATAATGAAAAAAATTGTTAGAGGCTCTAATTTTTTTTCCATTTCATCCTCTTCACCGAAAAACCCCGGAATAATCCCGCAATATCGCAATTGAAATATTCCCCCATTTTTTTTTTCCATTTCACTGTGCATTAGTCGTATGTAATGCGAGTAATCGATCGGCGATAATTGCGATGTCAGAGTAATTCTGAACGAGGGGCCAACAATAGATTTAATAACCACACCTGCATTGCGTTGGTGATAATGACAGAGAGGAATTATCTGTGCAATAATTGCATTCTTCGGTGGCTATTTAAAATTGTCCGTGCGTCAAATCGCGTCAATTACTGCTCTTACAGAATTTCATTAGAGGATTATCACAGGGTAATTAGTTGAGGGATCCTTTTGTTCTAGATATTCGTATCGAAATCGACGATAATTGAAAAGAATCATCCAATAAATATTGATATTTACTCTATTGCCCAATTTTTTATTGCAAAGTGGAAGGATTAATTGTAATAACGTAGAGAGGGCTTTAACAACCAGATGAGTTTCGGAGTGGATTATGGCGTGTATTACGCTCATTAAGCCCTGCAATATAATTCTTTCGATGGTACCATTAAATACAGATCAAATCTCAAACCTATCAATCGTGGTTGTTAATATTAATGGAGAGACCCGATTAATCTGAAGAGCTTTCCCAAAACCCCGAGCTCGTCAAGACGATCCTCCAAAAATCACATATTCTTCAAGGATAAATTGATATAGATTTATATATTTAAACGAGAAAGCCATTACAACGAATTATAAATAAAAATTGGAATGTGCCAGCTATTACGCGGTTACTCATTATTATTCATCCATGTCCATTGGCATTACTATTCTCGTTGCATCGAATTTACACACAATTTGCGGATAGATTTCATCATTGGAATATTTCACGAATGCGCTGGGCAAAATTTAACTGCAGCATGATTGTGATGATTAAAATTCAGTCTAGGTTCATCAACGAACTTGTCGGGGATCCAATAAATCTTAACTGGACTGGTTACCCCCAAAATTACCACGACTCGATGAACCAGTTTTCGGGATGTTTAATTGGTAATGTCGCGAGCAGCTGACTGACCTTTCTATTTCAGCAGGCGACACCTCATGGAGTTCCTCTCGATCTATAAGGTATGATAATTTGCTCAGTCCTTGAGTACCTTTGTATTAATGAAAAAATATTATTCGTCTCTGACGTAAGCAGGATCCATCCGGTTGGGTTTAACGTAGGTATAAAAGATCGGCATTCCTCCGAAAATAGTACCAGTTGCCCATTGAACTTAACAGCAACTCCAAGATTCGGGAAACCAATCAACCAATAATGAATACCCTGGTAAGTCCTGCAATTACTATCGACTATTTAATTATCAACCAATCGTCTTTAAATTCGATATTTATGTTTTACCGATATTTACCGATAAAAATTCTAAATACTTGTGTCATATTTTTTTAAACTAATCTTTTGGGATATCGCTTGCAGATGATTCTGGCCGTTGTCATTGGTTGTGCCTTGGCAGCACCAAAACCCGGCTATCTCACTGGTGAACATCCAGCTCCAGTGGTCACTGGTGAGATTATCAACGCGTACTCCTCACCACTCATCACGGGTTACTCAGCACCAGTTGTTAAAACAATTCCAGCACCTTTAATCACGAGTTACTCTTCACCGTTGGTCAAGACCGTTCGTCATCCAGCAGTTGCCAGTTACTCTTCCCAATTGATCAAGGCCGGTGGTCATCCAGCAGTTGCGAGTTATTCCTCACCATTGATATCGAGCTACTCTTCACCCTTGATATCCAACTACCCCTCACCCTTGGTTTCCAGCTATTCCTCACCCCTGCTGTCAAGCTATTCTGCTCCATCCCTAATATCACCCTACGCCACTCCAGTCGTCAAGACACTTCACTCCTCTCCCATCATCCACACACCTATTTTCTAGATTACCCTTGTTATTTCTAAAATGTAACTGCAGCTCAAATATGCAATAAATTATTATTACTCTGAATTTGCGTTGTAAAATCATCACTGAAAAACCCTTCTCCCTCTCCAATAAAATGGAATAAAAAATAATGCCCAGAATCTTCCCTCCCCTTTCTCTTCTCTCCTGAAGGTACACCACCCAATTAGGCCCGACTAAATAATATTCTTCAATCGCGTTAGTTATGGTATTAAATGAGTGATTAATTAAAGTTTCCAGAAAAATTCTCTCCAGGCACTATTACCAGTATAATAATTATAAAATAATAACTAATCCTAAAGAATCAATAAACAAATCAACAATCAATAAAGAATAGACAGACAGATACGGTGAAAGCAGTTTAATCGATAATTTCAGGTGACGAACATGAATGAATGCGGAGACAATCCACATGATTTTTTTAAGTACACAAATACTTTTCTGTTGGAATAGATGTGGTGTGGGGTGGGTGGAGATCGAAAAATACGGAAGGTGCAGGTCTCTGAGGATCAGATGATTTTTTATGTCGTGGAGGATTTCAAATGTAGTATGCTGGTTTAGCAGCGTATGCGTAGGGGAGACCGTAGGATGCTGCGTATCCGTAGTAAGGTGCGTTGTAGGAGCTGTAGGCACTGTAGGCTAATGGAGATCCTGAATAGAGTGGTGCAGAATACGCTGACACCAGCGGAGCTACGTAACCTGGGGCAGCGGCGGCGAAGGCCAGGATGGCAGCGAACACAAACTAGATTTTTTTGGAATAATCAATCGAGTCATTATCACCAGTTAATCATTATCATTAATAAAAACAGATTAGAGCAGTGGACTCTCCGAATCGAGGATAACTATCAACTTGTCATTATCTTAATGATATTTAATTAAAATTAATTAATGGGCTTTGAACGAATTTGAAAATGGCGATAATATAATGGGAAAAAATATTTTTGTTAAATATTCATTTGCTTGACAGAACTATCTCCATTTTGAATTAGGTTTTTATTATCAGGATCATGCTCCTCTCGAGGATGATTATTGATACGGCGTTGGGTGGTCTCCAATAGTTATCGATCTCGAATATTTTTATTTGAAAAATTTCCCAGATTTTTGGAATTGAATTCCGGGAGAATTCAAGTCAGTCAAAACTATAATTGATCGTCTTTAAGAGCGAGATTGTTGTCGTAATTGAAAACTAATGGAGATGTCTTGAAGATATTAGACTTGAGATAATAATAAATGATGAAATTATTCTATTCTCAGTGTAATGCAGCAATCACTCACCAGTTTGAACATGTTGATTGAGAATGGCTTTACTGTCTGACGATCAGGTAATGCGTGCCAATTGGAGGTTCCCTCGGTCTTTATATACTAGAAGAGCGAGGATCTTCCTCAGTTCTCTCACGTAAAATCCAAGGAGTAGGGTTGGCTAGCTCCGACAAGCACACACACATTTATTTTGGAATTTTTTGTTTTTCCTACTGATTCTGGGGAGAGTCTCCTCGACCACTAGTCGACCACTCGTTACTTTGGCATAACAAAAAAAAAAACAATTTATAAGAATAAAAAGTGTAGCGCACGTTTCTGGTCTGGAGAGGTAGGAGAAATGAGGCGGTCTCGCCCAGAGAACGATGCACATCAAGGACATTTATACCTTGTGATCCAGACGTGCTTGGTGGGATTTCTTTGCTCGAGTTTTACGAGAAATAAAAGCAAATCATCATTGCAATTTATAGATTTTTCATGCATTGACGTCGGGACCGCCTTTGTCGACTGAAAATCGATATTTCTTTGTTAGATTATAGATTCATGGGGCATCTCCGGGGTCGGGGCTCATCAATCATCGCGGGTTTATCAGGCCTTTTGGATTCGCCAAGTGTTGAAAAAAATGTCTGCCTGGAAAGATAGACGGCAGACGCCTTCAGTACCTCCAGGCTATTTCTATCAATACAAATATCACGCTGATCATTTGTATCGGTCGTCGAAAAAAATGAGAAAAATCAATTTGAAAACTCACTTTGACTATCTAAAACCTGATATTAACCGATTCTTCCCTAATGAAAAATCGATTCGGTCACTCTTCTACGAAATCCCTTCTCGATTGTCCATGAAATGTTGTTTTTTCATTTATCGATCGTTTCGACCAATCACTCCAGCCGAAAAAAAAAAACGTGAACCAGATGACTGACAGCCGGATGTGAACAGGTGTCCTCGATATCGAATTCGACGTAGGTGGTGACGACGCATCGAAAAGCCCCCGTGAGACACCAAAAACTTCTAAACAAACAGCGAAAAAATAAAAATTCTCTCAACTTCCTATGTTTGCACGTGCGAGTGAACTTGAACTTAGACAAAGGAGATGATGAAGAAAAAGAAAATATTTGTATGTTTCACTTGGCGGGAACTCGAGCACATTGGCTGACGGCGGCACTTCAAGGTCCGCTAAGTCCTTCACCTGGTATGTGTCGACGACCGATGGCCAGTTATAGAGTCCCACTCTCTGGCAACCCTCTCGGAAAATTATGTGCCCTCTCTCCTTTGTGATGGTATGCCGCAGCCGCACGATATTTCTCGCAAAGTGACGTCAATGCACTGAATACCCGTCTCAATTTTTCTTCCACCATCCCTTTCCCTTTTTCCCCCCTTTTTCCCCCCTTTTCCGCCCCTTTTACCCCCCCTTTTCCCCTCTTTTCCTCCCCTTTGTATCCAATCCTCGCCGATGTGCACTTTGAAAATTCAATTAAAAAGTTGGCATCATGTGGCAGACCAGAACTGGCGATCAGACAGCAGAAATGAAACTTCTAGGGGTAAAGGTCGAGTGGTGAAAATGTTATCATTCAGTCGAGCTTTTTCGCCGGTGGTGAAATGGGCTTTTTTGTGGCAACCCTTTTATCCGAAAAAAATATATCGTTTGAGGACTTCAGAGGGTTGCCGGGAGGTCACCAGTTGCTGAACAACAGGCAGATATCGGGGGGAGGAATCCCATGTCTGGGAGTCGCGTTTTTTTTCGATTATATTAATATTCAACGCGTAATTACCAATAACTAGTGATTGAGGGGAGGAAATGAGGGGGATGAGACACTATTTTAAAGATCTCGTTGACATCTTCAAAATGATCTATAAAAAGACTACGTTAGTCGAGTATGGAGATTCGATAATTGATTATAATTATGAATCTCAGAATGCGGTATTACGTGAAGAAAAACAAATTCAATAAATTCAATAAATTCATGAAAATTCAATCGGATCGTATAAAACACATCAACTCACTTGAGGAATGGATGATGCGCTGTGAAATTTTATAACTTTTTCTTTCACTTTTTAATCAGAAAGATCGAACAGCCCGCGGAAATCTAGCGGTGCCAGAGCGCGGATTTTTCAATTTTTAAAAATTTTATGCAATCACAATCAATCAAGTGGAGTTATTAACGGGAATAATTATCGCTTCTCGAATTCAGATCTCGCCATGATGTACCCTATTTAAAAAAAATGAGAAGTGATTCTTAAAAAAAGTCCATCCGCCATCTGCCAATTCTGCGTCGTACTTGAATCTTTTAAAGAAATACATGATAAATCAATAAAAAATAATAAATAAACTGATTTACATGTCCATTTGGAAATTATTCAATAAGCTTTCGAAGAGGTATACAGTATGTAGGGTCCATCGAACAGGGAGTAATTAAATAACCATGACAACCCGTAAAAAAACCAGCGTCAGGGTCACGGCTCGCGGTATAATCGACATCCTCAGAAATAATTTAGTAATTCATCGATCATCCTGAGCTTTTTTTAAACCACCACTGGTGAGAATCTCCAAGGACTTGATAGACGTTTTGGGTAAGAAAGTGGATTTTAGACATAAAAATCAGTTCCTCCATCGGAATTTAAATCCTCGTCTGTCCGAGCGATTTCCTCATTCGAATATCAAGTGACACTTATTTTCTCATTCAACTCACGCCAGTGATCAATGAGTTTCATTATTATCCTGAATGGATTCTCCATGATTATTTTTGAAATGAAATAACAAATAAAAAGTTATGAGGAATCGAATGCAGATTTTATTGATTTAATCTCAGAATTCCGCTTCATGATTTCCAATTTTTCAAATCCAGGATGAAAAATACAATTGTGAATGAAAGTGATTAGCGTCCGGTGATGATTTGACTGATGATTGAGACATCAAGATGTACTCTAGACGTAGTAAGTGGGTGCTGGTGCGTAGGCGTAGGCGAGTGGTGCTGTGTAGGCCAGTGGTGCAGCTGCGAGGGTGTTGTAGTTCCTGACAACAGATTGACTGCTAGATGCCACTGGATATGCAGCGGGAAGAGCGTAGGCTGTCGCCAGAAGAGCACCTGGTGCTGGTGCTGGTGCTGGATTAGGTGCAGCAGCACTCACCGCCAAGATAGCGAGGAAAACTCCCTGGAGATGAATAAAATTAATGACTCCCTTGATCTCCCGACAACTTTTCAAAAATCTCATCTCAAAAAATTAAATGTCAAACGCCTAAACAAATTCAATCACCATCCAACAAGACTAAAGAACAATTCTTGTACATGAACAACATAAAAATATTTATCATAAGCTTTTGCTACTCTATTTATTCATTTAATGGTAAATATATTTATACTCACAAGTTTGAACATGTTGATAGATGTGAGGCTGTGTATCGTCTTGGAGAAGAGTCGACTGGAGAACTGTGACGAAGGATAGAGAAGCCATGGATTTTATACCAGTCGAAATAGCCAACCCCTCCAGGATCGCTCTGAGATTTTTAACTGAACGATGAAAGAAAACCAGTTGGTACCACCCATCCACGTTGGTACGAGGGAAGAATGCGTCTCTTTGTTCTTCAAGTTCCCGGGAACACTTGTACAGCATGTGGTAGGTATCTCAGGTTGTCCATGGGCATTCATTAATTTTTTAACAAGCTCTTCAACTCCACCAGGTACCTCTCAACTCCCCTGTTTTGTAAACTTCCTGAACGACGCTAATTAATGCATGACTTATACGATACTCCTGGAAACATCTGTACAGCGAGTCCCTCGGGATATTTTTCATGCTTCGGATAATATATTTCCCTCGTGGATTGGCGTAACCTTGTCACGCGTATCACTGCCAATACGGTTATACAACTCAACCACGAATTACGTAATTTTGTGTTATCGTCATGGGATGCCGAAGGGTAACCACGATCACATATTGGAGCTGTTTATCTATTCAAGGTCACAGTGTTGAACAATAGCTGAAGAAAGGCATGGGGATTGATATCAGGGCATTGGATTAGCTATTGCATGAGTACAATAATGTAGTCGACCGCAGATTTACCAGAACTCACCAGGGGCTTCTCATCCCCCACATCGTTTAATTCCACGTGGAGTTGCGATATATTTACTACCGAGAACTGGAAACTCCTCCAAATATGGAATTCATCGACCGTGATGTAGATTTGGAGTACTTATCGTTATCTAAAGAGAATTTGAATTAAATCCCAATGGAGCGAATGATGCGCGCCGATTTATTTCAATGCATTTTTAGAAGAAGAGATTGTGAGATTTCACTCTGTCGCAGTGGAGTGGAATACTGCATACAATACACTATGGAATTTCATTAAATTTCACGGCGCATCGTAGAATATCGATTTTATATTCAATACCATGACTCTCGGTTCCTCAAACGATTAAATCAATAGCGAAGCTGTTAAACCGTTTGAGTCGATTTTTGTTAATAATGAGTTTATCATGGAAATCAAATCTCGAGATTATAATGTATAGAATAGGTTCAAGCCTCGAAACATATCTAATGACTTTTTTGTAATTAAATTTGTAATTAAATGGGTTAATCGCAATTGCTCAATTTTATATTTATTGTGATTACTTATTGTGATGTTTCATTACCAATTGAATTTTCGAGGAATATATTATACCGAAATAAAAAATGTAAATACTAGAATTTTTTAAAATTCTACTTGTCGATTGGAACCGTTTTATCATTTAGCTACTGAAACAAAATTCGTATGAAAGAAAGCCCAGTGGGACAACAAGTACTTTGATGGATGAATTTGAATGCAATTTTAGCCGAACATATCGTGATACTTTCACATTGTCACACTGGACAAGAATACATACCCAGGGTTTTGTAATTTCATGAGGTATGATTGCGCTTCAAGACACCTTGAATGCAATATCAATGGCGGGGCGGGTTGGGTATAAAATAGTTGGAACAATCCGGTGTTCTTCACTCGTTCTTCACTCACCGAAGAAAGACATTCCCTAAGAAATCAACATGTTCAAATTAGCTGTGAGTGCGCTCAATCTATCGGTCAATCGAATCAATATTATAATTTTAATGGACTTGTTTTATTTATCTGCTCTTTATTCTAGTGCATCTGCGCTGTTTTGGCTGTGGCATCAGCTGGAATAGTTCCTGCTGCACCAATTGTTGCTGCAGCACCAGTTGCAGTCGCTCCAGCTCCATTCGTCACATCCAGGAGCAGTCAAGTTGTTGCTAGGAATTACAACACCTTTGCTGCAGCCCCTCTGGCTTACACTGCTCCAGTTGCTGTACCCAGTGCTGTTGCTGCACCACTTGCTTATTCAGCTCCAGTTGTCTCCAGTCCATATGCATACAGCCCTTATGCTGCTTACAGTGCTCCATTGACTTATCCCGCTGCTGCTCCACTTCTCTTGAAATGAACATGACATCGAGATTTTTATCGAGATTATTGAATTGAGTTGTTGTAATAAAAACTATTGATCAACTTTATGTGATTTCTTTTCATTGAGACCTTGATATTTGGAATTTCGTTGGAAATTATATCGCAATCAAATTGGTTTTTTTATTTTTATTTTTTCTTTCGGCTTTAAGGGGTTTGTCGTCATCTCTGAAAAATTTGTGAAAATATGTGGAATCAATCATTTATTGGTGGAGAAATTCCATTTTGGAAAATGTCGTACCATTTAAAAATTTATTTTCATATTCTCTTCGGCGTTGAAAATTTTATTGTCGTAGTCTTTGGAAATATTTGATTTAAAAAAGAGTCTCTTTACTTCCCAGAAGATTCTACTGGAGATTAGAGCCTTGGGGATGCCATAAAGAAATGTATTCCCATGGTTCTTCGGCGTTGAGTATGTTATTGCCATCGATGCGAAAAAAGGCGGAATCAATCATTAAGTGATTATTGCTTCTACTTCTGAAAAAGTCCCTTTCGTTCCCCCAAAGTCCTACGGGATGTGACGAAAAAGAATCATTTCCCCATTTTCCGGCGTTGATGACTTGATTATCATCTGCGATCCAAAAACATTCCAAATCAATCAATCGAAATCAATCATTACCTGATGAGGGAATTCCATCCTGTAAAAAAATCCCTTTCCTCCCCCAAAATATCCTAGATCAAACGCCAAGGGTTGGGACGAAAAAATAAATATTTCTACATTCTCCTCGCGTCTGAGACTTCTATTCTCAAACCGAATGCGAAAATAGGCGAAACCACTGATTGATTGATCAAAAGACCCGAAAAAAGGCAAGCGCCTTAAGCCCCTAATTCGCCCAGCAGATTCTACTCCTCTTTCTTCTTCTGAAAACTATATAAAATTTGCTGATACCGTAAATATTTTTTATATATTTTTTACACGTGGGGGCGGCTATCCCAGATGTTCCGAACACTTGGATTTACCCTAGACATTACATAAAACAAGGAACGTGCTCCGTCTCGTGGCTCCTACAGTTGTCCAGTAAACCCCCGTTGAATCCACACGAGAGGATGATTCGCATTTTTCCCGCTATTCACTCCCTCATCGAAGATCCGTATCATTTCTTGCTCGAGCTGTTCCTCTAATTTTCACGCCCACCTTATAGAATTTATGGAATAAATCATTGCGTCTTTACCCCTTACATTTCGGCACCTCCCCGAGGCTGCCGAATTTCACGATTAATGGAGATATTAATTAAATCGATTAAAACCATAAAATTCACTAATTGAATGACATAACATTGTCGTTTCAAGTTTACCAGAATGCCTGTCAAATGCGTGAAATCCAGGCTTCATCGACTGCGTAACGGTTTCATTGTCCCATTGCGAGGACAATCACGTCGTGGAAGAAAGTATTTCATGTGAATCAATGGTATAAAAGTCAAGAGAGACTATTGAATGATATCACAGTAGCTTTTGAGCATCAGTGAGGATAACTCAAGCATCATGGCATTCAACTTGATGGTAAAATCAAAACCGTTTATTTATGACGGACTGTTTCATTTTTTCTCTACTGAAAAAATAATTCGATATTTTCTTCACCCATTTTCTATTTCATCCACCCAAAATGATCTTTTTTCCTTCAATCTTTCCGTTCAATACAACGAGAACTGAATAAAATAATCATTAAACAATTACTCAATTAATGGATTAATTATATCATATCATATGTTGATATAATTGGCTCTATCTTCCAGACAAAAATCGTGGTTTTGGTGGCAGTTTTTGGTGTCACACTCGGAGGAATTGTCCCAGCAGCTCCGGTTCTAACTGCTCCTGTGGTGGCTCCATCAGCTCCAGTGATTGCTCCAGCAGCTATTGGATATGCAAGAGCAGTTCCTCAGAATGTTCCACCATTTGCATCAAGGATTGATATAAACACCAGAGCTCTCGCAGCTCCGATTGTCGCAGCTCCAGCAGCTCCGATTATCACGGCTCCAGCGGCTCCCATTATTGCGGCTCCAGCAGCTCCAGTTGTTGCTCCAGCGGCACCTGTTATAGCTCCAGCAGCTCGAGTCATTGCTGCTCCAGCAGTTGCAGCAGGGATTGCTCCAGCAGCCTATTCAGCTCCGATCATAGCAGCTCCAGGAGTCTTCGGAACATCTTATGCCGGAAGTTTGGGTGCACCACTGGCCCATTACGCCGCCGCCGCCTATGGACCCGCAGTCCTTGGCTGATTTAATTTATGATTTCCAATACTACAACTATAAATCACCTTGCCACTGAAACTCGATCCCTTCTTCATTAAATAAATTTTTTACCCACAGATGATTATTTCTCATTTCACTTCCTCTCCTCTCGATTGAAATCCCAATGACTTGTTGGATTATTAATGCATTAATACAATGTCCGAAAAACTTGTTGAGAGATTGCGATTGAGAGTTGAAAAAAAAACTGGATGAAGAGGGAAAAACTTGATGAAGAGGGAAAAACGACTCGGTGGAAAATTTACCGGAGAGGAATTCCAATAAATTATTTTTTCACAACATTCCCCTACAAGTGGGTGTTCAACGTTCAACAAGAAATGAGATCGTTTACGATGTGGAATACGAACTAGTTCATGCTTTGCCTCTTGTTTTTCACGATAAACCCAGACACTCTGGAACCTTGAAGTGTATCCTGCTCGAGTGCCCGTGCACAGGGGAAAGAGGGCTGTGAGTAAAAATCATCAAGAGCATTGAGACCCGGGTAAATTCAATTCAAATGCCATTCACCCTGGTCTGAATTTATCAACTCTAGGAGATTAATGTGTCACCTTCACTGACCTTTCCACGCTTTCCTGTTGGATGTCGGGGGGTTGTAGGTCTCTTACCCCATAAAGGTCATTTTATTGTCCAATGCTAGATGGGAGCCACCGGATGTATGACCCTCGACCTTCTTCGGGGTTGATATGACGCAGTCATCGACGATTTAACTATTGTTTACGAAATGAAGCACGCGTAGATGTCGTGTCTTCGCAGTCGATGGAGGTAAACAGTCGTGACATGCACATGAAAATTTTCTGATTGACACAATCGTCAGTGGCTCAATGTGGCAGATGTTGAGAGGAATATTAAGGGGCTCTTACGTCCGATCGCATCATTCTTGCATTGTGTATTTAATGGTATTTGCAATGGGCGCATGGAAAATTAAAATTCCACAGGTTTTTCCATCGATTCTGTACTGCTGGATAATTATACTTGAAATTGTTGGCAACGAGAAAGTCACATAAAAATTCTGTAGTATTGTTCACTGATGAATCAGTTAATGTTTTTTAATGTTTTGGTAGTTCTCGATTTTTCGGCCCATATGACACTGAATTGCCATGGAAATGACGAAATTCCAGCAATAATTTCCCTGAGTTTTCCATCCATTGAAAATTGCATTTGTTAACGATTCAATTATCATTTAACATAAAAATCAGGAGTTTCCTGCATTTGCAGAATAAATATGGAATTCAGTGATCGCTTTTCATTCAAATTAAATTCAAAGAAATGTAATCGAAAATTCCGATGACAGACGAAAATTTCAAATAAAAATTAACAGCCTAGACTCTCGATGATGAATTGTTAGTTTACTGCAGGACTGATTCCCGAAAACCGTAAAATGAATTCCCAAAAGTGAAATTTTTTATTTTTCGTGAGAATTCACCCAGATCCGGGTTGAAAATACGTGAACAGCATAATTAGTGATCGGAATGTATTTAATTTCACTGAGCGATGGCTCTTCTATTAACCAACGATTTCAATTTCAAATGTGAATCCAAAATTTAAATAAAATCGCTGGAGTTAATGCGCTCCATCATTCCAGACTGATGTGAAATCCTTGAAGGATTTAATTGCGTACAGCTGAAGGGTGGAGAAGGGGACAAAGAGACTTTAACTTCACGTCACGTGCTCTGATTTCGCATTAAATAAAACAACGAGAGTCTGGTGAAAAAAAAGGTGAGAAGTGAAAAATCAAAAATGATTGTCTGGCTTTCGATGACTCCCCCTCGACGAAGAGTAGCCAATCGGGCGTGGCCTGGTGGTACCTCCAGGAGGCCGTCTAGTAATTCTCAAACTCTTTTCCTCAAGGGAGAGGTCTACACCAGGGTGGGGGATTGAATTCCTTTGTTGGCTGACTGACTAAAGACAAGTGGGTATATAAGACGATGCTCGATACCCATTGAACATCAGTTTTCCCAGTGAAACAGAACAAACACCTCAAATCAAAATGATGACCAAGTGCCTCGTAAGTAGCTACAAAAAAATTCCCCCTTCTGAAATCAACTTTGAAACAATCAAGAATTGATTTGTTTCTGCTATTAAATTCATGATTTTCACGAATACCACAATTTTCTGAATTCAATAAATTCAATTCAATAATTACAGTCATTCAACTAATTATTTAATTGATGACTCGTAATCTCGATTTTCGGATAAATGAGGCACTTATATCTCCGATTGCGACAATTTTTTCTGTCTCAAGGGAGAACTCTCTAATTTCAATCAGGAGTAGAATTTCAAGAGATGAGAAACTAGAGATTTCTCGAAATAGAATTTATTCTGGAGGCAGTAAATAGGATAAAAATAGATAGATGAAAAATTATTTGAACGATAAATCTCTGGAAAAATAGTAATTGATTATTTATTGACTGTTTTTATTTATAAAAATGAAATAAATGATGAATAAACAATTAAAATAATTACAGATCCTCTTCTTCGCCTTCGTGGCTGTTTGCTCAGCCGGTACACTGGTTCCAGCAGCTGTACCTGCTGCACTTACAGTAGGAACATATGCAACTAGTTACAATGCACATTCAGTAAATCATGCGTATGCAGCTCCTTACGTAGCAGCTCCAGCAGTTGCTGCACCAGCAGTTGCTGCACCACTGGCCTACTCCCCGTACGCCTATCCTGCAGCATACTCAGCCTATTCACCCTTTGCTGCACCCATCATTGCTGCACGTCGCTAAAAATCACCTATGGAAAACCAATTGCCCCACTGTCCAGTCGACTCCGGCTTCGTGAGGATTATCCTGTAATCGAGAGGATGACGATTAAGAAGATTTCCAATGACAACTCGCTGGAGATCGAGGGACTGATTTACCAACTGGGCAATTTATCGATAGATCAATGATCCAGCAACTGGCTATGCGATGGTGCCACAAGCGCTTGATCTCACATTCAAACTTTCACTGGAGAATTTATCAAATTTTTGCCTCGATTTTTATTCAATAAAATGGATTATTGTTCAGCCTAAAAATTTATTGCATTTTTTATTCTTTTTTTTCATCTGGTCCCCAATTTTTTACATTTTTTTTAATCGACGAAATTTAATCTCGATTGTCGAGGGAAGGAAATGGCGAATATTTGCGGAATTCATTAAATTGTTATTAATTTTATTTTTCATGATTAACATATTGAGGTCAATTCTCTGTTCGAGTGATTAGGAAAATTTGAATCACCTTATTCATTAAATGAACATCCCATTGTTCAGTCGAGAATCGTTCCCGTAATTATTCGCTATCTCATTTGCAATCTCATGTGCAGTTCACTGCACTTGCGATAATTACATCGGGAAATTCTGAAAATGCATAAAATTAAAGAACAACAGGATTGAATAGTCGAAACGAGTGGAATAGTCAGGTGGAAAAAATTCAGACCTATTTAGATAAACCGCGAATAAGTGAAAAAGAATGACACTTTCATTAAAAAATGTTACAGCAGAATAAATGATAATGATTTATGATTTATAAGGAATAAAGTTACACGGACTGTTAATATCCCGGAGTATTGCGCAATGAGCGAGTCATCGGTGGACACCGTCAAAGGTGCATTTATGTGAGAGTCACGACAAGTAGTTTATATTCATGTTGAATGACAAGTGAGCTTATGCTGAATGAAGCAGTCCGTTCAACTTGCTTTCGCAGGGTCATTAATTCTGAGAGTGAGTCAACGAAATTGCGATGACCACCAACGAAATAATCGAGATGAAATTACATATTTCCCCTTTACTATCAGACTATTATTTTTTGTCTAAATTTTCGAATTCACCACCTCTTTTTTTCCCTCCGGATGGAAGCATTCTAATCCAATCAAAATCCAACTTTCATTTCCCCATTCTTTGCATTATATCAAATCAATATTCATCCAAGAAAAATCGTCCTCTCTTGTCTTAAAAAAAAAAACAGAAGTGCGAGCGAAAAAGCGATCGTGAAATTTTCTTCTGGTCGCCTTGGAGATTAAAAACAGAAACAATCGCGTGTAGTTGTCATAAAATCGTGATTTTTCACACGGTTCGGTGTCGTTGCCTCCAGTCTCGACCTCGTTTGACGAAGATTATCGGATAACTCTGTAGCCTATCCCCCAGGAGCTACAATAAACTCGAACGTCGAGTAGATAAATCGTGAAAAAATGCGTGAAATAGTGCATCTGCAGGCGGGCCAGTGTGGCAATCAGATTGGGGCAAAGGTAATCCACAACGATTTATCGAATTATCAAAACAATTATCGAGTTGAATTAATCAATTTGCCGGAGAAGAAGATGAGTCATTGGTTTTGATTTTATCGGGATGATTTGATTGAATTTCTGATGCACAATGATTCCTAATTAAGATAAAGACTAAAGAGTGAGGGGAGATTTAATTAGAATTTTTTTTTTTCTGGATAGTTTTGGGAAGTTATTTCCGATGAGCATGGAATCGACCCCACGGGTTGCTACCACGGTGACTCGGATCTCCAATTGGAGAGAATAAACGTTTACTACAACGAGGCAACCGGTGGAAAATACGTGCCGAGAGCAATTCTGGTTGATCTGGAGCCAGGTACGATGGACGCTGTACGCTCAGGACCATTTGGACAGATATTTCGTCCAGATAACTTTGTATTTGGCCAGAGTGGTGCTGGAAATAACTGGGCCAAAGGTCATTACACCGAGGGGGCGGAACTCGTGGATTCGGTGCTCGATGTTGTGCGAAAAGAGGCCGAGAGCTGTGACTGCCTCCAGGGATTTCAATTGACCCACTCCCTCGGTGGTGGCACTGGTGCCGGAATGGGTACTCTCCTCATATCCAAAATCAGGGAAGAGTACCCCGACAGAATTATGATGACCTTCAGCGTTGTACCATCGCCGAAGGTATCTTTTTTTTTCTCGAACGAAAATCCTATAGAAAAAAATAATGCAGTAACTTGATTCGATTAATTTGTGGTAGGTATCGGACACAGTGGTCGAGCCCTATAATTGCACCCTCTCGGTACATCAGCTAGTTGAAAATACAGATGAGTCTTACTGCATCGACAATGAGGCTCTCTACGACATTTGCTTTCGCACTCTGAAACTCACAACCCCCACGTACGGTGACCTGAATCACTTGGTCTCAGCTACCCTCAGTGGTGTGACAACATGCCTGAGATTTCCAGGTCAACTGAACGCGGACTTGAGGAAGCTTGCTGTCAACATGGTGCCATTTCCACGTTTGCACTTCTTCATTCCTGGTTTTGCACCACTGACGTCAAGAGGCTCCCAGCAGTATCGAGCCCTGACAGTTCCTGAACTGACGCAACAGATGTTTGATGCCAAGAACATGATGGCTGCCTGCGATCCCAGGCACGGAAAGTACCTGACAGTTGCTGCTGTTTTTCGTGGACGAATGTCCATGAAAGAGGTTGACGAGCAGATGCTCAACATTCAGAATAAAAATTCAAGCTATTTCGTTGAATGGATCCCCAGCAATGTGAAGACAGCAGTCTGTGACATTCCACCGAGGGGTCTCAAGATGTCAGCAACATTCATCGGTAATTCAACGGCCATCCAGGAGTTGTTCAAACGAGTCTCTGAACAATTCACTGCTATGTTCAGGAGAAAGGCTTTTCTTCATTGGTACACGGGGGAGGGTATGGATGAAATGGAATTCACCGAAGCGGAGAGCAACATGAATGATCTTGTCTCGGAGTATCAACAATACCAGGAAGCTGCTGCTGAGGAGGACGGAGAATTCGATGAGGAGGAAGAGGGAGAGGGCGATAATTAAATTGTACTTATTCAATCGAAATTGAAAATTTTTTACCACTTTCCTAGTCTGCCATCAGATTATTCACCTTCAATGCTTGATTTTGTTCGAGAAATTCAAGTTTCATTCCAAATAAAATCACATTAATCTTCCTACCGAGTGGATTTATTTTCCGTCTTGTCAAGGCCACAGCAAATAATATAATAATTTCAGATAATAGGTGCTCGAGTTTGTAATTTTATTATGCACTCCTCAAAACCATGGAATTCCCCGGAATTCGTATCATCGAAGAGGAGAACAATAATTACGGGTGTTGAGGAAGCAGTTGATAATTAGTGGTTAAACGTTTACAATAGCAGAAGAGTTTATCCATTAGTTGCATTCCCAAGTCGAGAGTTTCGCGTGACGCGTTTGCAAGAGTTCTATGTAATCATGTATTCAGACATTGTGAAGCCACGAGTCTCCCATCTATTATTAAAAACTAGGTGAAAATATTCAATAACTCAGGAGAAGACTTCGGTATAATTCAATTGTCCAATTTGATTAGACGACAATCAAAATTCATTACAATTGAACAATCGAGCGAAATTCACAGTCCTCTGAGTTTTATAACAAATTGTTACGTTAATCAGATTGATTCGAAGAAATCTATCGTTTCCACATTTTATCATTATATTTGATGATTCTCAAAATATAATGATCGTGTAATAATTATTCTACATTTTTTATAAACTTATGAAATACTTATAAAACTTTGGAAAAAACCGGACAATTGTTGCCCAATCTTCAAACTTCTCGGGTCAAAAACTAAATTTCTGCGAAAATTTACTGAGAGCCTAGAAAAATTATTCCACGGCCATAAAACTTGATGAGACATTAAATAATAATAAAACTTAAAAACCGCAATTGTTCACTTCAATGTTATCAGCCGTTTCCCAGAAATTCATTAAAAAAACTTAAGCAATAAAAAATTGAGTCTTTCATTGTAAATTATTTTTCCTGCGAAATTTCACCGTTCAATATTTAATTTATTCTTTTCTAAATAAACGAATCCCCAGAGCTATTGACAGCTCCCCGAATAAACTAGACTAAGGTAATTTTTTTCGCCCACGCAAAAAATAATCAACCCTTTCGCAATAATCCTGGGTGAGTCGCCAGAAAAACAGATCCAAGTCCGAAGATTTTCCTCTGCCGGTGATTTTCTTCTTTTTATTCCATCTCATTTTTTCCCCTCGACCTCGTTAAGACGCGCGGGTGTGTCCCGCGGTCCTCTAGGTCTCTTTACGCATGGTAGAACATACCACCTGACTGGCTGGACATGCCGGGTAATTATAAAACGCAACGACAGAAAAGTCTCACTGTTGTTCTCAAGGTGCAAGTCCCTCCCCCTGTCTAGCAAATCTCCTTTTTTTTCCTATAGACGTTTGAAGTCTCGTTTTCTCAGAGATTGCCAATATTATACAAACATTTTTCTTACATATAATTCACGGGATAATGACTTTGTCCTTCATGAGCCACCTCCGACTTGGATCATCGAACGATCCTTGGTGGGACTAAACAACGGGAGGATACTGAGGTGAACGCGTTTGCCATTGCTATTTCATTTGAAAAACACTATCTCACCTGCCCCACCCTTGATGCGACAATACGACATGCAGATCCGTCAAGCATGACTTGGAACCAAATTCCCCAGGTATGTGGCGGGAGGAAAAATATTTTTCCTTTTCTATTTTATTGCAAATTCGCAGGCCTTCGTCATCCACCTTGTCCATTCTCTTTAGACTCTGAAAACGATGGGGTATATAAGATTCCACTGGGGTATCATCTAGTCAGTCTACGATACTCCTTGGATATCCGAGACATCTATCAACATGTTCAAGCTCGTGAGTACTCAGCCATCCATTTTTATCCGTTCCTTTGGTACACTGAAACTCTAAATTTGCCACTGGACTAAATTTTCCGTGGTACTCAATTTTTTTGACAAAATATGATATATACACACACCTTCTTGAATAAAATCCGAGAACTCAGACATTCGTTTAAAAAATAATTCATTTAACTGAAACTCAAAGTCTCTGTTGATATTCGCGTTATTATTGACAAAACAGTTCATTTGCTTTCCATCCATTATTCATTATTGACTTTTCCAATACTTCCTTTCTCTCAATGAAATGAGTATTTGTATTCTCATCCCAGATAATGATTCTATTAATATTCTCTACCTGAGAAGAAAAGATTTAAAACCAACTAGTAATTAATTTATTTGCCTCGAACTCTATAGCAATTCCTCAAAACCGACATAATTCGCAAATATCTTGATATTTTTTTATATTTTTTCGATTTTCGATATTTTTTATATGAATATATTTCCGGCAATGTCATTTTTCCCTCACTATAATATTCCGATTATGACCGCAATGGGGAGAAACAATATTAAAAAGCTGGAAAATAATCAGAAATTTTTGAAAACCATTATTTTATCAGAGTAATTAAATTATTTCGGTTGTTCTGATTTTCAGGCGGTCCTATTTGCCCTGGTGGCTTACGCCACCGCCGGTGCTATCTCCCCGTTGTACAGTGGTTATGCCCTGGGACATGGATATGCTCCAACAGTGAGTTATGCACCAACAGTGTCTTATCACACTCCTCTTGCCACAAGCTACGCCAATACTTACAAGGTAATCCACTGGAGAGAATAGAATTACAATTATTGTCGTACCCTGCGCGGGGGGTACTCACAATTATAAATATTTATAAATATGTTATAAATATTTTATAAATATTTAAATACGATAGTTCATTACTTTACGATTCAACGAGCGCAGGTCGGCGTCAGATTTGGATCTGCCCCCTGTATGCCCAAACGGTCCCTTAAATATATAATATATTGTTTAAATATATAATATCATTAATTGGTCAGCGTAATCTGCTGACGATGTCGCATGTCTATTCAACGATAACGCAATTATGAAACAATTGTACAAAAATTGTTTAAAAAAAACAAAGATTTCAATTATGCAGTGATGAGTCTTTGGATACTAATGATTATATCAGGTCTATTATTTTCCAGAATGATTTATTTAATTGTGATTAATCGAGGTATTTAATTTCTGTCTAGTATGCCTACCCATCGGTCCACAGTGTGATTCCATTGGTTACTCCATCAGTGACGAAATTCCATTATGGCTACCCCAACTACGCAGCCTACAAAGTTGGATACAGTGGTGGTTATGGACATGGTTTGGGCTATGGACTCGGTGGTCACGGAGGATATGGATATGGGGGATATGGAGGATATGGAGGATATGGAGGATACGGCTATGGACACGGCTACGGCCTCAGTCACGGCTACGGGCTAGGATATGGACTTGGTCACGGATACTACCACTAAATTCTCCAGACATTTTCAAAGTATTAAAGAGTCTTGTATTACAAAGTACTTAAGGACGGATGTAAATAGCAATATATGATACAAGGCAGTGTTCAAATCACCCGATAATCTCCCCAATGAATAAATAAACAAAAAATTCACAATTTCTATAAGAAAAATTCATGTGTTTTTATGAAGTCTTTGGTCTATCCTGGAGAATCCCTTGGGGATGTTCGGGGAATTAACTCGCTAATTGGTTTTCTGATTGTCATCAATTAAACTTGACAGGACCCTTTCTATCTATTGTACCGCCTTACGATAAATCCTTGGGGCAAATAGAGCATCTCATGCACAAGGCGAATTTCGTGGGATGGAATGAGCATAATGTGCATATCGATAAATCCTTGGTGGTGTCTGGTGTGGTCGTTATGCAGAGGCAATTGCCATGGCAGTGATCGTGCACGCTCTCGCTTCTATCGGACCTTTTGTAATCTCTGTCGAAAGTGTAGAGTGAAAAAAGGATGGTATGAGAAAAAGAGATTTAAAGGTACAGAGTTGCACACACACTGCTGAGTGGATCAAGGCTGTACCGAGGCTGCTTCTCATATTTATCTTGTAAATAAATCAGCCGCACGTCTACTCAGTCTCCCGTCATATAATCGATGCTGAGTATTTTCTGGAATCTTACGAGCGAGATGAAATCGTTAATTATATGGCCACGAAAATGTGAGGATTACACGCTCAAAGGTTTTAGTCACATGGCCGAAATGTTTTGTGATTTATTGGAACTCTTTCAGGTGTCGGCATTCTAATGTTTTGAAATTTCGCGGTGTCTTCACTGCACAGGGACTTACTACTTGCACCGCTCCCTCTCAGAAAAATCTAAATATAACGAAAAGTGTCCCAAGGCCCCCCTTCGTCAGATAGTTTATTTTACATAATTTTTTAAAATGATAATAACATATATATGTATAAAACTTATTTTTTATGAAAAAATATTTAAATCAACAATTTTTCTTAATGCATTTAATATATAATTAAAAATGTAATTAGAAACTTTTTAATTGAATTTTATTTTTTGAAAACATTTTTATGCGCAGAAGTATTATACAGACAAAATATTGGTGCCCCCAATTATTTTTGAAGGAATATCCCTAATTATATATCAAATACGAGAATTTAATATATTTTTTTTCTTGTTCTTGTGATGTTTCGAAGTAATGGGCGTTCTGTTGAAATATTTTCACCTGCAATATCTTCCCGCTGTAATATTTTGCAGCAATAATTTTTCCAGTTCTAATATTTTTTGTTGTGATTTTTCGAGTTAATATTTTGACTCGTGTTATCTTGACAGATAACGCCAATTCCACATTAGTCCCCTGCACTCGATGAAAGTAGCACAGCATCGGGCCCCAAAAAAATGGGTCTCTCGAATGACATTACGATGACAAATCGGTATTACGATTGCTGATGTCTTATTAACCACTCGCATAATACCCAGGGTATTCTCTCCGCTCTAATAAACTCGCGGAATTGCAACTCGCATGAGTATTCGTTTTCATTGACCCCGGAGTAAATGAGAAAAAAGTGCTACGCAATTACAAACGATCTCAGCAAACTCATCAACTTCACGGAACACCTAATCTGGAAATGAGAATAGCGAATTGAATGATTAAGCGAGAGTCTCAAACAAATGGTGAATGGATTTGCAGTGAATTGGCGGAATAGCCCTAATCAGTATCTGCCAGTGAAAAATTACACCTGAAGTGCCCTCGAAAATCTTTCATTCCCATCCGAGGTCTCAAGGACAACAAGTAAGATTGCCTCGTCTGTGCATGAGGGTCACAATTCCGAAACTCATTTGCTGCCTCACAATAGGGGCCTCGACCGAAACTGGCACATATGTTAATGTCGAATGTTGAAGTACGAGGTCCACCGGATCGCTAGCTCCGGGGATATATAAGCTGGACCGAAAATCCAAGGAAGCATCAAACAGTCAGCAGCACTGAAGATCGAAGGATCACAAAGATTTCAGTGGTAGCTCAATAAATAAATAAAAATTCATAAAAAATGTTGAAATTCGTGATTTTTACTGCTATCGTGGCATGTGCCATCGCTGCACCAGCTCCAGGAGGTCTGTTGGTACCAGCAACTCCAGTTGTAGCTGCAGCTCCAGTTGTAGCAGCAGCTCCAGTGGTACCAGTAGCCACTAGCTACGCCACCAGCTACTCCAACACCTATCGTGCACCTGTTGTCAAGGCTGCACCAGTTGTTCACGCTGCACCTGTTCTCGTCAAGACTGCACCAGTGGTCCATGCTGCTCCTGTCATTGCTGCACCAGCTATTGTCAAGACACCATTGATCCACACACCTGTCTATCACGCTCCAGCCATCGTCAAGACACCACTCCTCCACACTCCAGTTCTCGCTGCACCAGCTGTCATCAAGACTGCACCACTCATCGCACACACTCCCGTGGCTATTCATCACCCAGTTGCTCTCGTCCACTGAACACCATCACGACCTGATCATCTAGAGAGAACTATTTATTTGCTCAGAAGATTTTGTCGATTTCATGGAACCATGTGTGTCAGCAAATAAAAATCATTTTTGTCCCTAAACATTTTGTGTTTTTCTTTATTTCATGACAATTCTAATTAATCTACCGAGATATTTACTTGGAAATTTCCTTCGTTGTTTGGAAATTGTTAGATGTCATATGAAAAATTACTAGAGATGGATGAGATGAATTCCATTTTGTTGAAGGCCGGGATCTATTCGATTTCACTGAATGCCCATTCCGTAATAGTTAAGAAATGCATATTTGAAGAGCTGTCTTCGACTTTCACCTTTCAAGTGCCCCATTAACTTATTTCGTTGGATGTAAAGGAATCATGTCATCAATGCAGTGAAGAATAGAAGCCATAAGTGCTTTCGTAAAATAGTAAACTGATCCCTCCGTATGGCAATACCTCAACGTTCTCCGATCTATCTTTTTACGTAATTTCCTGCTCATGTGCGTAACACGCTAGTAATAGCAAGGTCATGATCACCAGAGTTATCTAATATTTCTCATCTACTCTATTTATCAATATCACCTAGTAAATCTATTCGTTTAAATCCAAAAATCATGCAAATGAGGAACGGATTTATTTCAAGGTGATTCGTTGTGTCATTGGCCTACGAAAACGATACATTTCCTACGATAGAAGTCTGGATTTAAAATGGAGATAACTGTAACAGATAATTGCAACCCATTTTCGTTCTAATTTTGCTACGTCAGGGTGACCTTGAATTATGCAAGTCCGTCTGGTCGGACCTTTCCATTAACAGACGGCCCTTTCTTATCGATGAGTCCTCTCATTGTTATTGGTTACGCCTCGAAAGTGAGAGTCATCCGATCGTTATCAATTCGAGATCGTGGGATTGTGCTTCATCATCGCATCATTTACGACCATCCTTACCAGAGAAAAGCACAGACAAGAGATATATTCAGTGATTACAAATTCAACAAATTGAACACATACGTTCAACGCATTTTTTCAGAAACTGATTGTGCATGAAAATTAATTTGATGGCGCATCTCGAAAAAATAAAAATTACATGAGTCTAACTTGTGTACAGTAAATAATCCGTTATAGTCTCAACTTTCTTCAATTTTTCGTGTACATTTTGGTTTTTCTATTTAATTACCTCTGGACTCAAAGATGTAAACAATCCGTTGCTTCGTTTTTGAATTGAATTGAATTCCGGAGAAAGTAAAGCCGAAAGATTCTCGAAATTCCCTTCCCTACAGCCTCATGCCCGCGATTATAACGGGAGTCTATTATATTGAGATATTACGAGTGTAATTTAGACCTGTATCAATATTGAGTAATCAAGAGTAATAGTTCTGTAATTGTGGCTTGTACTGAAAAAGGATGAATGATAATTATTTGGAATAGAACATCTCGAGTTAATGCATTCAACAATTAGACTGACATGAATATTTTATTGAAAACTTGCAGTTGAGTGACAGTAGAAAAAGTCAATTGATTTAATCAAGATTTCTTAATGAACGAGAGAAAGATGGCTGGAGTGTGCAGAATAGGAGAGTGGTACTGCGTGTGCTGAGTATGCAAGTGGTGCAGCAACGACTGGGGTGTGTACAGCAACTGGTGCAGCATGAAGAGCAACAGCTGGAGCTGCGACGTAGCTCTTGTGGTCAACCTTGTAGGTGCTGGAGTGGCTGGTGGCAACTGGAACACTGTGAACGCTGTGAACAACTGGAGCTGCCACAACTTGCGCTGAATGTACCAGAGCTGGTGCTGCAACAACTGATGCAGAGTGAACCAGAGCTGGTGCTGCAACGTATCCTGGTGCAGGCTTTGGTGCAGCGCAGGCCACAGCAATGAGAGCAAAGATTGTCACGAACTTGTACATGATGATTATTTAAATCTCGTTTAGATATTGTTTGTCAACTGTAAAGACTGCACGACTTGTGATTCAAATCGAGAAGATCCTACGATTTATACTCAACGGTTTGTTCCCCTTCTTCTTCTGGGTGCCCCTCCAAAAATTGAATAATGATGATTTAGTCTTTCTCTTTTGGTCTCACGATATTTTCGTGGCTCTGTTGACATGATCAAGGACTCTGAACGTCATTTTGTTGATCCATCGGGTCCACATGACAAGCGAAAAAAATTCTCCTCATGACACTGGTGGGCACTTACGATTGCGAGATACTCACTTGAGAATAATATGTATTAAAAATTGGGTAAATAAAGCATGAAAAAAATAATATTCACGTATTCAGGTGGATGTCGAAATTTTGGGTAATTCTTCGCGGTGTGATATCAATACTCCGTGCATTTATATTTGGGTCATTCTTACTTTACATTTCTCCAAGTAATTTGAGAATTATTCAACCCGAGAACCTGCGTATTACCGTTATGGAATGACGGTACAAATGAGATATTACGAAAAATAATGAGGTATTAAAATGATGTAATAGAAGAATCATCAGTACCAATATATCAATTGTAAAGGTTATCAATTTTTTCGTGTTATTTCCAGTCATTGAATAAAATTTCGTGCTACATGCGTTAGATTTCATAAGAGCCCTTGTGTAAAAAACACGCAATTGATTAATTTCCCCTGAATTTAATGAGACTAATCTTTCAAAACCATCAGATACCGACTTCTCATACATCATTTCATCAACCGAAGGTCCAGAATCTTTCCGAATACCGAATGATTTAATCCCCAGAGAATGTCCAAATCAATGCAAGACTAATAATAATCCCGAATAATTTTAGCCCTTTGTATTTATTCTGGTCTGTCAATGGCGATGACGAAATGTACTCAAAAAAATTTCAACAGCTCGTATCTGGGCTCGAGCATGAGTACCGAATAATCTTGAATAGATGTTCATTGTGAAGAGTCAATTAACCGCAGTGTTATCCAACAATGTGTTGCACAAATGGAGGGAAAAAGAATAAAGCGGAAGCCTGGGAAACGGTATAGATAGGCTGCCTATACCCATCCCTTCTCCCTTGTTATGTACCTCGTGTGGGCGTAAAACAGATTTCATACTTCCATAGGCTGTGCTGTTACGTTGGACAGCCTATTGTGTAATCGTATCCTCCAGCTCGTCCCTAACAGTACTAAGGGACAAACAGAATGTATACGGGCATTAATATCGTTAGGGCATTGGTCCAGGAGATTATCGTCCTCTGGTAACAGCGGGATATATCCATATTTATGTGATTACGCACATGCATCAATATTATTAGATGATTGGACAACTAGGGGGGAAAGGTGGATTGATTGTTTCTATTATCCTGTACTGCATAATGGCACGTTTGAAGGGTTTGCGGATCCTTCCGGGGAATGAAAATAGATTCGCGATTTCGTCGCATTATGGGAGATAACGGGTGATAAGGTCGGAGGACATGGACCGGTTCGTTTGGAATAGTTAGAGTTTGTTCTTGCCAATCTGGAAGGGATGATTTTATGGAATGTCTATTTTTTTTTGTAAGGAAGTCGAATATAAATGGGATTCGAACCCTGATGGAAAAATGAATTCGCGGGTCTGATGATACCATCAATCTCCCCTTGTGTTTTTATGGAGGAGGGAGTGGTGGTTGCCTGAACACTTCCTGTTTTTCGTATGTCAATCTGAACGGGTCGTCTCGTGTGTCCGTGGGAAGGAGATATACCGCTGAGCGACATGTCGATACCTGCTGTAGATTCCGATATAATGATTCCGCATGAGTACATACTGTAAATAACTTACCTGTATTACCATGTACGGTGTTGAGAAGTGCCTAAGGGCAGCCTTGACAGTGCTCTCTCCCTGTGAGAAATAGACGCTCATTTCATGGTCAAAGTCTTCAAGTTCGCCGACTCTGTAAAATCGGAAATTAATAAAATTCCAGAGTGCAACCCCCTAAATTTACTGAAAAAGTCACTTCTTAAATGAAATTCTCAAATTCTTATTCGCCTTTTTAAAAAATACAGATGAAACGAAAAGTGTAAACATTTTTGCACATGCTCATGAAAATTATTTCTGGTGATAGATATCATACATGCGCATATAAATGTAAATAGTTTTTTTAATTGGTAATAAAGAATAGAATAATAAAGAATGAAATGAAGAATTATAATTGTTAAATGGTTTATATATTTAATTTTATACGTAAAACTTTTTCATTTGATGAATAAAAATTAAATTTCATTAACTAAATTCAATGTATAAAACATGTATGAATACATTGTCATAGATTTTATTTATCAAATAATTTATTTGCATGTGTCCCATATGATGATGATATGCACGCAAAACGCTCAAAAATGTCTTTAGAAATTTTCAAAGTATGTCCTCCGATATTGACGCAAGAACTCTGCAATAAATAGGAGTTCACACCAATTCCACAATTCCATAGACCTGTTTTTTTTTTTTTCAACCGATGTATAGAGTACGTGTAAAAAATGATAAAACAGGTCGAAGGCCTGAACGAAGTGAAAAGACAAAAGTGGTTTAAGTAGAGCTGTCACCGACACGAGCATCGACCGTTTCAAGTCCTTGGTGGAAGCCTCGCAATATTGAATCAAGAAGCAGTGATAGTTTCCAAAGTTCTCGCCAGGAAGTTTGGACAATCGTTGGGAGGTCACGCAATAAAGCGTCGGAGGGGGTGGCAGAAACTGAATAAAAGCGAGCGAAATCCGAGTGAATTTATCATTCAATCATTACTCACCGAGTAAGAAAGAATCAAGACATTCAACATGTATAAGTTCATTGTTCTCTGTGCACTTGCTGTTTGCTCTATGGCAGCGCCAGCACCCAAACCCGGACTCATTGCTGCACCACTTGTGGCATCTCCAGCTGTAGCCGTTGCAGCACCAATTGCCCATCACGTTCCTGTTGCCACCAGCTACGCAAACACCTACAAGGTCTCCTACAACACACCAGTTGTAGCTTCATCCTACGTTGCTGCACCAGCCGTTGCCTATGCTGCACCAGCTGTCCATGCTCCACTCGTTGCTGCTCATCATGCCTACGGTCCAGCACTCGGTTATGCTGCACACCCAGCACCACTTCTTGCTCATTATTAAATCCTCTCAGGCTGGAGCTAAACAATTCATATGAAAATCCCAAAATTTTTACATCATTGTTTCACAATTTATTACTTGAAATCTGAAATTGTTCCATTGGTATATCAACTACAACTGTTAATAAAAAGCATTTTTCCAATTAATTTTGGGCATTTCATCATTCCTTCAAACCCTTACCATTTCCAAATTCTGATTATTCAGGAGAAAATGTGGTACCGTAAAATGACGGCAAGGCTGTAAATGGAAAAGGACCGTGTGGGTCAGACACTTGCGATTTCTCTATTTTTCCGGTGTCCGGAGTTATTCACCCGGGGAAAAATATTCCGGACAAAATTCTCGGAAAAAAATCTCCCAGATAATCTCTCAAAAAAAATGATTTCACTTCTCCTTCAATTTGAGTCGTATAGGTAAGGATAAAAGGGGTAAAATTGCGAGTACAAACTGTCCCTGGGATTAAAAAATGAAAATTACAAGATGCTGAATGCAAATTCCCACTGAGACGATGTTTACCACCTCATCCCATACACCAGAAGGCCATTAGCCTTGAAGAGTCTCCCATTCAATGCGCAAAAATCTGAACTAAATGAATGCAGCATAAAGAAGCTGAAACAGGTTGAGGGTAATAGCCTACATAGTTGCCAGACAAGTTGGCTACCAAGGGGTGATTCAATTCGTATAAAACTGAGGGAGAAATTCCACAGAGGCATCACTTCATCATCAACAACCGAAGAGAATAACTTCCAAGACATCATGTTGAAGTTGACTGTCTTCTTGGGGATCATTGCTGCAGTCCTGGCAGTACCTAAACCAGAACCGGATGTCCTCGCGGCATCACTCATCCAAGCACCACTCGCCACGAGTTACTCCAACAGTTATCACGTATCATACAAGGCCCCGCTGATTGCATCCGCTCCAATCATCGCACCAGCTCCAGCAATCGCATACACTGCACCCATTGCAGTACTCTGAATCATGAAGCAGTGGTCATGGCCATCGGTCTGAAGCCCATCAATTTGAACATCAGAGCTCTCTTTCATCCATTCGTAACAATCAACTCATGTTCTCATCTTCGATTTTTAAATCGGTCTCCAATTTACCGATTGTGATTATAAAGTATCAGCACTCAGAGAAATAAAATTGAAATACCAAACAAAGAATACTTTGCTATAACCATTTACTCGGTACCCAGTTATCTATCATCGGTAGACAATTGGTTGATTATTCCCTCCTTACATAATTATTTCTCAATACGTCATTGTAGAGCGCGAAAATTGCCTTGACGAGGAATTCCCCTCACGATTTCTTTCGCTGAATGATAGCCGTCATCAGGTATGCAGCGTTACCGATGCAATTTCTGCTTTCAATTGTCCGTGATCGGGATGACTGATTTGTTCCAGTGAGGTATCGAGGCATTAGTGGACGATTAGAGAACCCGATGCTGCATAAATCCACGTTGTAATACTGGGCAATTGGTGAAAGTGTTTTTATCACATTTTGTCGAGCGATAAAAGTGCCCCTGGACTAGGGATTGATCAAGGCTGACCTTCGTCAAGCATTTCGAGTGAATTTCCAAAGACCGAGAGCGATGGAAAACATGACGTTATCTTTTTTTCCTCTATCCTGCAAACTTTATTGGGTAACATTTTTTTTTCTCTCGTGTTTTTTGCTGCACAATCAATTAATCGGTTATGACTCAGGGCCTTCGATTCATAATTGGACACATGTGGAAATCGCTTTTTGAGTGGTGGACTTGTCCATTATTTTTTGATTCGAGAGAAAGCAATAGGGATTGGGCGTCGTGGGTCTACGTCTAAATCCTGTCAAGTGCAATCGAAGGTCCCTTCTCAAATCTATTGGGGGATATTGGTATATAAGGTATCTATTCCATCCAGAGATCATTCAGAAGGTTCACAAGACCGTCAGAAACACTTACAACAATCTAAAATGTTCAAATTGGTAAGTTATTAATTTATCCTCATTGAACCGTCATAAACAAATCAATTAAACATTTAATTATTTCTTCTACAACTTCTTCTACGACTTTTCATACAACTTCTTCGGCTTCCACCTCTTGTTTCTACCTCCTGTAGGCACTCGTGTGGGAAGAAACAGTCGGGATAATTGTTTGGGTCTTTCCAAGGTTTTGAAAAGCGTTTGCTCATTCATTCAACTTTTCCAGGTGGTTCTTTTCGCAACTGTTGCTTTTGCAACAGCTCGTCCAGGGCTTCTCTCCTCTCCTGTATGGAGTACAATTGTGGGAGAGAAGACAATTGAAAGTCACGGCAACTCAATTGTTCACAATTCAGCACCGGTGGTCCACACCTACGAGGCAGCCCCAGTAATTCTCCCAGCGGCGTCAGTTCTCGCTGAGAAGACCATCTCCAGCCATGGACACAGCATCGTCCACAAGGCAACACCAATCGTTGAGACTCATCAAGTAGCACCAGTTGTCCTGGCATCTCAGCCACTTCTCCTCCAGAAAACTGTACACCACGAACCACTTGTCTTCGCACAGCCAATTGTTGCTGAGAAAACAATTTCCAGCCATGGACACAGCATCGTCCATGAAGCACCTCTCCTGGCACACTCCACCCACTGGTGGTGAACAATTGTCACTTCATCTGCGAAAAGATCCCTTTCTGTAGGAAAAATCCTTCAAATGTAACTGAAACAATAAATCATTTTTAATGCATAAAATTTCACATCACAAATTTATTTTATCAAAACAAAAAGAACGGGTATACCTGTAATTTTTTAAACACGTTCGGGTAATAAACTTGAAGACCTCGGATCGTATCTACCCCATAAACACATCAACGGATTTAAACGGAGAAAAATTCGTCTCCAATTACCATAAAAATATCAATCGAAGAGTGGGAAAATGGCGGTCTTACAATCGATGTACACGAGAATCAGAGGATGAGAGAGATGAATCAGAAATTACTCTGAACCTATCTCTCCCTCTTCAACATTCTCAGTACAATTCCTGGAGACTTCCCACCGAAAGGCAAATGACGCATTTTTCCATTCACAGAATGAGGTCTTAATTACTGCAGCTACCCATTGTTTGATTGAGTAACTGCTGTCGTATTATTTCACTCAAGCCCAACGGAATATTCATGAAAATCCCGACTGAAGTAGTGATTGCCTTCTCATAATTACAGAGTAATTGATTGGCCATAATTTTTCGAATTAACGCGAAATATAAAACGAGTTGGAGATGCAGGTGAGGATGAGCAAAAATAGGAGAATCAGAGATAAAAACAGGGAGTGAAAAAGTTAATGAGGCATACACATGAATGTTAGGGGGAAGTTTTTATCTTGCATATAAGTATGAGAAGATTACTGACGAGTTGCCGCCGTTGGCATCGGCCCCCCGAGAACCTGTCCTATCGGCAATTTTTGTCGTAGGTCCAGGCACGCCCGCTTCTTCCCCCAGCATCCAGCTCAGGCTCTCGCTTTGATCAGAAATAATACGGCGATGGGAGGAAAAATTCAATGGATGTTATCGTCGGCCGGGTTGGGAAAGGTTAATGCCGTTTGATTGAGTATAACTGGAATTATCGAGAGAACACTCAACCATTGCTGGATAATTATCTCAGTAAAAAGCGTAATTCATCTTCTTCATCAATTCATTGAAATGGAGTATTCACGTCGAGAGGTTTTACCCGTTTAAAGTTATTTCAAAAGAGCAAAACCAGATCCAATTATTTTCATTACCATTAATTTTTTTATGGGAAAATGATATGTTATGGTTAAAATGGAAAAAGGCACTTTTTGACCAGTGGAAGGGCTACGAATCGAGCCGAAGGTGAGGATTATAATCATATCAGATAATACTTTTATGTAAAAGTAGTGTAAAAATCTAATTACAAAAATCATGATTGAAAATTTAAAAATTAGACGAATTCGGAATTCAAATTAGCCGCCTCGAAGGGCTGAACCAATGGGGACCTATTTTTGCAATACCTGCCTAAAAAATCACCTTTCGAAACCTCCCACTGTGCGTGAAACGATTGTATTCCACACGATGTGCGCAAAATTCAGAAATCATGCGTAAAGTAAATTATCATGCGTAAAGCGTTTAAAATTCACTTTATACACAATCTTTTGACTTTAAACTTTTACGCACTCCGTGCACTAAACCAACTACTCCCCCCGCATAACACTTACGAAAAGCGCTTCTTTCCGCACTCGTAAAATAATACGCCATTTCATCACAGCCTGTCGGGAGTGGATTTATCCGGCGATAAAACGTCACTTTACACACAGTGTGCCGAAAAAATTGTTTTCCACCTGCAATTGTATTGTATAGCTCTTCCTCTTTACTCTCGTGGTGGTGCTCGTGGTAGCTGATCTGGATCTCAGCCTTCCTGCCATAACAGGCCCCATGGGAATCCAAGGCTGCGGGTGAACGAACGACTCGTCGTTTGTCTCCCATATGTACTCACTGTCCTTCGGCTACATTTATCTCCTTTCGTAGATACCAGACTAAATACCAGGAATTTGCCGACGATGTTTATCCAATCAATGTCCAAAAATTTGAATAACTCGTTTCCTGACATCTGACATGGAATGATTAGTCATTTCAACGGACATCACTTCATCCCTTTGTTCAGCATCAGTTAATTAACGTTGCATCATCCTTTCTGTCGGCCTTTACACGTGTCTCCAGTAGTAAATACAAATTTACAGCCAACGGGAACTAATACATAGTAATTGGTTCCGCATTATTAACTCGACGATTAAAAACTGAATGAATATAAAAGGCTGAAGTCACTGGCCTCGCTCTTCAGCAGCGATTGAGCAAGTTCAAGGATTACCGTTCACTCCGTTCGATAAAAGTGCGTTTATCGCGGCTTTGAGTAAAAATATATTTTTCAAATCGTTAAGCATCAACTGGTCATTACATTGAATCGCCGGATCAAGAAGAGACGACGAGCCATTTCATTTGACTCCATTAAAATGCCACCGTAAATCATGAATACCTGTCCCATACCACAAATTTAAAGCTATAATAAACTGAAATTTGATCCATAACGATATTGTCCGGGAAAGTTGGAAAATTGTGAAATTAATCCACCGGATCTCGAAGAACAATGACAAATTGCATTGAATTTTGCATCCTTGCGTCTCTGAAGGCCAGCACAGAGGCGTGGCAATGTTATATTCCCAAGAAAAAGAGGTGCGCTCATGGGAAGCAAGGACACGCATACATAAACGTCTTTTTTTCCAGAGAAAAAAAAAAGCACCTTTCTCGGTTATTGTCAAGGAAGTCATAGCGTCCTGGCAGAGCGCGAGACTTTTTCCCTTTCCCCAAGAGAGTAGCCCAGAACCAAGAAAATAGAGAAGAAAGAAATGAAAAAACCTGGAAGAGGAACTGAAAGGGGATAAAGAAAGTGCAATTACCTGAAAATTGTATTTGAAGAAGTGAACCTGGGAGGAAAGGATTGGCCGTGGGCAGTTTGGTATCACTATCTTACAAGGACAGAAATAGAAACGAGAGGCTCATGCATCCTGATAATAAATCAATGATCATGACCGGACAGGTTGTTGGGGTTCTATCCCCACCTCGGTGTCCAGCAAAACGAAGGACAATAACCCCTTGCAAGCAAGTATCCTCGTGCCTCTTTGCCCACACATTACGAATGGAAAATTGACTTGGTAGCGATGGCTACTCAGGGCGGCGCATCCTCATCCAAGTCCCCCCGATCCTCACCACCTCTTCAACAACATCAAACGATTTTTATCCCCTACGCACGTGTCGGGCCGTAGCATAAAGGGAATTCTTTTATACAGCAATGACACCATTTCGACACGTGCACATTGTCATGGTGAATTTTTCGAAGACGATGCATTGTGGTTGAGCTGAGAATCAATGAGATGAGAAACTTGCAAGTGTTTAGGGGAATTGAGACGGCCCTGTTATCCCCAGGATGCACCTCAGCCTCTTCTTTGTGCGTATAGGGATACAAATGCGCGGATAAGTATTGGCTGAGGCAGGTTTTTACTCCTGCATCTGTAGCCTCGGCTCTATAAGTACCTCGGGTTCCCCTGAGATCCTAGCACATCGCCTAACGGAAGCATCTAGGGATAACACCAGGATTTAGTCGTGAGTCACTCAACTTTGTCAACGAACAACGAAATGCTGAAGTTTGTAAGTTCTCTTCTTTAATTGTTGGCTTCTTCTATTCTCTTTTATTCTCAACTCTTTTAGTGGTGGATTTGATGTGTTGACTCGTTTGATGAATGATGTCATTAATTTAATTGTTACAGACAATTCTTGCTATCCTCCTGGGAGTGAGTTCGGCGGCACCAGCGGCTGAACCCGTTGCAGCTCCACACAGCAATCCTGAACCAGCACAGCCTGCACAACCAGCACCACTTGCTTACAGTGCAGCAGCAGCACCAGCAGCTGCTCCATCAGCACCAATTGCCTATAGTGCACCAGCTCCAGGAGGTGCTGCACCATTGGCATCGATTGGTTACACCGGAGCAGCCGGTGGTATCGAGGCGAAATCCGCTGATCCCAGTATCGAAGCCAAAGCGTCACTCCATCAGGAGGCACCAGCTCATGTAGCTCATATTGCACCGAGTGCTGTTCAGGGGGATCAGCCCATTCTATCGCAAGCACCTGTTGAGGCTGAGGGACAAACTGCAGCTATTTCAGCACAAGTTCCATCTGCCAAACAGCTTCTTCTCGCTGATGCTCCACTCCTCAAAACACCAGCCTCCACTGCCAAATTGACACCTCTCGCTGCACCTATAATTGCACCAATATCACCACTGGCTTATGCCGCCGCTGGTCCCGCCATCCTTGCACCGGTAAATTACGCCTACATTTCCGTTTGAATCAGTTCATTACGAACAATTACGAATAATTGTTTTCCATAAATTTCATTACCTTTTTTTTTTGTTTTTGGATTTTTCCCTCTGTTTTTAATTCTTCGTTTTTGTTTTTGGGGGTAAATCGATTTTTATAGTTCCCGGCTTGGAATGGTCTCACCGCATATCCCGCGACTTACTCGATTGAGCAGCACGGCTACCACATTACCTACTGATTTATTTTTTTTTTTTTCATTTGAAAATTTCTTTCGAGTTTTGATGATTAATTAACGGTCGTCGGTATCTCATGGCAAGCCGATCACTAGCTGCTTGATGAATGAAATACATTCTCTACGCTCGGAAATCGGTACTTCAGATTTCTACTCCCTGCAACTATTCATTTATCGTCAGTCGCAATGATAATGTGTTTTGAGAGTTTTATGGAAAATTTATTGAATAAAGAATGACTTTTTTTATTTAAATTGAGTTTTATTTATCTTTGTCCTTTCTCTAATCGATATTAATATTTTTTTCTAATATTTATTCTATCAGAGTTCATCATGAATGCGAAAATCATTATTTTTCATCTGCAAAATGGAAGACTATAAAAATTGATAAATCAGTTCTTCTCATGGAAAGACCTTTTCAAATTTCATACACACTCGTAGGTGTACCCTCAATACATATTTATAACATAAAAATAAATATAAATTATAGTTGCAAAAATTCCGTTGTCCCTTGCGTAGGATTCGCAAATCTCTACACGAGGAGAAATTTTTCATACACTTTACAAAAAATAAGTTTGGAACTAATTAAAAAAAAATCACGTGCCTGTTCACAAGTTTTCATCAAACAAAAAGTCCGAAAGAAAATAGCGCAATAGTTCTGTCAAATTTTTCTTCCTCACATTTCATTTTTTTTCTTCGGAGATTTTCCCCGGAGGTTGAAATATAAATTAAAAAAAAAAGATGGAGAATTGTTTTCTTTCTCGTTTTCAACGAACAGGTGGTTGACATTGCACAAACAAAAACCTTTTAACCATCGAATTGGTAAACCACGATAAAATCCCCATGAGTTCATCACGATGAAAGGGAAAGTGGGATCATCGACGTTAGACTTTCTCAAAATTAGTACTCTTATCACATCCGTGTCCCAAACAAACGTGAACATTTGGGCATAAGTGATGTAAAATCCGCAGGTATAGACTGGCGTCACACTCTCGTCTTCCATAACTAATCGATCCATAAAAAATTCTTAAAAACCAGATGGAATAATAAACATTAAAAAATCCACCGCGAGACCTATCTCAAACATCGATCAACAAAAACCAGTTGATTACATCAAATAGTTTGATATTGCCACTGGATCTCCAGGTCCTTCACCTCATACCGAACATTCCTTCCAATGCAAAGAGTTGGAGCAGAAAGCAATGATAATTAGATAATATATAATAAATAAAAAACAATAAAAACTGGGCTGTCTCTAACTCAATGTCTGTAAACTGTTCGCCTTGTCCGAATTGGGTCAAGACAGCTATAGATTTGATCCTTTGAAATCCCCAGATTGCAACATCGTGGAAATCCCTGCGTTAGGTAACACCCAACCACCGGACAGACCTGCCGACAAAAAAGGGTAATCATGTTCTCAAATGCATGTGGTTGTATCTATCAAGATACTTTCATTACAAACCACTCATTAATTAAGGGGATGCCGAAAAAATATTGTGACAGAGTTAATTAAATCTGTGGTTGTCGGTTCTTGATGGGGAGACAAATTCATTGCTGATTCTTCTGTGGTACAAGAAAAAGAACATCTTTCGTTTCATTGTTTGTCTCTTGAACATCCAAGACAACACTTTCTCCCGGATACCCAGACACCGGGGATTCTCCTGCAGTTTCAAATCGAAACTTAGTCTTAATTCAATCGCAAGAACAACAAATTATTTTATTTGCCCACTTTTCAGATGGCTGACATGATTTTTCAATTTTCCAATTTGAGTAATATTAATGGGAGAGAAATGAGACAATGTTATGGTATTTTTCGTTTTTTATTTCAATCAGGAATATTTTTTTTTATTTTTATTTACGACATTTAAGCTTTTCAGTTTGCAATGCTAGATATTGTAAATATATCATTATTACAAATATATTGATGGTGTTATTGTGTTAAATATTAATTTTGATTCTAGTCAAAAAGGAATTAACGATTTTTATGATATGAGTATTTATTGCATTGAAGAAGATTCTCGCATTAAACAATGAAAATCACTGGAACCTCATGTCAATGTTTTTTTTTTGAGAGTCTGAAGTCACCATGTCAAGGTTGACAAAGCCATGGTATCTCTCAACGAAAAGAAAGTAGACCCGGCGTCACTCCAGAAACTCATTTAATTTCCGTCGGAAGTTGTAAGTCACGAGATCACTCACATCAGGGCCTCTTCCTGTTCTCCAAAAAATGAAATCAGAGGGCAATTACATACCCGCGAAGAGAACGCGTTATCCCCTTATTTTTCCACCTGGGCGCCTTCGGGTTGGAACGTTACGGTCGTTTGATCCGAGTGATAAGAAGCGAAACAGGAGCAAAAAATTGGGAAGAAAGTGACAACGGAAAAGAAGAAAATATTTCTGAGATTCAGATCCATCAGGACAACTGCCCAGCGGCCAACAGCCTGGACCCTTCCTTAGCTATCGATGACGATTGATTTTTTATTTCTTCACATCAGTTTATGGGGATCACTCCTTTCTTCTTTGATGACGCAGTAGAACGCCTTCATGCATCCAAAGCATCAACCAGGATCTAACTTTCATTGATGAACATGAACTTGCATAATTTCATTGACGTAGTTTTACGCTGGCACAATCCAAATTCTCGGTAGTCCCCGTTTAATCCGCGTGTTTAATTCACTTTTGAATTATGTAACTCGTTTTAAGATACGACGATGTTGTAAGCTTTGATTTTTCGGGGAACTCTGGGAATTTCTGGGGAGACGTCCTGGATCGTTCGGGTGGAATCGGTATCGCAATCCTCTCCTCGAAAATCTGACGCAGAAGAATTTCTTCTCGTTTATTCATTTCGGTGTTAGATTACTCAAGAGGCTTGTGGTTATGCTAATCCAAAATCCAGGGAAAAACCCTAGAATACAAAATATTGATAAAAAAATCGAAATATATTTATGCATAATTATATCAAAACATGATTATTAATTGTTGTTGAGGAACAATAATTTTGCGATTGGAGTGGGTATGAAAAAAAAAATGATTTCATATTATTTAAATTGAATATTGAGTTCAGTTGATAAACTTTAATTTTTAAAAAGGTAATATGAATTAAAAATATATATCATGTAATAAATATATCCGGATTTTTTTTAACGGATCGATTGTAAAAGATTAAAAAAGTTTGAACAATCTAATTGGCGGGAAACCCCTACTTTTTAAATACCTGGGGATTTACGCCGGTAGAGAAATGCAAGAGTAATTACCTGAAAGTTAATAGAAACTGATAGTTCCCCCACTGAAATCGTTAAATCTATCCTCAATCGATCCTCAATCGATCCTTCGATCGATCCCATGCGATTAATTCGATCGGCTGTTCCTCGAATCCCTAATTCTCCATATTTTCCAAATATCTGGCTATGTAATATGTAAACAGTAGTTGCGGTTGATGGAAGGTCCGGTTGGAGTGGAATGACTCACTGGTGCTACCCCACCGGTACCAACAGCATCCCCGAAAGTGGTAAGGTACGTATATAAGATTGGTGATCGTCCAGCAAAAGCTCAGAGTCAAGAGACCGTTCCTACGGTTGCAGTGTCCGTGGAGAAAGTGATTTTTTATTTATTTTTGTACGACAGTGGAGATACGCCTGCACAGAAATCGTTGACGTTTAAGTGCCTGAGGTACGTACTTATTCATCAATAATCCGATCAATTAATTAATTAACCATCAATTCGTTCCACCATTAATTGCACACAGCAAAAGGAGATTCAAACAATTAATTCTATTCATCCATTAAATCTCTGTATAAAAATTCTCGGTTAAATACTAGAATAATTTGAATTCAGTTGACGCCAGTCGATTTAATTGGCATAAATAATCTTCTATCGATGTATTCTTATAAATATTGTTCAATTGTTAAACAACCGGGTTTTAACTTCCGTTTAGAAATGCTTTCGGTGTTTTCAGGAAATTTTCGAATACCGAATAGAGAAAATTAGTTATAAAAAAAAACATGTTCTGTGGAAAGCTAGATTGAATTTCTATGTTGACAAGTAGATAATAAATTTGTCTGATTAGTGCCGTTAAGGTCTTTCAAACCCCCACACACTCGTCTTAACCCGAGAAACTTTCTCCTCAGGTACTGATCAGAGACAGCCCATTGTGTGCTGATGCCACAGACTAATTCGCTAAAGACCTTGAAGATCTCATTAAAAAATATTTGAAAACCTATAATTTGGCATAATATTTTCATTCACTGCAATGAATATAGAAAAAACTATTACACAATTACTCTAGGCGCGAGTAACTGAGAACTAATTACGGTAATTCCGGTGTTCCAGTATGATCTTGACACTTGGTGCGATAATAGTTTATTTTTCATTATACCATAATGGAGTTTGATTTAATTAATCAAATCGGTTGAACTCGGGATGCCGATTTATTTAGTTATAAATTATTCATGAGGCGA